ATATATATGTATTTTGTTCTCTAATTTATTTACTCTACTTTGTTTAGATTAATTTTATTTGACCTATACAGGAGATCGAGATAGATTATTTTGAGCAATAGAATGGGGAGTCTATCAAGTACAACTTTTCTTTTGCATCTTCTCTCAGTCTTTTTCTATTTCTTCAATTTCCTTCTTTCCTGGACTCGACACGGGAATGTCGGGCATATGACCTGGTACCGGGTTAGAAACATTCCTGCTCAGTTCTGCTATGCCCCTGATGATTCACAACTTTTTAGAGCCTTGGTGTCGATGCATCCATTGTCCCAATATACCCGGGTCTCTTAACCTTCTCTTTCCTACTCTTCCATGTTTTCTTTTATCTGCAAATTACCTTTTTCTACTTCCTGGAATTCTACACTAAAAAGTTTCAAGAACGAAGTAATTCGGGATGGGTATTCTTTTTGTTGTTGCTGTTGTTGTTTTATTTCTTTTCCCACTTCCTCTTTTTATTGTAGATGTTTTTTTTTGTTTTGTTTTGTTTTGTTTTTGTTTTTGTTTTTGTTTTTGTTTTTGTTTTTTTTTTGTTTTTTTTTGTTTTTTTTTTTTTACTTGAGTCCCCTGTTCTTTTTTAACACCCTCCTTTAATTAGAACAGCTACAAATTTTTTTTTTTCCTTACTCTCGATGTTCTAAAGAACGAAATAATATTATAGATCATCATATTTTGTGGTTAGCAATTTATCTTTTTTAATAACAATTTTTAAAGAGGGTTAACCCCCCCCTTTTTTTCCTTTTTTTTTTTTTTTTTTTTCCCGCCCATTTCCTTTTTCATTTAGCTGGGAAAAATTCATCCCCATGCTCCTCCCATTTTCCACTAGAACAGCAACTGGCCTTTTAGCCACTTTCAAAGTTTTAAGAACGAAATAACATTATAGATAATTATATTTTCTGGTTGGCAGTTTATGTATTTATTTATTTATCTATTTTTTTTTAAAAAGTCATGTTTAAGTAGTGTAACCCCCGTTTTTCATCCATTTTCGTTTTCATTCAGCTGGGATAAGTTCGTCCCCAGACTCCTCTCATTTTGTACGTCATCATGCTGACGATTAACTATGGCGTGAGCGGCAAAAAAATTGTTTTTGCTACTTTTTGTGGGCCACATCCATGAGAAGAGGAATTTTTGTCTACTAGCTGAGGAGTTTCCAAGTTTTTTTGCTCGCTAATTGGTCTGCTACAGAGGCTATCTGAAGTATTTTAGAGTAAGTAATCATTTACCTTTTTTTTCCAAGACCTTTCAGTACTTTCATGTGTCAATGCTGCAGGCATCTTGCTACGGTTATAGCTAATGGATCTATTTGCCCTAGAAACCTGTTTCCCTCGTTTCAAGGTGCTTAACTTTATATTATATTATATATTAACCCTTCAGTTCCTTTTGTTTTATTTTGCACTGTGTATTGTGTTGGACGTGGCTGCATTGCAGTTTGTTGGTCGCTCAATATCGGTGTTTTTAACTTTTAACATTTTACTTTGCACTGTATATTTGTGTTGGACGTGGCTGCATTGCAGTTGTTGGTCGCTCAATATTGGTGCTTTTTCTAACTATTTAACTGTTAACCAATTTTATTTGTTTTTATGCCTACAACACTCTCATTTACACACACCCTCCCTCCCCACCTTACCCACTATTTAGTGGAGACTTGGGAACCCTTTCATTAGGGATTCCATACCACACCTGTAATGCCACAAAGGTTGCTAGAGAAACTACTGTTTTTTTTTTTTTTTTTTTTTCAAAGGTGTGGAAGTACTACCCCCCTCCCCCCGCCCCCTTTCCAAAGTTAGTCACAGGCTGAAATTTTACAGGGTTAATGATCTTAACCCTTTCACTTCCAAAATAGTCCAAAGTTATTTTTATTTAAAAAGTGAACAAGTAAAGTGTTTTCTTGAATTGGGTTGATTCCATTTGACTTCGGGTTCATCTATCAGCAGTTTTTTTAGTGAAGGATTGTGTGTTTTCGTTTTTATTTTCCAGTCCCCACGTAACACTTATCAGTCTGCTATGGGAAAGCAAGCCATGGGTGTTTACATAACAAACTTCCATGTTCGTATGGATACCCTCGCGCATGTGTTGTACTACCCTCAGAAGCCGCTGGTCACTACACGCTCCATGGAGTATCTCAGGTTCAGAGAGCTGCCTGCTGGTGAGTTCTTGTCGTTTGGAGCGTGAATATTCGTAGCCTGCGCCGCCGACGAAACTAAACTTCTGGTTCACCGGGGTTAGGTTATGTTTTTGGTCCTCCAAAAAATTTCTGGTGAAGTCTTGAAAGGAGAACACAGTCGAGCCCCTTATAACTGCCGCCTGTACTTGATGCTGCACAAACATTTACTTTTATTGAAACTTCCGTGTAATGGTCACAACAACGACATAGCGGCAACAGTCAGCATTCCACTGTCCCAAATTAGAAATGCAAAATAAATACCTTGGACGCCTTTTTTACGCTATACGGATAGTTTTTGCGCCGGCACGAAAACCATACCGAATAGTGCTTCTGTTCACACATAAGAACGGTGATCGCATCGCGATTTCTGTGACGGAGCGAAGGTGCGCTGCGGCGATCTCTAACGTAGAGAATCTCATATCAGATAGGCGGTCATACTATAAAGTGTTTTCACATGACGTCACGGCGGCCATATTGGTGTCCCTAACCAATCCTGTGGGAGTTGATCCCTTTTCTTATGCAAACGCTTTCTTTCGTTCCAATAAATTTGCATAGATGCTGGCCACGTGAGTGATAAGGCTCTATGCCGGATACGAATAGTTTTTTGTGTCGTTACGAAAAGCTATCCAGTATAGTGTGAACTTAGCCTTAATGACATGAACCTAACATAAGAAATGTTTGGGCAAAGCCTAACAGCATTTCCACATGTACAGCTGAGATGGAACAGTCACCTCTCCACCAGACCAGACCATCTCGCTACCAACGAAATCACCCCAAGAGGTCTACTCGCCTCCAACTAATGCACAGACTTGTCAAGGATTGTAGCCGATACCATTTCCATTTAGCAACATTTTTACTTGAAGTTATGAATATATGAAAATCATATATATATGTAAACTGCGGAGGGAAGAATTAAATGAAGGATGATCATCGCAGTTATATACCCAAATTTTGCAGTTGCGAAAAGAAAGCCTGAAAAATTCAGGCTTGTACGGGATTCGAACCCTTGACCTCTCCGATACCGGTGCAGCGCTCTACCAATTAAGCTAACAAGCCAACTGGGAGCAGGTCGTTGAAATGCGTTCGTTATTAACCCGTGAAAGGATGATGAGGTCAAGGGTTCGAATCCCGAATCAATTTTTTTCAGGCTATCTTTTCGCAACTGCGAAAGTGGCGTATATAACTGCGATGATCATCTTTCATAATTCTTCACTCCGCAGTTCACATATATGATTTTTATATATTCATTACTTCATCATCATCCTTTCACGGGTTTATAACTAACCAATTCAACGAGGTGCCCCAGTTGGCTTGTAAGCTTAATTGGCAGATCGCTGCACCGGTATTGCCGAGGTGAAGGGTTCGAATCCCGTACAAGCCTGAATTTTTGTTCACGTTTTCTTTTCGCAACTGCAAAAGTTGCGTATATAACTGCGATAGTCATCCTTCATTTAACATTTTTACTTCTTTCTCAAGCTTAATCAAATATGGCGTCGACCCAAATACAAATCTGTCGATCCCAACTGAAACACGTCAGACTTCTCAGGTTCGGTGGAAAGCATCAAAAAAGTGCGGGGACCAATATACACCGAACGGTGGCTATTTTGTATGCTGTATGCAGTGACTGTTTTTGAGAGTCTATTATCATCTTAGCGGTACCTAAGCATAGTACTTCTTTTTGTCTTCTTTGCAGGGATCAATGCCATAGCAGCTATTGCATCTTACACTGGTTATAATCAAGAGGACTCGGTTATCATGAATGCTTCAGCTATTGACAGAGGTTTATACAGGTAGGTAAACCAGATTCCCCTTCTAAATTGACTCGTATTTTCTAATTGAATAATAAAATAATTTGTCTGACGATCTAAAGTCTCTTTGGGTCTTGAGATTCAGCCCTTCAATTTGTTCTCCTTTTATAGAGTTGAATCTCTGACGCCTCCAAAGAAGCGTAAAAAACTTTTTTGTATTAATCTAACATTTTTGTTTACTTTGGCAGATCTGTATTTTACCGCTCTTACCGAGATCAAGAATCTAAGAGAGGAATGGATCAAGAAGAAACTTTTGAAAAGCCAACAAGAGATACATGTCAAGGTAAGGTGCTGAAATTCATCATTAATTTTTCAAGATCGGTGGGCTTCGATCTCTTTTAGTAAAAGAAAAAAAGGGGGAATTGAATTGTGAAGGAGCAGGGGAAGGAGTGGGGTGAGAAAAAAAATTGTGTTGCCTACCGCAAATTAATGAGATTCCTCCTCAAGTAAAGGCTGAAACATTACGCCCTATACTATTTCATTGTTTTCACTCCTTTTTATTTTTCCTGTCATGCCATTTGGAGGGGTTACGAGTTCGCCCGCTAACGCGGTCGCGTGTTCACTCGCGGCTCGTTTCGCTCGCCAGAAAAGGAGAGCTTGCTCATAGTCTAAGAAAGTAGCAAATAACTGGGGTATTGTTTTGCTCGTAGCGGTGATACTGATCTTACACATATGCCGCACAGTTCTATTTTCTTGATTTTACCAAGTGTATACAGATGACACACTTGAGGGCATCGCATGACACTCAACAGGCCATTTCCGAGTTTCAAAAACTCTCACTTTCAAAACGAGGCAAAGTACAAAAACTTTGTCGTGAAAATGAGTTTAATTTGTCATTTCAATGGCTTTGCACTTAGTCTCGCTCTGAGTCAGAGGCTTGAGGTAACTGGGAAATGTCCTATTGAACATTTCACGGCAACAGGAAAAAGCCACGTTGTAGATTAAACTCGGTGTCACACCCCTGAAATCTAAATTGTCTGGGCATTGTTTCAGGCATGCGTAATGCCGTGTACGATAAGTTAGACGATGATGGACTTATTGCACCAGGAACTCGAGTGAGTGGTGATGACGTCATTGTTGGCAAGACAACAACTCTTCCCGAAAATGATGACGAGGTAAGTTGTAAATAAAGTACGGTGAGAAATAAATTAGCCTCAAGTAAGAGGATTTCCAGACATTAGAAAAGGGTAGAAAAGAGGGTTACAACCAAGTTGATAATTTAGACTGACTGCGAGGTGTTGAGTTATTCCCATCTTCAGAAACTCCAGGGAGACTACGTAAAAAACTTCAAGTGCAGTGATCTCTTGGATCGTTTGGGTGGACAAACGTTCGGTCGATAGTATTCAAGGTAACCGTTAACCAATCAGAAGGAACGCTTGCCGCCCAAACGATCCCAGAAATCCTTGCGCCGAAAGCTTGTACATATTTCCTTTATAGCCTCTATGTAGTCCTATTGGACTGCAACACTGTTTTAATCGTTTAATATTGCTTCTCGAAAGATCAGTATTTCTTTTGACAATTCAGTCCAAAATTTTGCGGTATGATGTATTCGGTGTCTGGTCTTATTTCATTTCTGTGTTTTCGATTGTTTTGTCTTCAGAAATTATTTATGAGTTTTTCAACGACTAATTGAAGGTTTAATAAGTTGAGGAAGCATAAATACTTGGATTTCCTTTGAGTTGTTAGTTTCTGTTAGCAGATGTAAAGACTAACGAGCCACAGATTAAGAAGGGAAAGCATGGCACGCTTGTGCAGTCGGCATCCTGTGTGCATGCACAGCTTCTGTGAAGAGAATATTGCTTCTTTTTGCTAATAGAACATGATATAAGATATAACCTTTAGCTATCAAAATGAAAGACTTTAAACGCCATCATGGTGTTATATTTCAGCTCGAAGGAACAACGCGACGTTTTACAAAGAAAGATTCCAGTACTTTCCTGCGTCCCAGTGAAACGGGCATTGTTGATCAGGTACATAACCTCTCCTTTAAAATCGTTTTTAGCTTGACTTGTTATTCTTAGTGTGCGAGATGCTTTGACTCTCTGGTAATTCGAATGTAATGGCGTTGTCTTCTATTCTTCATTTTTTGTTTTGATACACAGGTTGTATTACAATTTCATCCTTTTTTCAGTTTATATATTCATTCATTTTTTACTCATTAAAGCGTTTTAAAAGATGTCACGAAGGCAACAGCAACGAGAAAGTCAAAAGCCATAGTTTTATGGAACAAAACAACTCAGTGCACATGCATCATACTTCAGCGTCCCTGCACCCAATCCGACGTCTACGAAATGTCCTAGTTTATTTCGGGGAAATATAGTTATAATACCCCTCATGGCAAACTTTGGTGATCTTGTTTTTTCTTTATTTTATCGTTTTTGTTGTTGTTGTTTTATTGACTTGATAATGGTTAATGGCAGCTGGGGATGTGAAACTTGTGTGGTAAACGTTTACTAATACCGGCGCTCGTTTTCTTCTCTACAAGGTTATGGTAACAATTAATCAAGAGGGTTACAGGTTCACCAAAATTAAGGTAATCATCATCGAACCCACGACGTCCCCATGTGCAGAATATACATTTGAATAACGATCTACCAACTTAGCTGATATCGTTAGCACATATCAGTACATGACTACTCCGCCTTTTATTTCAGTGGGGCCTTGCCTCTCCAGTCTTGCCCACAGGGTTCCTGTATTCCACTACGTCATAATTCAATGAAACCGTTTGAGGAGAGGGGAACCTGGGAACATAATGAAAGGAACTCTGGGAATGAAGCGGGTGATAATGAAATACTGGCGCGTCAAGTCTAAAAGTCCCATTTGTCTCCATTTCTAGTTTTTATGCCCATGTGCTAAAGGCCCCATTCTCTACCTAGGTTCGATCCGTTCGTGTTCCCCAAATTGGTGACAAGTTTGCCAGTCGACACGGTCAGAAAGGTACATGTGGAATAACATATCGCCAAGAGGTAAGCTCATTAGAAACTTGTATTATTGACTAGATCTTGAGTCCAGCCTTACCTACAAGGTGCAAATTTTATTTGGTGTAACCTTTTTTTGTTTTGCAGGACATGCCGTTTACTTGTGAAGGAATCACCCCTGATGTGATCATCAACCCCCACGCTATCCCTAGTCGTATGACAATTGGTCACTTGATCGAGTGCCTGCAAGGAAAGGTAACACGTCAAAGAGTATCCCTGTAGACTGCAAATTCAGCCGCCTCTCATCGCTACCCATCGCTGAGGTTCGCGATACGTCCCTAGCAACTGGGTGCGATGAAAGGCGACTGTATTCATGTAATGCGATTTTCACTTCTCCAAGAAGAACTTATTTCTTGTTTAATGAATAAATAGTATTAACTCTCAGTCACTGTTTTATGCTTGTAATGACTGCTGCTTTCTAAATAAAGTGACAGTTGCTTGGACATCTCGTGTTGTATGAGGTCAAAAGACAAGCAAACAGTTCAAAGGGCTTTCCCACGATGTTTATCTATCTGTCCAGCTCTTTTAAAGAGATTCCGCTTATTCCCTTGGTTTTCTGTATTCCCTTTAAATGTCATCCTTTCGGAGAGGGTTGGTGTGACTGTTTGAAAGGAAATAAGCAGTATATTAGTGACACTTCGTTAAATCTCCTTTTGAACTCTTTGTAATAAGTGGACTGATTATCGGTAGGTGTCTGCAAACAAGGGAGAAATTGGTGACGCTACACCCTTTAATGACGCTGTGAACGTACAGAAGATATCTCAACTGCTCAACGACTATGGTTACCATCTGAGAGGTAACGAGGTATGTGATGTGTCGTCACCCAGCAGGTCAACTGGTATCATTTTGAATCATATTTGTCTAATTGTCTTGTTTATGTATTTGTTTCTTGCAGGTGTTGTATAATGGTTTCACAGGTAGAAAGCTGAACGCCCAAGTTTTCTTAGGTCCAACTTACTATCAGCGTTTGAAGCACATGGTGGACGACAAAATCCACTCACGTGCCAGAGGTCCAGTCCAGATCCTTACGAGACAGCCTATGGAGGGAAGGTCACGGTAAGCAGAAAACTCTGTTCACACTCGGACTGTGACTCGCTTACGATATGTTCCCTTAAAAATTTCATGATCTAAATTTGATAATTTGATTTGGGGCAGGAGGTGGAAAGTTACAATGTGACTCTTTTTACCGGGGCCACCTAGACAAAGTTGACCACATTTTAGACTTGAGGTCGCATGTTTATTGCAAAGTGCGGCGATGGTAGCGAAGAAATTGCTGGTAAATGACACAATCATGATAACAGCTTGTGTCAAACAAATATGTCTCCAGGGCTGAGTTGCTCAAAACATGGTTAGCTTTAACCATTGGTTAAGCAGTATCAAAACCAATACGTTGTCAAGGTATTAAACGCTGGTTAACGCTAACCATGCTTCGAGCAACTGGGCCCTGGGCGTTAGTTTCGAACAGAAAAACAATTTTTTTTTTTCAAATATACAAACACAATTTGGAGAAACAATTTGCTTTCTTGAAAAACGTTTGGTGTCAATATTTAAATTTTGTGCTTTGGGTAACTTATTGTTTTTTACGAGCTGCTGATTGGCCCACAAACAACTTTCTTGGAATTTATTGTTATTTTCCTTTAATCCGATTGGTCAGCTTTGTCTAGGTGGCCCCGGTTACAGTAGTCGCATTGTAAGTATACATGTATACAGTTGTAAGTGGAGCTGGGACCGATGTTTTATGGCGCGTTTTTAAGACCGTGAAGAGCGCTTAAATGTAGTGTATAGTGGGGGATTTCTAACAAACTCTGAGGAGATTGTGTGTCGTAAAAGCCTTGTAGGTAGGATTTCTCAAAATAATGTGAAGTAGAAATTTATTAAAGATGCCAAACCCAGCGTTTTTTCATCAGATATTCTTTGACATTCTTTCCTTTAAATAGAACCTTTTATCTGAAAAGGTACGCCATCTCCGTGCAAAAGTCCGGGTAAATTATTAGAACCCGTAGCCGTAAATACTGGTTGTTTGCCTCTTACCCCGGACAAACGGCAACGGAACTGTGATGCTATTATCACATCTGGGAAACCATGGTTTATAAGTAGGGTAAAGTGCATCGCAGGCGTTAACGATCGAGTTATTGCGCGCAAGCTGCAGCGAGAAAAAAGTAAATGGAAGTAAGTGGATGGGCAGGACTGAAGTGGGAAAAGTTTCCCTTCTCCCCTTCCCCCTTCCCCTTAATTTCCCTTTTTTGTTCTCGACTAACCCGCGCGGAAAGGCTTGCGACGCAGGCTATAAACCACGTGGTAAACATGTTCGCCTCCACCCGTATCCGTAGAGAGAAACGGTGTATCTTAACTTTTCTTATTACTGAGTAAGGAATTTAGGTATTAGCAACTTATGTGGACATGTGTCGATCTTTAGTAATGGTGGGCTTCGTTTTGGTGAGATGGAGCGTGACTGTATGATCGCACATGGTGCAGCACAGTTCCTGAATGAGCGTCTCTTTGAAGTGTCAGATCCCTACAGCTGTCACGTGTGTAACCTGTGTGGCCTTATCGCTATCGCCAATTTACGGAATAACACGTTTGAATGCAGAGGCTGCAAGAACAAGACTCAGGTATAAAAAGAAACACCTACAGAGTGTTTTCACATGACGTAACGGCGGCCATGTTGGTGTCCCAAACCAATCTTGTGGGAGTTGAACTCTTTTCTTATGCAAACCCTTTCTTTTGTTCCGTTAAACTTTTATGGATGCTGGCCACGTGAGTGAAAACACTCTATACACACAAACAATTAGTTTAGGAACGACAATTGCTACCTTCTTAAAAAGCTGAAACCTGTCTTCGCCATGATTTATTTCCAATTAATAGTGGTCCAGATAATATTTTGGCATTGAAACTGGCATTGAAACTGTTTCCTGCCTTCTGTTGCTATGGATGGCTAGAATAGACATTGATTGAAACTTAAAGAAGTTGGGCCTATTTTTTCAAGCGCGGAAGCTTTGCTTGTAAAAATCACCAACAAGTTGTTATGAAAAAGTTTTTCAAGTTCTGAAGCTTTGCCTGTAAGAATTGCTCCCTGGTGAAATTTGTTTCATATCTTTTTCATAACTGTACAGGAGAAGGAGAATTTTGTGTATTGTTTAAGGCACTAAGTAATGATTTAAGCACATAATTGACCTAAACCTAAACCAGGAATAGCTCTCTTGACAAAGCCTCGTGAAGGTGCACTGAGTACAGTTAAAGACATCTCAGTAATTACAGTCAAACCCCGTTAATATGGATACTGAGGGGGTCATAGAAAGTGTCTGTTTTAACGGGCTGCCCGTATTAATGGGGTTGAATTTAGAGAATATGTAAAAACTGTCTTTCGCCAGGGACAAAGAAAACTGTCCGTGATAATGAAGTGTCTGTGTTAAGCGGGGTTTGACTGGACTGACAACGCTGAATTACAGTCAGTCTTGTTGTTTGCAAAGATACAACTCAGAAATCATACAATTCCCCACCTCTGTAATCCAGTCACCTTCGGGGGACCACTTGTCTCTCTTCCGCTGGTGCACGTATTAAGAAGCTGCAGACTACTCTCAAACTCCACTACAAAATTAGTCGTAAAGAGCAAAACTTTTTGGCATGGTCAGGGTCGAGAATACGTTTTTGTTGTTGTTGCTTTATTATCTTGTGGAGCTGCGAAAAAGATCACAAGGACTTTTGCTTTATTATGCGACACCATCTGTTAAGCATTTTTGTTCTAGTGCAGGGACCAAGGACTCAGCTGATTCCAATAATGACTAATGACGAGTTGCTTTGGTTGTTTTAAACAGGTATCCCGTATACGCATGCCATACGCTGCCAAGCTTCTTTTCCAAGAACTTATGTCAATGAGTATTGCCCCTCGGATGATGGTGAACGAGCAAGTCAAATGAACGATAGACGTCCTGTACTTTCCACTACATTAGTATCTACCCCTGATAGAAGGCGATCAAGCTCAGCTGTACAAAAGACTTACTGGGTATGATTTTTTTTTCTTTCGAACTGTACTCAGCACACTTTCCCTTTGTGGAGTACGCTGGTGGACGAGACGTAAACATTACTTTACAGCAAACTCGGGTTTTGGAAGTAATCCACTTTAGTTGAACCGTAGGCGGAGAGAAACAGTCCGTTTGATGTAACGATAAATTTAAGAACCCTTGTATAAAGTATCTTGTGTAACTAATAAAGACCAGTTGTCCCGGTTGTCAGGGTTGTTCTGGTTGTTCCGGTCGTTCCTTTGGTCCTATTCATCCCAGTCATCGCGGTCTTCCCAGTTGTCCCAAATGTCTCGTTCGTCCCTGTTAGCCTCGTTGTCCTTGTTTTCTTGGTAGTCACTGTTGCTCTTGTTGTCCTTGTTGCCCCTGTTGTCCTTGTTGTCCCAGTTGCCCCTGTTGTCCCTGTAGTCCTTGTTGCCCCTGATGTCCTTGTTGTCCCAGTTGCCCCATCTGTCCTTGTTGCCTCTGTTGCCCGTGTTTTCCTTGTTCCTTGTTGTCTTAGTTGTCCTTGTTGTCACTGTTGTCCTTGTTGCCCCTGTTGTCCTTGTTGTCCCAGTTGCCCCTGTTGTCCCTGTAGTCGTTGTTGTCTCTAATGTCCTTGTTTTCCCAGTTGCTCCTGTTGTCCTTGTTACCCCTGTTGTCTCTGTTACCCGTGATGTCCTTGTTGCCCCTGTTGTCCTTGTTACCCCTGTTGTCACTGTTACCCGTGATGTCCTTGTTGTCCTTGTTGCCCCTGTTGTCGTTGTTGTCCCTGTATTCCTTGTTGTCTTAGTTGTCCTTGTTGTCTTAGTTGTCCTTGTTGTCTTAGTTAGCCCTGTTGTCCTTGTTGCCCCCATTGTCCCTGTTTCCCCTGTGGTCCTTGTTGCCCCCATTGTCCCCATATCCCCTGTTGTGCTTTTTGCCCCTGTTGCCCTTGTTATTCCTGTTTCCCTCTTTGTCCCCGCTGACCCTGTTGTGCTTGTTGTCCTTGTTGCCGTTGTTATTCCTGTTGCCCCTGTTTTCCTTGTTTTCCCTGCGGACCCTGTTTTCCTTGTTGTCGGGGGGAGGGCTTTGTTTGCGCAAATCTGGATATTTTTGGAACCGCATATATTTCTTTACACGCATCGGCTCCCTCCTCACAAATCCGACAAACAATTTCAAAAAGTTCCGGATTCGTGAATGTTACTGAAACGAGGAGGGTGGAAGGGGGAACTGGGAAATCATAATTTTATACTTTAAAGATTCATTGTCTGGCAATTCCCAGAGGGGACTTGCAAACAAAACCAAACCAAATATAGAGAAATGACCAGAAAGCCTCGAAGTCATGTAATCTTAATATATCGAACGTTGGCTGTTTCTGTTTTGTTCAGTCCCATTGTTCATGATGACCTGCACCGTTCCAAAGCTGCCCTCTGATTGGCTAGTTAGCGAGAACAATAGAACACTTCTCGGGAAATGATGTGAGTCATATATGCGTCTTGTACTATTTCACATTATTTATGTACCGAGTATACAGGTTGCTCAGAGAATCTTCGACAAGATTTCCGAGTTGTAGACAGTAAGAAAGACGTTTCCTTATTGTAAGGGCCAACAAAGAAAAGGCAATCCTGTTTGATAAGTCCCAATGGAACACTATTTGTTTTTGCTAACATGAAGTGCTCACCAAAAGCGCAGCTTCTACAAAGGTTTCAAACCCTTTCCAAAGAATTACTATCACACTGACTGGCTGCTTCATCAGAATTCTACAGTTTTGCTATGAGTAAATTTGGCCTTCCGATTGTTTCTCGGTTTTGCGGCCACAATTACTGAGTGGCACAAACTTTTGAAAAAGCATTAGCGTTGAGTTCGACTGAAAATTTTATAGCGGTGCCCATTGCATTCGAATGATAAGTAAATTCAATATTCCAAAACTGAAAAACAATGCGGTTCTTGGAGAGCTTTTACTTAAACATCATAGCTTTCCTTGAGCAACAACTCTCCAAGTTCTTCTTTTTCCTTGGCCGGTTCATGAAGAACTTGTTCCTTCTCTGTCATTTCTGTGGCACTAGCGCTGCTGTTGACGGAATCAATGTTCTCTAGCGTTGCGGCATCTCTGGTCTCTGGTAACAAAAAGCACAGAGCGGCACACACGAAAGCAAGAACTGCCGTAATGGAGTATGGTAAGAGAACATGGACCCGAACCTGGAAAGATATATCAGAACATAAGAACACGGAAGTGCAAATGCAAGACTATAGCTGATAGGGCCTCTGTTCGCACATAAGAGCGGTTAGTTCAAGGCGATTTCTGTAATGTAAGGGCAAAGGTACTCTGATAAATTTCTCACACTCTTTGCCGCAGTGAAAACAGGTATTAAGGTCGTTGCGCAAATGATAAGAATAGAGGACTGGAACCCACCGAGACGGAAGAAGTGAGTATTGAGATGTAATGCACCAAACCCTCTTCGCCAACAGCTCCGGTACAATGTTCGATGTGTGTTAACGACTTATTCAAGCTCTGGCCGGTGCCATTCAAACTGTACCGTAGAGCCTTTCGAGTCGGCAAGAAAGGCTATCCGATATTATGTAGACATAGCTCAGAGCAACAGCTAGGAACAACCAAAGGTGGATCACTATACGTTTCTGGGAAACTAACATTTTGCCCTAAGTGAGAAGTAAGTGTTAATGTTGGCTTAAGGGAGGGGTAGGTGGACAGTTTCCAAGAAACGTATAATAATCTCCAACGGTTAAGGAGTGCGGGGGACTTTCACGCTTCTAATCGGAGGTCAAAACGCACTTGCGCCAACACTGTATGCGCTTTGCTTTCTTTTCACAAGAGATAGAGGGTAAAAGGAGCGTGTTCAGATTGCTTTCTGTGCATTCCATTTATTCTTAGTGGAAGTCCAAACGAATGCTGGCTACATACGTGCCAAGCCTGCCTCATCGAAACCTGGGCCGAGTTGTTCAAAGCTGGGTTAAGAAAACCCAGGGTTAGTGCGAGATTTGAATTAAGATTTTAAAGTTTAAAAAGCATTTCAGTTTTAATTCTTTTTGTCTACAAATTGATGACTGGAAGCTCTTAAAATAAGAGAGAAAATTATCCGCGAAAATACTTTTGAACACAGGTCAAACAAACCTGGGTTAAATTTAGCCCCGGGTTAAGCGCAAATCGACCTTCGAACAACTGGGCCTGGAGATTAAGATTGCAGACTCCTCTGGTCGCCCGCAACATCAGTGTACAAACATGAATAAACGTACCAGCCAAACTATATATGGTGCCGACATTGATCCAATGCCAGCTGAGGCGGATGACACTCCCATACCGATATTCCTGGGAAAATAAATGGAAGAATAAATTGATCAGTGGAATGTGTACGAATTCAAACAAATGACCAGTTTATTCTCCGAATGAGATGTAAACTCAGTTGACCCGAATAAAAATTCTAATCGAGGGTTTCTTAAAATATGCATCAAGAACAACTAGAGGGAAACGCGGTATTTAAAAGCGCTATTGAACAAATGGACAACAATTTTCCATTTTCTGTACTCTTAGCGACCATAGAAATGACGTCAAAATGTTCAAAACTCAAGTGAAACAATAAGCACGAAGCCGTGTCACTTAAAAGTTTGGAACATTTTGACGTCATTTCTATGGTCGATAAAAGTATAGGCCATGGAAAATTGTTGTCGATTTGTTGTTACAACACCATTGACAGCTTTAGACATCCATTCCTGTTGACGTTTCTCGGAAAATGGCGCGCCCGAAAAACGTAAAAAACAACCACTTCGCCACCATCACGCCATTTCTATGGTCTGTACTCTTATCGACAATAACTCTCAACCAGTCAGCGCATTAGAAATCGCTCAGTTTTTGTAAAAAGAAAAAAGGAGTTACAACCAATACTGAGATAATGTTAAAACGAGAATGGCGCCGGGTTATGTCTACTCGTGGGTCAACCGGACGAAAGGCCTTTTTCTCTTTAAAACTACCTTAATGTGATCTGCTAATTGTCTTTTCTGTCACAGAGATCATTTGCCCGATTGTTGGCAACACATCTGCCCCAAATCCAAATACAGTCTAACTGCAGCTCTACAAGGGCCACCTTGGGGGCAGACGAAATTGGCCGTTATAGTGAGGTGGACTTCGTAGAGAGGTTTAAAGCAAAGCAAGAGAGGATAAAGGGTCCCCTTTATCCTCTCTTGACCAAAGTCCATGTAGGGACTGTCCGCCCAAAAAGTGACCTTTGTTGAGAGGTGGCCGTTAGTTGGGGTTCGACAGTTAGTTCAGAGGTTCTCCGTTAGTAGAGGTTGACATGCACATGTTTTGCTCAAAAATACTTTTGTTGAAGCTTAAGCAAACAATAGTGACAGATACAGACCTTTAGGTGGGAAGCGAAACATCTCATAGACTCGGCCCTGCGGGCCTTAGTTAAGTAAAAATAAAGGTGATCCCTTTCCTCTGATATATATCCAAACTGTACCAACAATACCTGATAACTGTTGGGAAAAGTTCATTGGAGAACACGTAGATTGAACTAAACGACATGTTGATGAAGAATTTGGCGACACCTTGTGCCATGATGATATTTGCTACCAGGAATCCTGAAATTAATGGTGGTGACAGGATTGAGTCATAGAGTGAATTGAAATCATTATAATCTGTCATTTAGATATGAGAAATTGAAATGATTTTAGTCTCTCGCCAGAACCTACGCGTCTCATCCCAAAAACAATCCGCATAAATTGAGTTTAACTGAGATGGGTAGACGTTCAAGCGCCGCCATGCTCAACTTACGTTTTCAAAAACCTTCCTTGTCTTGTAAACAAAAACGCATCAAATGCCTCACGTCCACACTAGCAAAATAGCACATTTCTGACGCGATGTACGCTAATTGCCGCATTGTCTGTTCATACCTATATATACTTATTAATTTACTTCTAACATACTTTTATTAGTATTCCCCAGGGGGCTTTTCAATAATAAACAGCAAAGAACATTACAATGAAAAATGAATAAAATTATAAAAAGGGGTTCCCTGCATTTTAAGCTGAAAATTATGTCTCGATCGACAAAATTCAGAAATTAGGAGGTTTAACTATTCAGACATAAACAAAAAGGGAGCTAAAAACATTCTCCGGTCTCCCTGACAACACAAGTGTTGCAAACACTATAAGACACGAAAAGCTAGTGGTGGGATGGGCCGGGATTTGGTTGGGTTACCTGTATTTTTCAGGTCGCGCTGGAACAAAACTGCAACAATGGAAGCAATGCACGCTACGACCACGCCCAGTACAGTGGTTTTTTTTCGGCCAATCCTGAAACATAAAAATGCCGGGTAATTTACTGATTTTCATATTAATTCATTTCTGGCTCCGTTAGTCATAGCTCATACGCTGTAGTATAAGAGTCATTCTTGGTTCAATTTTTTTTTCAATTTTTTTTTCTCTTTCCATTGCAATTATTTCACGATAATGAATATAAAATGACGAATATGAAATTGGCCGTTTGTACCGGGACACCCGATATAATTAATGCCAATGTACTGAGAAAGTACATACATGTAGCACGGGTGCGTATATTTTCTAGTTTTCAATCCCCCATAATAGCAAGGGGTAGAGAACAGACACTAGAAAGGAGGCAGACCTTGATCAGTACACCATGTTTTTCTTTTACGTTACATTCTTGGGTCTAATAATTGCTTATTTTTTGGAAGGATTCCATTAGGAATTGTTCAAATTGAATGATTTGAGTAAATTGCTTTTCATGCTTACATACATACCTACGGCAGAGTACTATGCAAGTCCAGTTAGACGGAATCTCTACGAGGCTTGTCAAGAAGAACACCAAGTAACGATTACCACCAAACGTTCCCGCGCTGAATGAAACAGCGTAATAAACTAATGATATGACCATCCTAGCATTGGAAATAGAAAGTTGTTTAGAAATTTCCATTCAGTCAGAGCAGTTCCTATAAATAGTTAGAGAAATTGTATCGTCAACGGGAATTCTGTAAAAAAAAACCATGGCAATTCAAGTAATTATAAGAGGGCAGAAGTTATAAACCATTGCGGCTCCCGAGATATAGAACTGTGGTAATCGTAAATCATTAGTAATTCATATACCAAACAGGTGCAAACATTTTTAGGAGGAGCCAACCGGCGGAGAATGCAAGCAGGCACAGTTACTGACGGCAGGGCATATTACTACACAAAACGAAGCAAAATAAGCTAAAGTAGATGTAACTCCGTTACGTACGCGCTAACCAATACACGCGCGCGATTGACTACCCACAGAACCCTCACCATTGTCCGCCAAATGTAGTTTTTTTCGCAGAAAAAGCCGCCACAAAAAGGGTGAGAACATTTGTTCAACATAGACCGAAAATTGGCAAATGGTTACTTTCCATTCCGCTTTGTATTATACCACTTATTGTTGTTCCGCTCCATGCAAAACACTTATCATCTCTACTACGGGAAAAAAAAATCAGACTCATCAGGGATTTGTTCAAAGTCTGATCGTCCTGATGGTCGGAGAACTGAACACTTGATCCTTTTGAGCGAAGTCAAATCATTTGTAGAAAGGAGCTTACCATGTAAAAATCATTTAAGAAAGTCTGTCTTACGCGGGTAGAAAGAATTGTCACATGTCACGTAAGGACTAACGGGTATGGTAAATACAGAAAATATATGTTTACCAACCAAGAAAAACAGGATATCAGAGTTCTCTTTGTCATGTTAAAAGAACTAAAGAGGTCGCGGAAGTCCCCAGTTCTCTGTCCCTCCTTAGCGTCTTTCAGTTCAAGTTCTTCATTTGGCATTTCTTTTTTATTGAAGGCGGCCACCTTTTGGAGTTTATTCCTTGCTTCTTCTTTCTTGTTTTTTACAAGAAGCCAACGCGGAGATTCTGGTATAAACCTAAAGTGAAACATTACACTCAGAGGGTTATCAACAGATTGACACTATTCGGGAAAATAACAAAATGAGCGATGGTGAGCTCATAGACTTAGTGCATCTGTTTTAGTCCCAAAAAACAAATTTGGCACTGCGGGCTCAAAATGTGCTTCAACCTCTTTTGAAGGGCCCCTCCCCTGGATCGGCCATTTATCTGAAGAGTGCGGATGTAATTTCACATATATATGCAGCACTTGATGATTGGCAAACAACACGAACCATCTTTTATGAACTGTACTTACCACCAGAAGAAAATTTGCAGGAGGCCTGGGGCTGATCCTACGATGGAAAGTGTTCGCCAGTCTCTTATCAGGTAAGCAATCAGTGCAAGCCACAATAGGGACAAGACCCAGAAATAGAACAAGGTGGTTCCAATCATGTGACGATGACGTTTTCCAACATACTCCACAAGTAAAACGTAAGAAGCGAGACCGCAAGATCCTGTAAATCAAGGAAAGAGATAGAAGATGATTTTGAAACTAAGCTATGTTACCACCCGCTGTTTGTTAGTTAGACCGGTCTCGGAAAGAACGGCGGAAATCGACCCTATATCGAGCTAGCAATCAGTGTGATTTGAGTCGACCACGAGTCTACACATTTCCGTTGTAACATTACCTAAAAAAGCTGGCTTCAAATTGCCATATGATCGCCATCTTAGAGCGGGCTACAATCTAGTCCGGCCCTAGAGCCTTAGTTATCCTAATCCAGTAGGACGGAGTGAATCCTGGCGCTGATCAGAAGGATCGCAGCCTCTGGAAACGAGATTGTGCGGGCTAAAGAAATGTGCGCATATTTCAAGCAACAAAAGAAGATTTTATCCATTTCAGTGGGTTACCTAAGTTTCCAAATCTATCCGGACAGGTTTAGTGTAACTGAGGCTCATATTAAGGTACATGATATAATAAGAGTATGTACTAAAAGTGAGTGCGACAAACTCCGTCACCGCGTATACATGGGCAATATTATATCAAGGGGGATTTCCAGTGTCGCGTAATTTTTACGTGCGTAATTTTAACGTTAAATAGAAGCAATGTAAGAAAGGTCCCCCATAAACGTTAAATTTGAGCCTTATGCAAATAAAACTGAATTACGCGACAGTGGATTCCATAAGTTTCTCTCTTGAAGAGACATTCTAATTTATTCAACGTAGTTTCTAGGTCCTGGAAAATTTTAGACCTAGGGCCGGGTTGTTCAAAGCTGGGTTAAGATAACCCAGGGTTAGTGCGAAATTTGAATTCACTCTCAGATATGAAAGCTTAAACAGTAAATTCACTTTTATTCTTTTGTCAACAAGTTGTTGATTGGATGCTTTTAAAAAAAAAACAGAGAAAACTATCTAAAAAAATTCTTTTGAACAAAAGAAAAAGAAACCCAGGTTAAATTTAACCCTGGGTTAAGCGCTAATCGGCCTTCGAACAACTGAGCCCAGCAGGAGCCTAGGTTGACATTTAACTTAAGCTACTTTCACAAGGCACCGGACGTTACTTTCGACCAGCTGAAAAATTTGACCCGCGACACTTCGTTCACTCGGAACCTTAAAGAATCTCACCCACCCAGTTTGCATTGCGCGCCTTTGTTGTTGTTGTTATCCGGGATATGCTTATAACGCTCCCATATTTGGTCAAAGATAAGCCAGGTCCAGACAAGCGTGAAAGGTCACATTTGTTATGGAAACTGAACGGGACAGTGAGCGTGATTTTTCAGAAACGGCAAGGAGATAAAGAAGTAAACAAAAGAATAAAACAAAAGAAAATATATATTTAAACAAATTGCAAACTATATTGCAAAATATATATATTTAAACAAATTGCAAACTATATTGCAAAATATAAATATTTAAACAAATTGGACAATTTGTTTAAGTATATATTTTTTTGTTTTATTCTTTTGTTTACTTCTTCATCGCCTTGCCGTAAGGATCAGTTTGCCATTTCATATTTTTCTACAAGTTTAATTGTACTGATCCAGGTCTACAACTGGGAGATCCGGCACCACTCATTGGTTTGATGCTGTGACTTGCTGACATTTTACATATTTTGCCAATTATAGACCCCATCCTAGTCACCGTAAATGTGAAGAACTTTCTTACCCCAAAAAATCAGAAAATATGCGACCCCATCATAGTCAATCCAGTGGCGAAAATTCGACCCCATACAGCGGCACATCCCCATTAGCCTCTTGTAAGGAAGTACCCCCCACTCGCCCCCTCCGGGGCTTCGGGCCAATTGCAACTATCGATAATCAACCTTGAATTCGAAATTCCGCCCACTCGCTACTTACCGCTGAAAACACCCACGAAACATCTAAGTAAAACGTACAGCCAGTAAACATGGACGAAAGACGCAGCCAGTCCCATAATACTACAGAGTACAGAAGAGAAGTAAAGTATTGGCTTGCGTCCAAATTTGTCTGATAGAACTCCTCCAACAAGGACACCGATCAAGACACCAAGGAAATTTACAGATTTGGTCAGTTGGGACAGCGCTGATACTCTACAAACCAGGTCGAACTGAGAGAAAATCACAAGAAAAATAGGGTCATATTCAGTGCCGAAACTACAACATATTCAATCGAGATATTCAGGCAATTGCTATTCCATTAAAATAAAATAATGTCTTTGAAGTATTATCATAATTTAGAGGAATAAATTTGCTACATATTAAAGCGACAATGTCAGCTAATGTCTTAATGGTGTGTTTTGTTATTCCTGTGAGTGCAAAAAACCGTTTGGAAGGTTGTAAAGTGCCAAACGGGAAGGCTCCGCCAGAAAGGGGTATCTTTTTCAGGTTTTATGTGTATAAAAGAGTAGGGTTTTCAATCGTTGAAGTTTATGAAAGGGTACGAAAATCTGTCATATCATTCTGTGGTAAAACGACCCAAAAGAGCTAACAGAGGCATCTTATAGCTGTGATCAGAAACTAGATAACCAGAAAACGTCTTGGTTTAAACACACTGAGTGATTTATTCATATTTAAATGACGGTGCATTTACAGCAGTCAAAAGGGATGCAGCATTCCATACTAGGTACAGTGGAACCCCGTTAATGCGACCACCGTTGGGCCATAAAATCCTGGTCGTAATAACGAGGTGGTCGCATTAACGGGGTCTTCAAAATAAGAAAATGACTCAATGGTTTTTACGTTTGGTTTGAAAGAATATGGCCGTAATAACGAGGTGGTCTTATAAACGGGGTGGTCGTAAGGCGGGGTTCCACTGTATGTAAAAAGGATACCATTTGTCAATCGAAGGTATGCGAAAGGGATACCTTTTCTGTGTCAATGTCATGTCATGAAAGGATAAGGAATTGGACCTCGAAGCGGAGCCTCGCGTATAAAACTTTGTTGGGTGTCCCCCTCGGGCAACTGATAATCGAGAACTTTTCAGATTCTAAGGCAACAACGACTGCGAGTTCGAGATTTTCTCAATTATACTAAGTAGCGCTCGCGCGTGAACCTGCGTCATTTTGGCGGGAAAACGTGATAGCCGTCGTCATTCTACTAGGCTTGGATAAATTCTGCTCGTAAAATGGCTTATTCTGCCTGCCTGCAGTGCTCGTAAAAATCGCTTATTCTGCTCAAAATTCTGCTCGGACACCCTTATTCTGCTCGAATTCTGCTCGGTATTCGAAAAAAATTTCGGCCCTTCGGGCCGTATTTATTTTCGCAAATATATAAGAGAGCGCGGGTATTTTCCATTAGTGTTTTTTATTTAGTTTTTAAGTTTATTACAACTGTTATGCATATCATTAGTGCCGCTGATTTTCCCTTATTCTGCTAAAATTCCGCTCGAAAATGCCTTATTTTGCCAGCAGAATGCTCACCCTGCCAAAAATCGCTTATTCTGCTCGAAATTCTGCCGGCAGAATTTATCCAAGCCAACATTCTACTACTTCAGTATTAATAACTGCGGTAACGCTTTTGCGAAAAAAAGTAAAATGAAAAGCTTTCCAGAGTGTCATTTTTTTTAGTACACGCGCAAAAACTTACAGTAAAGTTACAGTAAATCTCGTACTTGTACTCGTTCTGCATGGTACTCAATGCTAAGCTCTCTAATGTCGTAGTGGTAAAAACAAGTTATCAAATGCTAAAAATAGTTTTATCAGTTTCCGGGTTGTCTATTTTTTGACAATTCGCGAAAAAAAGAAATCAAATCAAATCTCCTAATCATATTCGTTCTCGTCCTCGTATCTACTAGGAGGCGGGACTTACCTCTGTTACAACTGAATTAGTTATTTCATTCGTGTCAAACTCCCAGTCATCCCGGGGAATTGAACAGCGAAAGTTATAATTGTGATCTCCAGGTTTGAATATTCCTGTAAGGTTGCAAGCAGAGCTGCCTTCTTTACAGCGCCACGGCGGTTCAATGCTGAGAAATGTTGGGATCATTACGAGAATGCTGTTTCCAAACAGATACATAAAACCAAAGATTAACAGCAGTCTGAGCTGATATCGTCCAAAGCTGCCAATCTTGTCCAGAACGTCATCAACTGTAAGACCCATGATTAGCTACGCAAAACAAAAAACAAACCAGAAATTTCATCAAAAACATGGCTCGGTAAAATTACCTTACTACCCATATTAACGTGATTCGCTGGTTTTGCACTGCGCATAACAAGATGGCCGCCGTGAAAAGACTTCAAAAGAGCATCTGAACTAACATTATTAAATGAATTTTCGCTTGCGGTTGTTTCTTGCCGAGATAAGACTCACGGTGTTGGGAATGTACATAACGCGAGAAGTACTCGCGTTGCTAAGTTCGACTTCCTTACGGAGAACCTCGATGGTGGATGTTAAACTTGTGCTAACTCACTTTGCTTTTCATTTAAGCGCCATCTTTATCAAATTTTGTCCTAACTATGATATCTTGGTGTAATTTCTGTAAAAACGGATTTTTCAATGCCTTTTTCCCCTTCCACATACGTGCAATTTTGAAACTCGCCTCAGTCCTCTATCAAAAATGGTACGCACTTTCTGCAGCTCTACCGCAAAAACGAGTACGTTGACCCCCATTTTTTATTTCATGTTTTTAATAAGAATATTGCTTCCTTTCAATGAGAAAAAAATTGGCAGAAATCTTTGTTCAGTGTTTTGGCAGTTTTAATAAATTGTACGGATTAAGCTATAACGGGTCGAATAGCGCGTGTCCAAATTTAGTCGCTTTTGGAGCGTTAAGTAAAAACAAGGGCATTAACAGGCATTTTTGGGATACGTAAGTGATACGATATTTTTTGTCGATCGTTATTGATTACTATTGATTGTTATAGGAAAAGATTTAAGTCATTATTGTCATTATTCGGTAGTAGCTCAACATTACCAGCAAAACAAAACAACAAAACACCACCAGGAACAAATTGCTCTTTGTTTTGATTTTTTAGCTTACACGCAGTTCATAATAAGGAAAGAAAAATTGCTGCGAAAGTGGCAGAAAATACACCCTGGTCCCAGAGGTTTTTCATGATTTTTCTTCGCGAAAGAGATCAAGAGCAAACCGCGAAGCGGCGACAACGAGTCGAGAAAGCGATGAGGAGAGAGAGAAAAACCTCTGGTTACCTTGGCCTCGAATCTCATTTTCATGCAGACGACAGGGTCAGGATTTGACCCTCGGGCGTTGATTGGATGATATTTTTTTAAACACGCAAACCAATTTGATTGGCTCGTTTAATGGTAACTACCGAGGGGACGCTGAGGATTTTCACTCCTCATTTTGCCTCTCTCTACCAGGGAAGAAAATTGTTTGTATGCTGCACTCGCAATAACATTAGCACGAGACCAAGGCACGTAAAGGCACGCCATATTTCGAGATTTTGACATGGACGTTGTTCCTGAAAGAATATTCGAAGAAATTTTGACCTCGGTACTTGATGAGCGCTTTCCTGAGTCTCACTGAGCAATGTGTTCACCATTTTATCAACCGGACATGGAAAGTATATAATATTTCAGTCGTTACCTGATGTTTGCAAGTACCTTCCCTTAAGAGGCTACTTATACCCTCGCCATGCAATAATTTTGGTTGTCTGTCCTCTCAAGTCTCTTGTGGACTCGCATATTCGCGAACTGCGAAACCGTGGCTTGAGTCCAGACGTTGACGACCAGAATCTCGTGTCTCGATGTATTTACCATTTTCTGTTACAACACTGTCATTCCATTAAATAAACTAACTTGTGTAGGGTAGCAAAATATATATCTCCGAATACGGAATGAAAGTTTCCTTGTAGGGAAAAAACATACAACTTTGTACAAGTACGTAATCATTTTCGGTACAGCTTGCATTTTCCTGCGACGCCTAATATTTTAGATCTTTAAAAAGATCTAACCAACGTTATTTTTGGCATTGGGTCAACAAAAACCTCTGAAAGTCCATTCCGAACCTTGAGGGTTTGTTGTGCTGCATGACTCTTCCTAGCGCCGTTGTTCCACAAAAAAAGGAAATGGAGCCGCCAAACCAAAATGCGAGCCAGATGGCCAGAATACATATTAATATTACTATTTTAGGGGGAATGCCCGCGAATCGACACGAACGGCGTACAACTTTACAACTTCCCACTGGCACTTCTGACAGATAATCCCGTTGAGTCATGTACACAGCCGACAGAACAGATGACAATGTTTGTGAAAAATCCTGGTTATTATACCCAATAACGTAGATTTTATATCGGCCACTTATTTTTACATAAATTCTGCAAATCCTGCAGCAGTCGTTTGAAACAATGTTGGTTTCTTTATAAAGTAGTGTTCTTATTCCTGGACTCTTGTCGCCCATCGTTAACACATGCTTCAGCTTGACCCGATTAACAAATCACTCTTTACCACCCTAGTGGAGATGGTTTGTTCATAACATAATTTCCCCAGGTCTACCCCCACTTGAAAAAATAGCGGCTGATAGGCACGTGTTTGCTAAATTGCCATTGGTCACTCCTTTTATTCGCAATTTGACGCGTTTGACAGCTGTCGTCTGCATGAAAGTGAGATTCGAGGCCAAGGTAACCAGACGCTTTTCTTTCTCTCCTCCTCGCTTTCGCGACTCGTTGTCGCCGCTGCGCGGCTTGCAGTTGATCTCTTTCGCGAAAAAAAATCAAGAAAACCTCTGGGACCAGGGTACAGAAAATACACCTAAAAATAACTCTCTGTCGCAGTAGCGACTGCATAAATATGGAGCATAATAAAAAGCAAAATCAGTGTTCCTATGATTTCAACGAGTCGCAATAAGAAAGAACTACCTCTGGATTGAATGAACAAGTAAAGATTTTGGTTTTAGGACGCCGTTTTGGTTGAGTGGTTCAGTGTAAGATATTACGGCGGCTTGGCAGCAGGATTTTTGAGCCTGAAACGGCCGACAGTACATGATAAGGCAAGGGCAATAGCTCAGGTTTTTCTACCATACTAAGCGAAGTTTTACGAAGGATCTCAAAGTAGATATCGATCGAATCAAATATATCCTTCATCATTAGCATGGGATTAATCATCTACTTACTGGATGCTTTGTCAAGCTGGAGCATCGCATTCGAGCTAGCCATGTGTACAATAAAACATCAGTCCTGGACAATATACATGATTGAAAGATAAAGAGTTTAAAATGTTTCTTGATCTGAGTTGTCATGTCCGTGAGAATACAATGCCGCTCACTAACACTACGTCCCACATACCCCAAAACTGCATAATGGACATTTCAGTTGTATTCTAGCAACTTAAGCGGTGTAAGAAAAATACATACCTCGATCAGTTCAGAACCTAATGAAGTTATTTGTACAGGTACGGTAAACCAAGTGTCGGCGAAACCTCTACAGACTCAACCGATTTGACTTCACCGAACCAGAAACCGCGAACCAGGGAAACCAATTTACAATAGTCCACGTTCGATACATTAAAATTCTCACATGACTCCAGGGCTTTAGGGTCAAAATTGCAAATTTTTAACAACTCCATTTTCTCGGGATTCCCAGAAGAGACTTGAGCACAAAGAAAACCAGCCTCCCCGCAGACGTCCTTTGGGGTTCATTTGTCACGCATTCATTTCTCCCCCACGGAGGAGAAATGAATGGGTGACAAACAAACCCCAAACGATGTCTTCGGGGAGGCTAAAAGAAAACCAAACCAAGTATAGAAATATGACCAGAAAGCGTCGAGTCAAGAAAGAATTTTAGTACGGTAGAAAAAACGGCTCGACAGCTCGAACTTGGAAAACTTGAATTCCCCTCAAACTCGAACTGTTTTCTGTTTCCTGTGAGAGTTCGAATTGTATGTCGAAGGTAGGTTATTCACGACGACTTCCAGTAAACGGCCCCTCGGGGGGAGGGCGAGGGTAGAGGTGCTCAAACCCAAACCCTGTTTAAAAAAAATTTATTTTGCTAGTGCATTTCGGATCCCTGTTTAAGACAAGAGATCTTAATTTATGACTCTGACTCAGTTCTTTTCGCGTTGAATCAGATTATTTTAACACCCTGTTCAAGACGTTAACTAGTGAATGTTTAAGACTAGTGATCACGAGGAAAACCACAGCGTACTAACACATACTCGTCTGGGCCAAATAAGGCCCGGTTCAGACGCTGCTCCACTCATGGGCTGAACCTAACTGATGAATTGAGTGCGGCAAAAGAGCGGCGTCTGAATCAATTTGCCAAAGCAGTTTTCATTTGGTGCGGAACTACGCCAAACCCGACAGAGACTGTCGCATTATTCGACGGTGGAGCGGCAGGTGCGCTCGGGCCTAATGCATGCATTACGCATACATTAAATTCATAATTTTTTTTCCCACAGTCTTGCTCGTTTTTACCTGAGGTGCCACGCGCAGAGCACTGAATTGAGGAAAATGGCTGGTAAAGAAGAATAATCGTGCCCATCTTGCTCTAAGAATACAAAATATACTTGTTTACGGTGCCTGGAATACTTCTATTTCGGTGAAACTGTCAAGGGATGGAAAGCGGGCACTGTTCAGTCGCATATTGTGAGCCATGTTAAAGAAGAAGTTACGGAAGAGCACGAAAAGGGTACTCTGGATTTGAAGTGACAGGGATGCTGGAAGGAATTTTTGGGGGGTTTGAAATTTTGGATTTCGGGTACGAAAATTTTGGCAAGTACTTTTTTTGGGTAGCTTGATTTAAGTAGGGATCTTTGGGGTATTCAAAACAATACGCAGATTCGTGATAGTGCGATCGTGGATCAGTCGCGAGAAACTGGCACGGCATCTTGGGGGTCGTTCAAAGGGGAAAACCGTATGTAACCACACATGGAAGGATGGATGGGATACAAGGGATTGGCACTGGGAGTTCTCTCTCGCCTTCCCATCATTCCTTGCTCCCTCATCTCGCGTACCCGCGCTGCGCACCCGTTAAGAAGAGGAATGTTATAGGTACAAGTCACCTGATAGAAAAGGTCATTTTCTAAACCGTTTACTGGAGCCTGGTGTAACTGAACCTGGGCCGAAGACGAAACTAAACTTTGGTTAATCGTGGTTTGTTTGCGTCTGCTACCATACCGACTCCAAGCGCTATTTTTTTTTTGTCATTTTATTTTCATTTTAGCAAGGCTACGCTCTCCGTTAACTGCACGTCGCAAAACCCATATATTCAGCTTATAACAAATTATCTGAATTAACGCCAAAATATGTAAGTTCACTCCAAAGCGTTATATCGAGGTTCTTTTCCATTTATCCTTGTTGGGGCGAGGGATATCGTTCGTTTTATCGAAGGCCTCGATAAAAATATAGATAGAGGCTCGTTATATCAAAGTTCCACTGAACAGACAAATTAAGCAACACATCTGTTACAAAAAAAAGTGAATTCGTGTATCACGCTGGACCAAAACATCTTTAAACACACTGTTTTACCTTTTTTAATATCCAGAAAGCAGGGTCTGAAATACTGTTTCTGTAAACACTACAGAATCGTATGGGGTTTTCTCGCTGTATTCATACTATGGACCGAAGACGGGAGGTGAAAAGGGGTAGCAGACTCGTTGTGACTCTTTTGGTCTGACACTAAGAACTGATATCCAAGACACACCTATGAAACTTGAAGAGGCTAGGTACGTAAAGTCTGATGACACGAGGATCTTTATTCACTCTTTATTGAACTGTGACTTCACCATTATGAAAGGCTGCCCTCTTTATGAGCATTAACAGAAGCATAAACATAAACAAAACTAAGTATAAACTTTGGTTGGATTTATTTGGAACCTACTCGTATAGCCTTACCATTCTCCCGCTGGATATTTTTGGTGTTATTAAGCTAAAAAAAATAATAAACAATTCTAACAGGCAATGCAACGGCAATACGCCTAAGCTGAAAATAAATCTACCTTTAGCTACGCTGGGTGTATATTTGGTTATTACTTTGTTCTAAGCGAGGTCAAGGTTTCAAAGCCTCAACAGCAACCCTATGTCCAAAATTGAACTCGAGAGTATTCCCACTCTCCGGGGTCGGATGTCCTTCAAAGAAACCAAGATAAGGGTTTGGGTTTTGGTTAGGGCTAGGGTTAGGGTTAGGGTTAGGGTAAGTGTCAACCCTAACCCTAACTCCCGACTCCAACTCCGACCCCGCGTTTTACTGACACCAGATAGGTTACCCTCTCTTGCAAAACCTGCCAAATCTAACTGTCATGAAATGATTTAAAATATTACAAAGGTATCACATGCATTTTTAAAGGCACCTTAAGCCCTTAAGGTTTCAGCATGAGCAAACGGCTCAACCTTTTCTCTCTCTCTACTCCCCAGGTATGTTTCTTTTTACCAATGTAGTTTAAGCAGGTTGGTCCCCCTTGAGCAACAGTTCTCCTAATTCTTCTTTCTCCTCGTTTGGTTCAGGAGAAACTGGTTCCTTCTCTCTCATTTCTATGGCGCTGCTGTTGACGGAATCGATGTTCTCCAACGTTGCGGCGTCTCTGGTCTCTGGTAACAGAAAGCACAGGACGGAACACAAGAAAGCAAGAACTGCCACAATGGAGTATGGCAGGAGAACATGAAAACGAACCTGGAAAAATGTATCAAAATATTAGAAATCTTAAATGTAATGAAAATCTAAGAAAGGCTGACAACTTCAGTGTACAATAACAACACAATAACGTACCAGCCAAACGATGTACGGTGCTGACATTGATCCAATTCGTGCTGAAGCAGATGATACTCCCATACCGATGTTCCTTGAAAATATATGAAAATAATTCTTTGTTACATATGGCTGAAACCTCAAGCAGGCAAGAACAAAATCAATCCTTTTTTGAAGAAGGGAGCCCCTGGGTTGGACCTAGGCCTCATACTTTTTTGCGCTTTTACTTTGACTTCATCTCGGTCCAGAAGAAATGCCAAAAAAAACTTGACCAATATTCCGCTATCTTGACCTCCACCTTAGTCAATAACGCGTATGCATTTTTTCATCAATAATAGGCCTAGACACAATCCAAATCGGTGAGGAAGTGGGGACGGGGGGGGTCCGAAAACGCTCTAACGCAGCTGGTTATAAAAAATTAGCCCTTGGATTTGAGCCAATTAGGAACAGAGAAAAAATTTGGACTGAATGACAGTAAAGGTTACTTCTGAATCCACTGGCGGGCAAGATCCCCTGGCCTGTAACTATATCATTTAACCGAGGCCACCGTTTCGTCTGAAACTGAAATGACTAAGGACGAGGATATGGGAATACCTGCCAATAGTTGGGAACTCATGGGAGACCCTGTGTCCATGTTTTTGGCCTAAAAATAACGTTGGACAGGCTCTCTATGCCACTGATATTTCGTGGGAGAATTCGAAACAGTTACGTCAACCCGAGACGAAGTGTCTATATCAGGCTATGCAAATACAGGAAAAAAGGTTTCTATTGCTTTTATGAATTAACTTTCCCGAGAAAAACTCAAAACACTTTATTATGGCGCTGATTAAAAGAGAAATTCTTACCAGTCGCAGTCTTGTACACGAAGTTTTGCACGCGTAATCAGCTCTTGTTTTGCAAAAAAGATGCCTTCCAAAATAACGATTTTTCTCGCTTATATTAATGTCAGCTTAAGCGAAAAAATATTGACACGGCATGTTTGTAAAGTTTTTCCAAGTTTCAGCCGACGAGGGGAATGGGTAAAATAATAAAGTAAACTTGTCGAGTTTTCAACTCAGTTTTTTTTTTCAAATTCGTGCTCGCGTGATTAGCGCTCGAAAAGCAAAATACCTTGACGTCGCAACCATGTTTACATACTCTCCTGCAAAAACGCCTCTCGGCCAATCAGAGCGCGCGTACTATCTTTGTTGCTTTACGAATGAATGTGGTAATACCTGATAACTGTCGGGAAAAGTTCATTAGAGAACACGTAGATTGAACTAAATGACATGTTGATGAAGAATTTGGCGACTCCTTGTGCCATGATGATATTTGCCACTAGGAATCCTGCAACGAGAGAAATAGATAGTCAGAACGAATGGCCGGAAACAATATTTAATCGCATGTAAAAGATTTAAAGATACGAAAATTTCTGGGCAGCAATATACAACTAAGGCGCTTGGAAACTACCCGGGGTACTCCTGGGAATTCTTGGTCGGGGTGTGCCGCCCGGTTCTTCAAATCCTGACCCGATTTCAGACCAAAATATGTAACTATCCACACCCGTTTTCAGACTAGACCTCTAAGATCCATACCCGTTTTCTGGCATTTAGGCGGAAATTGTGCTATCATTATCAGATTTATTAGGGCACAAACACAAAAAATATTCAAATCCATTTCGAATTGGCATATTTCTCTTTCTTTCTCACTCACTTGGAATTGAAATGATAACAATGTTCATACACTCCCTTAGTTGCCTCGAAAACCCAACCCGATATCAGACCAAAATGGACAAAGTTTATACCCGTTTTCAGACCAAAACGGCGCAAAAACCCTACCCGATGGGGCGGCACATACCTATATGGCTTATATGAGGGAGTACCCCCCCCCGGGGGGAAACTACCCCGTGTCTCAAGGGTAAATTTTTGGAATTCGGGTGAATGGAGTTCAATAATTCAAACACCGAAAGGAGAAAATACGACGGGCAGCGGAGTATTTTTGACGAACTTCGAGGTGTTTCATCTGGTGATGAAACACTGTGTCTCATGCGCGATATTACTTCTCAGACAATATAATCTTAGTAGGAGAAATTAAGGATGCAAAAATGAGCAGTTTTTCATCTGATTTCCAAACACTCATTAGATATTAATATCCTTTGTATTTTCTTTCTGAATTATTAATGAATTTGAGAAGATAAAGTAAACCGTAGCTGGGTCCATATCAGACTTCAAGTTGCCCAGAAAATATAACGCACCTTATCAAATAAATAATTTAGCTTAATGAAATTTCTTCATGGTTTACCTGTGTTTTTCAGGTTACGCTGGAACAAAACTGCAACAATGGAGGCAATGCAGGAAACAACCACGCCTAGCACAGTGGTTTTCTTTCGGCCAATCCTGAATAAAAATAATAAAAACGATTAAAATATATATAATACCTCCCGTTCTGTATCAACACGACCTTCTTATTTTCTGTAGTTTGATATAGTTTGGTGTAGTTGGTGCTTTTTGGTATGTTGAAATATAATATTTGCGAGCAGTTCATGCAGCTTGTGTAATGGAGTAGTTTGGTAGTTTGTGTAGAGGGCCTATTTGCTCGAATTTGGTGTAGTTTGGTGTGCATTGTTGGAGCTGGTATACTTTCGGGTGTATTTTGGAGTAGTTGGCGTAGGTTGTGGGCAACTGGTATGGTTTTATGTAGTTTGGAGTAGTTAGCTTATTAGTTTGTGTAGTAGACCAGTTTGCTGCGGTTGGTCTTGTTTCTTCTATTTAGCTAATCTACGTTTGTTGCTAACTATTACGTACTTCTTGCAGAGTACTATGCAAGTCCAGTTAGAAGGAATCTCTATGAGGCTCGTCAAGAAGAACACCAAATAACGATTTCCACCAAACGTTCCCGCGCTGTACGAAACAGCGTAATAAACCAGTGATATGACCATCCTAACAAAGATAAAGATAAAATGTTAAAAGACAGTGAGGTGGGTATTTTGTATTATTGTAAGCCAGGGTAATCCATTTATATAAAATGCAGCAAACATGAATTAAGTACACGATTTAGGCCGATTAAGGCCGATTGAGACGGTACAATTTTTGCATACGACTATCGTGCGCGACTAGCATACGTCATGACTTCACGTCAGATAGTGTCTCAGCGCAGAAAAATGCAGAATTTTCCCTCTGGTTTCCGAGGGTTTTTCCCCAAGAAATAGCTGCAGTCATAGGACAAAAAAGGGAATGGACACCAAATATTCTCGACTATACTATGAGGTGTGTGACACAGCTGGGTTTCATTTGGGGTTTCCGACCTACGACATCACGAGTAATAGGACAACACTCCCGACTTAGATTTGAACCCAGACCTTTTTCAATGACCGGACGAAACATTTTGTATAACTGACATCCTTTTAAATCTGCTAGAGGGCTGATTTTAATATATTGTGAGCTCGAAATGACTTTTTCTTATAAAACCGGATCAATCAATGTTAATGAAAGAACATTCAAAATGTTTGGAAAGAGTGAATATATGGATCAGATTAGACCTAACGGGCAAATAAGTTAACATTCCATGATGAGCCTACCATGAAAAACAGGAGATAAGAGTTCTTTTCGTCATGTTGAAGGAGTTGAAGAGATCTCGGAAGTCTCCAGTTCTCTGTACCTCGTTAGCATCTTTCTGTTCAAGCTCCTCATCTGGCATTTCTTCCCTGTTGAAAGCAGCAACCTTTTCGAGTTCTTTCCAGGCCTGTTCTGATTTGTTTTTTACTAAAAGCCAACGAGCCGATTCTGGAATGAACCTAAGGGAGTTGATAGCATTGAAAGAGATAACTAAAGTAACAATTGAAATATAGAACTACACTGGGGGAGAGAGCGAATACAAGTGCGTCATCATTTATGCTTAAGAAGCCTGTTGCTTTAAACAAAAACAAAAAGAGATGTTTCGTGTAAGCTTACTTGTATTCGAATCTCTCCCAAGCTACCAGCCAAAAGGCGAAGGTTGCAGCGATATGCCTACACTATAAGAGATGGCTTTTCGTGCCGATACGAAAACTTATGTGGTAAAGTATGAACAGCAGGTCCCTATGATCAGGGATAATCAGGCTGGCATCAACTTGCAACAAACATCTCTAATTTGCAGAAAGATAGAAATTAACCGTTTACATACAATCGAAGCTCATCAAATGCCCTAGACTAACCTACCGTTAACGATATAATAGACACCCGGGGCGTCTTTCTGATTTTAGGAGCCCAAGCGGGGGCATTTAATAGAAAGGAGTTTAAAAGAGAGGCGTTTGTTCTCATAACTGTATAAAAAAATTCCACAAAGTTAACATGCAATTGGCGAATGTATCTCCACAGTATATATATATAGTAGACTATAGTCCATCTATCAATACATCTAGGCCGTTTAGGCCCATCATGTCGTTTTTTTTAAAAGCTCAACTTCGATGTCAGAACTCGACGTTGAATAAGATGCAATGCGCAAGCTCTTGTTAATCAAACAAGAAACTGAAAAATTGAATGGTTTTGCTCTACTTCGCCATTTCCTAGTATTTTGGGGCAACTATCAAGCGGGGCTATTACTAGACGGGGGAGTTAATTAAAGACGTGTGTTTAATAAAAAGTAAAAAGCGTGAGGGGGCGTTTAATAGACAAGAGACGTTTAATTGAGAAATGTATTTAACATGGGTTATGTAACCTTTTCTTTGGGGTGTTACATGGTATGCTGTTCTGTTGCTTCATTAGCGGTAGGCTATATATATTCGAGTTGTTCTCATCTATATTCATTCGCGTCTTACGACCGTCCCTACGCCCTCAAAATTATGTCTGATGTCGAAGACGTTACTCCAGCGAACACAGATTTTCCTAGCAGCGACGTTTTGCTGCCTTCGCTTCCTAAAAAACCTTTGTCTCAATCTCTCGAAGCTTCAGTACCAATCCAGTCTTCAGAATCCAGTGATATAGCGTCCGCGTTCTCTCTATTCAGGGATTATTTCGACAAGAAGTTGGGCGCCTTGAAGCGAGATATTCAAGACGAGTGCAGTAATACCGATTCTGTGGCCAAAAAGCTCAAAGAAGAATCCAAGATCACGTTTAGATTCGAAGGTAATCATGAAGAAACAGTTTCAATTCAACTCCGACCTTGCAGAGAAGGTGAAGTTGGCGTCAGTTGCTCTCGGGAAGAGAAAATTAGACCTTGTTAAAACTCACCTGGAAGAACTAGACTCTGACATCGAGAAGCGCAACAAACTTATCAGACTGGCAGACAAGTCCGCCGCCGGTTGGGATTTAGTGAACGAGTATTTATCTGACGAGCTGGCTAGCGGGTCAGAGGACGAAAAGCGTATCCGCCGTGCCGAACAGAGGGCCCTTCGTAAACGCAACCAACGCCAACAGAAAGCGAAGCCATCCAAGCAAGGTTATTCACAACTCCAATCATCTACCGCAACCACCGCGTTTGCTGGCCAACATTCATCATCCTCCAGACCTATTTCTCTTACTTTTGGCGCTTTCAGCAAACCAAGACCAAGTGATATTTGTTTCACCTGCGGCTAGCAAGGTCATTGGAGGTCTCAGTGTCAAGTTAATCCTTAAGCCAGATCTTCAAGCTCGGGGCCGTCCTTTCCTAGTTCTTCTGGTCTTTCGGGCATTGGAGGTAAATAGGACCACAGAATTGAAAACTTGTTTTCCAAGGTTAGATATTAGCTTTACTCAATTTATTAGACATGTATCCTTCCTATTTGAAGTATTTCAGGGAAAGAGAATCTAGTTAATTAGTCGATTTCGATTATGATCGCAATCTATTTGAATTTGAACAGAATTCTGCATTGCCAGTACTTAAGGGTAGACTTAGGTCCTGTTTAAGTTATTGGCACACTATTGGTGCCAATAGTTTTGTTATCGACACTATTAAATTCGGTTATCGGATCCCATTCATTAGCACACCTTGTCAGGCGCGTTTTTCTAACAATCAGTCAGCTCTTAATAATGAGTCTTTCGTGGAGTCGGCTATCGCTGAATTAGTCCACACTCATGCCGTCGTTGAGGTGCCCTTTATTCCACATTTCGTTAATCCGCTCTCTGTCTCGATACAGTCTTCAGGCAAGAAGAGGCTTATTCTGGACTTACGTCATGTCAACCATTTCATTTGGAAACAGAAGTTTATTAGGTGTGAAGATTGGAGAGTTTCATTATCATATGTTAATAAGGGCGATTACCTTTTCAGTTTCAATCTCAAGTCTGGATATCACCATATCGATATTTTTCCGGATCACCAAACTTTTCTGGGCTTCTCCTGGGTTTTTTCTGGTACCGTTCGGTATTTTTGTTTTGCATCACTTCCGTTCGGTCTAAGCTCAGCCCCATACGTCTTCACCAAGTGTCTCAGACCACTCGTTAAGTTTTGGAGGTCTAACGGGATTAAAATAGTTGTGTTCCTCGACGATGGGTGCGGAAAAGGGGATTCACTGCCTATGACCAAGGAAAATTCATTGTTTGTGCAATCATGCTTAAGCAGTGCGGGGTTTGTTGCCAACCCCCGCCAAATCACTATAAAACCCCACTCAGGTGCTTGTTTGGTTGGGTTTAAACTGGGACTTAGTTATCGGTACCATTTCTATTATCGATAGACGTATTTGCAAATTTATCGCTCTGATTGACAAATTTCTTCTATCCGCACCTTATGTTACGGCTCGGGATTGTGCCGTTATCGCAGGTCATGTTATGTCCATGTCCCCAGTTTTGGGTAACCTGACTCGTCTCAAAACCCGTTTTCTTTACAAGGTCATAGAATCCCGCCGTAGTTGGGATTCCCATTTTAATATCGGGCTTCATAATGATTGCCTCTCTGAAATATTTTTCTAGAAAAACAATATCGTTAGTCTTAATATGGGAGCTATTTTGCCTTATAATGCTCCCCTTTTGTTTAGCTATTCGAACGCTAGCAACGTCGCCTGCGGGGCTTTTGTTGTGGGCACTAATGAGGTGTCCCATCGTATGTGGACTGCTTGCGAAGCAGCTAAGAGCTCTACCTGGAGAGAACTTAAGGCTATACAATTTGCCTTAGGTGCGTTCAAAGCCTCGGTTCGGGGTAAGTGTGTAAAGTGGCATTCTGACAGCCAAGGGGCCGTTCGTATTGTGGAGATAGGGAGTCCTAGTGCAGAATTGCATTCTATTGAGCTTGATATTTTCTATTTTTGTCGAACTTACAGTATTACACTTATTCCCCAGTGGGTTCCCAGGGAACTTAATGCTTGTGCTGATGCGATTAGCTACATTGTAGACTTCGATGACTGGTATACAACCCCCGAGTTCTTCGCCCACTTGGACCGCCTTTGCGGCCCACACACAGTCGACAGGTTTGCGAATGCTGCCAACGCCCATCTTCCCAGATTCAATTCTAGGTTTCGCGTACCCGGCACTGAAGCTGTTGACGCATTTTCAATCTCAAGGAATGGAGAGAATAATTGGCTAGTCCCTCCCGTCCACTGCATTACTAGGGTGGTTCAGCATCTCCTTGTATGCGGTGCTGTTCGTACTTTAGTCGTCCCTTATTGGCCGTCTAATGAGTTTGGGCTTTTCTTGTTCGCAAATGCAATTCAATTCCAACCGTACTTCCTTGAGTACATTCATTTTCCCTACCCGTCAGGGATTTTTGCCCTCGGGTGTTACAAAGATTCACTCATTGCAATTGGTTCAGACAGGTTTAACAGCGCGGTCCTGGCGGTCAGAATTGGCGCTAAGGGGCCTTAGTTTTTTCAAGCCGAGTGGCTTTAGGTGGCCCACGTGTTTTTTATTCCGCTTGTCAGTTCATTTGTTCTCGTTTCGCATGAAACTAGCTCGCCGAGTGGCTTGTTTACCTTCGTTTTTTAGTTGGCCCATATGGCCTTAAATAGTTTTGCATCCGGTCAGCGGCATTACCAAGCGTCCATTTTTTATTGCTGTATTGACCCCAGTGCGTGTATTGAAGAATTTTGCCATACATTTTTGTTCTTATCCTCGTAGAAGTTCTCAAAGATGCCTTGCAGCCTAATTTTCAACAGGTTGAAGACAGGCGACTCCGCGCCGGGAACTGGTTCAAGATCTCCCCGCAGTTCTTCTTAAATCCAAAGCCGACAGTACCGCGAGGAAGTACGAAAAGGGCTTCAATACATGGAGAAAATGGGCTTCTCAGTTTAAAGAAATTGTAATATTTCCCGCTTCTAGTGTGTACGTTTCATTGTTTTTTCTTATCTTGCAGAGCTTGATTCAAGAATCTGCTTCTTTCAGTACTATTGATGAAGTCCATTATGGGCTCAAGTGGGTGCATGATTTGGCAGGTCTACCCGACCCCTGTAATTCCTCGTTAGTTTTATCTTTAATAGAATCTGCTAAGAGGCTTCTCAGTATCCCTGTTAAAAAGAAAGAGCCTGTGACCCCCGAGGCTATTCAGCTTTTATTTGCTAAGTATGGATCGTCTTCAGCTAGTTTGTCTGATTTACGAGTGCTTACTTTGTGCGTTTTAGGTTATGCAGGGTTTTTTCGCTTTAACGAGTTGGTTCAGTTACGCAGGTGTGATTTTCAGTTTGAGGATTCTTTTATGAGAATCTTTGTTCATTGAAGTAAGACTGACGTTTACAGGGATGGGGCTTGGGTTGTTATCGCTAAAACTTTCAAGCATACATGTCCTTATTTATTAGTTCAACGATATGTTGTGGCCGCTTCTTTTTCAGCTGACAGCGAAGAATTCATTTTTCGCCCTCTTGTTTTCCTTCGCGGTACCGGAGCTTATAAATTCCGCGGGTCCGTTCCTTTGTCTTATACGCGGGAGATGGTGCTTAGCGCTTTCGATTCCATCGGCCTTCCCAAGCAAGACTACGGTCTCCATAGCCTTAGGGCTGGAGGTACCTCCGCTGCTGCTAATGCCCGAGTGCCTCACAGATTGTTTAAAAGACACGACCGTTGGAAATCAGATAAGGCAAAAGACGGTTACACTAAGGATTATTTCCATTCATTGTTGTTGGTTTCGTTATCACTGGGTATTTAATTTTCCGTATTTCCCGTTCTTTTAGTTCGCACACGGCTCGTGTTGACACACCCCATTTGAGGTTGCTTGTTACATGATAAATGTTTTATATTCGTTTGAGCGGGGTAGCGAATTAGAATATAAATGTATTTATCATGGGTTATGTAACCTTTTCTTTGGGGTGTTACATGGTATGCTGTTCTGTTGCTTCATTAGCGGTAGGCTATATATATTCGAGTTGTTTTCATCTATATTCATTCGCGTCTTACGACCGTCCCTACGCCCTCAAAATTAAATACCCAGTGACCAGGGGTTTCTCTTAGACGTAGTTTTTTGCATGCTGCTATATGAAAGGTTTAGCACGTTTTGTATGTTTACTGAATCATTGTTATACGAGCATAGTTTAGATCATTTTGTAGGGTTGTTCTTCCTGCTGTAATTTTTTACATTTCCGAGTTTTCATTCTGTTTGTTGTATTATTTCCATCCATTCTGTTGATGAAGGCATAATAAAGAGGGTCGCACACGGCTCGTGTTGACACACCCCATTTGAGGTTGCTTGTTACATGATAAATGTTTTATATTCGTTTGAGCGGGGTAGCGAATTAGAATATAAAGGGCGTCTATTAGACCATGAACGTTACAGAGCGTTTTCACTCACGTGGCCACAGCATCTATGCAAATTTATTGGAACAAAAGAAAGCATTTACATAAGAAAAGAGTTCAATTCCCACAGGATTGGTTAGGGACACCAATTTGGCCGCCGTGACGTCATGTGGAAACACTCTATATATTACTTACCACCAGAAAAATACTTGTAGGAGGCCTGGAGTTGCTGCGGCGATGGAAAGTGATCTCCAGTCCCTTATCAGGTAGGCAAACAATGGAATCAGCATTAGCGATATGACCCAGAAATACCACAGCGTGGTTCCAATCACGTGACGGTGACGTTTTCCAACATATTCCACGAGTAAGACGTACATGGACAGAGAGGAGGCTCCTGTTAATTGAAGTATTTCAATAATTAGCAATTAATGAATGAGGCTGAGTAGGATATGAAGAATTACGCAGATCGAGGTGGATAACACCCTCCGAGTTGTCTTCTTGCTATGTTTTTAGACAATAGTTCGTCGTGAAACGAGTAAAATGTTCAGCCGACTGTTCAGCCATTTTCCTTTGCACAATTACAACAACTCAACCTCGTCCACAGGTCTTCTCGGTTAACGGTGCATTAAACTGCAACTGTGCTGCACTTTTGACGTCATCAGTTGATTAATCGAAAAATTCTTCCAAATTTGGTCAACAGTAGCCGGTTATGGTGAATTATGCATGTGCTTTTAGCCAATCAGAAACGGAGAAATAATTTGAATGAATAATAACTACCGTTTACTGATAATCAGTGTGTCAATGAGCATTCTTGGCTTGATTATACTAGACAAAATAGGTTACAAATGCCTCACCCCGGGACAACAAAGTGCATTTCCCAGTAAATAAGCTGCAAATACCATCTCTATGGGAAATCTGTAATGATCTGATCAAACTCGTACGTGAAACACCCTAAGCAAAACGCTTCTAGACGTTAGTTATAATTATTGCAAAAAAGATCACTGTCATTGATCTGATTAATCTCATTGACAGAACTATAAATTAGCATTTTAATAATAACTTTCTCATTTCGAAGTTGTTTAATAATTTTTGATAAATGATAAACAAACCACCGACGAGCCTTACATGAGTACGTTCTTATCACGGAAACGTTTCGTCAGCATATTAATTGTCGTATTCATCGTACAATACACGAAATATCTCAAACATCTCGCAGAGGTTTTCTAGGCCTTTCTGCCTCAGCCATTCACGCACAAACAAAGTGTCTTGTCCTTTAAACTCTACAAACGATACATTGATTGTTTTTCTTCCATATGCGAGCAGCTCACGATGGCGGGAAGCAATTTCTTTGACGGATGCAAAAAATACTGTGGGGTAGGGAAATGATGGAGCGAAAACCACACATATCTTTTTAAAGCATAGGTATTAAAAATATTCTTTATATAAATATCTCAAGCTATCTAACTAGGGATATTTTTTTAAACGAAATATTGAAAAAGGAACGACGTAAACCGCTTCTAGAAGAATTGACAAAAGCTCCACCCCCGGGCAAAGGTTTTGTGTCAAATCCTCACAGCCGGAAAAGATGGTAAATGACAAATGCCCGACAAATGCCCGGGGGGATGGGTACGCTTGGAATTGACTGAGCCATAAGCTGATTTAAAAAACATGTTGTTTGCAATTCTAAGGAAAGTTCGTTTGCCTGCAGTTTACTGTCTGTCCCTGTTCATACTTTACGATGTAGTACTGCCAAGTCTCTAAGCGCAACACTTTAGAACTTACAATTTGTTAACTTTATAATGGAAGTCAAATTATATGAACTTGGGACACTATGGAAAAACCCTTCCAAGTTACATATGACTCTGCTCTTAGTAACAAGTTTTTGGATCGGCTTTGGGCTCACCCGCCCCTTCATCCCCTTTCTTCCCTCAGCAACGCTGATACCCCGAGAAGAACCATTTTTAACCATTTTGCTCAAAATTCAACATTGTTTGGTGTAGGAGGGGGAGATTTGGAAGTCAAATGGGACACTAAGGAAAAACCCTTCCAATTATTTGTTACATATGACTCTTCTCCTATAGCTAGTAACCGAATACTTTGATAAGCTTTGGACTCATTCCTTTATTTCCTTACTCCCTTCCGCAAGGAAAGGAAGGACTCATTTTCATCCATTTTGCTTAAAATTCAAAATTGTGGGGTGGGAGGAAGGACGTCGATAGTTTTACTAATATCACTGGGAAGGTCACAACACTTTTGACTCGCTGTAGTTTGCAGGCCTTTTACGGAGAGAAAAAAGAATATTTCAGGCTCAGTGACTGCGCTGATCTATCATCAGTCAGAGTCACTTAACTTACCGATAGTAAGACCCACCACACATCTAAGGCAAATGTACAGCCAGTAAACTTGGACAAAGGAGGCACCCAGTGCCAGGATGTTGCAGAGTACAGAAAGGTAGTACACTACAGGTTTGCGTCCGAATTTGTCAGATAAAAATCCCCCCAAAAGGACACCAATCATGTAGCCCAGGAACATAATGGCTTTGTTAAGTACAGACAGTGCTGATACTCTACAAACCAAGTCAAACTGCAAAAGAAATAACAATACAATAGAAACAATAAAAAATCTGCTTGTTCTGAGTTTTGACAAGTATGTAGTAGTCAATGACGTGAAAAGGGTATTAGGAGAATCGACTGAATTTTGAAACAAACCAAAAGGTAAAGATTAGAGAAAGACAATATTAAGTAAACTTAGGGGGCTTTGGGATGATCCGGATCAGGATCAGTGATCCGAGATCACTCGGATCATAGTAGATCAAATGAACCGATGAATGCACTCTGGACAAGGATTCATCGGTTTATTTGATCTACCATGATCCGAGTGATCTCGGATCACTGATCTTGATCCGATCATTCCAAAGGAACGCACCCTTAGATCACGTTATTATGGCATCTCCATTTGTTTCTGTTTAGCAGCAATTTATAGAGGATAGAGCTAAACATACTTTTAGTACACGTTTTAACTTATAATTCTTAAACTGATCGATCTCACCTCAGTCACAACCGAGCTTTTAATTTCACTTCTGTCAAACTCCCATGCATCCCTAGGAATCGAGCAGCGGTAACTGTAATTGTCGTTTCCCGGTCGGAATAATCCAGTGAGATTGCACGCAGAATTGTTGTCTTTACATCGCCACGCTGGTTCAATGGACAGGAAGGTCGGAATCATAATCTGAATTCCGTCTCCAAAGATCTTCATAAAACCAAAGATGAACAGCAGTCGGTACTGATACCGTCCAAAGCTGCCAATCTTGTCCATGACGTCATCAACTGTGAGACCCATAATGCCCTGCGAAATACCTGAAAAAATATAAACCAGACCACAATTTGTAAGTAGAGGGACTCTCGCATTACTAAGGCTAGTTATTTTGGTGAATTTCGTCTTTAAGGTACTTTATAAAAAGAGATTTGTCAGATAGACCTTCATTTCACTAACTGCTTATTGATAAGCATGCGTTAAACAGAAGTAAAAGTTAGAATATTAGGTCACGTGATACAAAAAATAGTCCCTAGCAAAAGGGAAAGCATATCCGGTTTCTTTCTCTTCCTTTGTAAGGGTCTCCATCAAAATATTTGAAATCTCCAATTTGCCAAAAAAAAAAATTAAAGGAAACTCACATATAAGTTCATTATATGATTGTAAACGAAACCTTGAAAACTATGGGCATCATGTTTTCATGATGTGGAAACTGTCACGCGATTTAAATCAAAATATCGTTGCTACATCGTCTATTGTCGGTTATTACCTAACTGGCTTTGGCCTTTCATTTTTTTCCAATTTTTTCTTAGCTTGGATAAGCAGTTTCTTTATATGAATTTTGTTTTCTCTGTTAATGGTTTGTCTCTACTTTGACATATCTTGTTTTCGTAGACTCAAAGCATCTCTCAAATCGTCAGACCACTTTTGTTACTACTGCCACTTAACGTTATGGTTAGGATAAAATAACAAATAAATGGAGAACAAAAATACGTCGTTGCTAGTCAATCATGTCAATGTGAAGTTGGTTCTAACTCTTTGTCTGTTCATGTTTAAAAAGTATTTAATTTAACAACGTTAAATGTACCATACAAATATACCAGCTGCTTCCTTGCGTACGCGATTCTGGGGAAGGAATCAGCTGAGGTCTCCGCAGTCCCAAGCGCAGACGCGTAAGCATCGCGAAGAGGAGAGGGCCGCAGTTAGTGGCGTCATTTGCGCGGAAGATCTTCTTTTTCTTTCATCTTTGTTTCTCCTTTGTAACCGTCTGCTCCATTGAGGCACCATCCATCCTCCAGTGTGGTTAGCGCGATAAAACAATTTGTCCTTACAGATGATCTTTGTGGCGCTTTCTGGAGCCTTCAGCTCTCGTTTTCCAAAATCAACCCCGTCGAAGAGGACTTCGTTTAGTAATTGACGTGGATTCCTGGAAAATTTTCAGTTCAACCGTTCTAAGTTGAAGAAAGACAAACTCGCTGCTTGTTGGCTTCGTTGGAGATGAATTCTTGCTTGATACTGAGAGTATGCTCTGTGCGGCACCGTTAGAAGAAACGTTCTATGAGTCTTATTAGCCTGTTGTAGAGCACCAAGTCATCCACAACGGAAAAGATCTCTGGTTTATGTTGAACAGGGAGTGGTTCTACCACATTTTTCAGGACAATCTGCCAAAGGAGCCACAGACATTCGACCGGCGGGCGGGCCCTGGCGGGTTGTCAAGGTCTTGGGTTGACTGTGGCATCACGTGATAGCAAAGTGTGCAACTGCATTAAGGACCTTATTGTTACATATTTCGCCGGAATCATTGCGTCTACAACAAAGCAACCTAAATAAATATCACTTAAGCATACACTTATTATACATCAGTTAATACTATCATCATGAAGCTCGGTTACTGACAGGAACATTAGGCATGTCACTTAACCATATGCCGTTCCTGGAAGTTATTTTGCAAAATGCCTCCTTTTTTTATCGAGCCAGACATGCAATCAAAATTGCTTTTGATTGACCTGACAATTAACTATGATGGCTGTAAGTAATTGAGTTGTCCACCGATGATTATTTTGTTTTGTTATTGTAGTTAAAACTTAAGAAAATTCAGCACATGAACCTTCAGCTGTCCGCCATTCTCTTTCGAGCACCTTGAAATCCCCTTTACGTAAGATGTCACATAATGTCACTTCTTGGGATTGTGCCCAGTTCTCCTCATGTATCCGCGCCGAGGAACTGAGGACCGAATAATCTATAGTACCTTGAAGTTTTCGCGGGAACTTTCGCCCTCTACTATTATACTGCTATTATACTTTTATCAGGAGAGCATATGTAACCAGTAAGATTTTCAAGAAAAAGAAGATGAGAAAAAATGTCTTTATAAATTTATTCTGTTTTCGTCGCTTTTGTGTTAAGCATGCAATTGCGCACTAAGGAATAAATGTGAGAGCACTTGTTTTGTTTTGTTTTGTTTTAGACAACCTTAACAAATGACGATATCGTAAAATCTACTCATTAGAATTTGATGAAATTTGGCAAAATTTTCCTTAATATTGCACTCATTCAAAACCCGAAAACAAAAGTGGGACAAAGGGGTTTTGCGACAAAACCAAATTTCAAAAAAAGGTATCTGGTTAAAAATTTCAAGTAACGGTTTGTTACAATTTGGTCAAGTTGTTTCTAAAAATTGAGGATTAATAATTGCAATCTGTGTGCAAATTCATAAGGAAATCTAATGACTGGATTTTTCGCAAGCCTATTGAATTCACCACCAACCATCCATGTTGCCATTTCTAACTGCTGGTATCCTGACCAGCGGGTTCACCCTTGTTTATTAGGAGCATGCGCACGGGGCCTCGGCATTGGCGGGCACGAGGCCACCGTGAAATAACCTGAAGTTTCTCTAGGGTTACCTTCAAGTTTCCCAAGTGCTTTGTAAGTCGTTTGTTTCAGTTTTTCTTTCTCGTGCTATGGATTTCTAACGGATATTTGTGATGATACTTGCGAGTTGATTCAGCCTCGTGTACGATTTTAAAAACGTTTTGTTGTTGTTTATCATGTGCCGCGATTCGCCGTTACACCATGGCAACGATCGAAATCTTACTTTTAATCTAATAAACATATTATCTTATATACCGTAAAATTCCGAAAATAAGCCCCTCCATGTATAAGCCCCTCCAAATATAAGCCCCCCAGACTGGTAACGCAAAAAACCCTCCGTTAAATCGCCCCTCAAAATATAAGCCCCCGGAGGTTTGTACTTGGAAAATTGCCCTCAAATACAAAGTAAAACAATGAGCAAAAACGGTAAATTTACTTCCAACTATAAGGCTAGCCCAATCGAGTTTGAAACGCAAATTTACCTCCGTACATAAGCCCCTCCCTAAATAAGCCCCTCAAAAAGGGCCTTTGAAAAATATAAGCCCCGGGGCTTAATTTCGGAATTTTACGGTATGTATCTTGTCCTTGCCAAACATGACCTTAAAAATCGGTAACCAGTCTTAAATAACACCCCAATAAATAGCAACGAATCACCGACCTACCAACTCACTGTGTTCAGCCTCCTTAACTTGTGGGTCCGCGAAATTGAAAAAAATTCCACGCAACGACTTGTGAATTAAAGAATTCTTGACCGTCCACTGATGGCAAGGAAACTTCCCAGTGGCTCGAGGTGTTCGGGGTGTTTTTGAATATCTTTTAAAACCAAAAACCATTCACAATTCACAGAAGCCCTCGAAATGCTGTTGTGTTGTCGATCTTTTTAAGATCTTGGCGCACGTAAACAACACATGATTTCTAGTATTAATCCCCGTGATCAGTCAAAAATATTCGCTTTGACCAATAGAACTTTCGAACTATCATTTCATTGTTTATATTTTTGACGTACCCATGGAAAATTTTTTTCCTCGATGCAAGTTCACTTCAGTCGTTTTGTACACAAGAGTAAAACGGCCAGTGTAACTGTAGCTATAGTTGTGCATACCGATAACAGAAGAGATCAGAAATATGGGGAATATTCAATGAAAACATAGTTATTAGAGGAGACTGGTTATGAAAAGCGGCAAACATCAATGATAAAAACAACAGTGCTGCAGTTTATGTTCAAACCACCGTGAAAGTGCACAATCCTTTGTTTTCTGTTGGCAAATTGTTACGGAATAAATTAATGCAACATTTTTATTGGTCAATACAATCAAAATGATAGGAATTCTTTTGAACGTTGTGCACTTTCAGGTCCACAAAAACATATAACAGAGGAGTCTGACGGGTTTCATAACCATTCCACTCAATTAACTATGATGAAAATTATGAATAATCGAAAAGAACACATGTTAGTGAATGACAGTGTGTCATCGTGCTATGCATACCGATAACAGAAGAGATCAGAAATATCGGGAATATGCAATGCAAATTAAGAATAATCGAAAAGAAAACAAGAGAATTGTGCATGCGTGAATAATTATGGCGTAGAGTAAAGTGAAGACTGCGGACTATTGTTTTTTTAAAGGGTTAGAAAACAAGGACTGTTGTTGTTAAGTACTCATTTGTATGGTGAAAACAATCGGTCCGCAGGCTGTGTTTTACGCTGACCGGAATAATTATGCGTCATCGTACTGTTTACCTCTTTGCCGGGTTTAGTATACCATCGTTAGTTTTTTTGGCATTGGAGAGTTCGCTCTGCGCCAAATTGTTGACCAAAAAATCTTATACTGAAGTGCCTAGTTCGGTTGTTCCGCTTAAGGCACAGTATTCAATATCACGCAATGCGACATCCATCTTTGGAGCGGTGGATTAATTTGCAAAATATAATTACCATAAGGCGGTCGCATTTGCCAGTTGGTTTTGTCAAATAATGAGATGTTCCAATAAATTCTCTGGTACAAAAACTTGCAGGATAAGTTTGAGCCGTCTTTGAATGGGGGAAAAAGTGCATGGTGTATAACTTAACGATGGAAGAGCAATTGAAGCGTAGGCAAAAGGCGGCGGATGTTTTATGAAAAAAATAAAAAATAATCCGCGCTGTTTCTTTAAAATTTTCTTAATAAGGAAATTAAAAAGCGTCAAAACTCATCCGTAATTTTTTTCCTGCTTTTATCGTTTGTCTGAGGCCAAGCTTCTTAATATACCGTTCTATTCAGTGGTAAACATATCACACACTGCTTAAGCTTTGCGAAGAAACTGCATGAGCTTTCTCTGAAATGATCGCCAAAAACGCATACTATTGACAGTTTTAATTTTGCGATGGATGAGAAGTGGATTCCATCGAATTTCAGATCCAAGCTAAATGTCAATATTTTCCGGTCTATTGGTCTTGTCTATGCCGCCAACCCCTGCTTTCGCTTATTCGCAATAATGCCAAATAAATTAAGAAAATATTGCACGATAGTAGCTCATTTACGTAGAACTTAGAGCCTAATAACCAAATACTCACCTAAAAGCGGTTCAACAGCTCATACAGTGACAGACTCGATGAAGACAGGTTTCTGGAGAGAGCGCGTGTCGGTGAGAACTTGTTTAATTATATGTACATTCCTTAGACTTAACCAGTTTGACGAGGTCACATCCAGTTTGCCTTTCTCAATATTTAATTCCTGATACACTTTAACACGTTTGAAGTTACTCAGAACGCGGATCGTACTCCGGATCCTCGGTTCCTTTACAAGAAGGAAACAGTAGCCTCTCTAGTTTAATCTGAGTTTCTTAAAAGCCAGGGGAAAAGGATGAAAAGGTGGAAATTTAAAAACAAGAAGAGAATTAAACAGGTCCAACCGGTTGTGTTACTTGCACACGTGTACCTACAGCGAACAGATGAACCGCATGCATGGTTTATATTGATTTATATTGGATTCTTTTAAAAGACAAAACAAAGGCGAAAAGTAAACAAATCGAAAAATTTAATAGCTCTCACGCAACGTAACGTGAAGGTATACTACTAAAACGGAGATCGAGGAACGAACACAGAGAACGGGAAACTGAAAAATGGAAACAAAACCTAACTTGAACTAGCTCTTACCTTCATTTCAAATTTTCTTTTTTGTTCCCATTTTCCATGTATCCCGTTCCCCGTTTCCCTTTCCCCGTTCCACGTTTCCCCTCGCCTTTCCCTGAGCCGCTCCGTTCCCTGCTCCTCGTGAGACACATTTGATGTGGACGTTGCCCTGGGCTGGTGGCGAAGAAATAGGGTTGCATTTTAAATTTATTGTACTAAAATCTTTAACACTGAAATAGTTGCGGTTTATGGCAAGTAGTACTGTACTCCGCACGAGTATTGTTATTAACCATCTTTTTAATTTGCTATACAATACTTAAGACTGGTCAGTAATTCCTAAAGGGAGAAAACACCGCCTGAATAATCAAAAGGCAAAGATCCAAAAACGGAGAATTTAGAGTGGGAGCCCTTTATCCTCCCTTGATTCCTGTGGCACTATTGTGCATGTGTGTGTGTGTTTTTTTAGTTGGCCCCACTCAGTAAATGATAGTCTCTTACTCCTTACCTGTTCTTTGGCAAAGACATTTTTATACTGTTTTCGTGACAAAAGATATGGAATGGAATAAAGGGTCGAAAGTAGAATGCTCCGTATTGGCCTTGGAGTAATTTTACTTAACTCGTGAAACAGACTAACCCCTGAATTAATGCCAATAAAATAATACAGGAAAAAAAAATTCAATTGACTTTTGTGGATAATAGTGCATCATAGTCTAGTAGAGTGATTTTACGAACCCCGTGAAAGAATATGTAACAATTTATTAGTATGCCAAATAGTAATGAGTAAACAAATGAAAACAATGTAATTACGAAGTGCGTAAGTTTCGTATAGGCTACTATCTATTTTACGGCTTAAGTAAAATCACCCTATTTATTTGTTTGTATAGGTAATAGCATGATTTGTAGTGAGTGATATTTCGAAATTGTTATAAGTAATTTCACGAGTCGTTAGGCGAGTGAAATTGGAGACAATTTTGAAATATCATGAGTGGTATTTATGCCAAATATCACGTACAAATCACGCTATATTTGTTTATACTACTAGCCGCAAAAGGTTTCTAATTTTCAAATGTCACGTATTTCAAATTAAGCTAAAATACCACTGCTCTAAGCCAAACAAATTGCAGAAATGTTTCATGTAGTAGTATAGCACACATAAGGTTTAAGTAAAATGAATCTATTCCATAGACTGAATCCCTCCTAATTTATTGTACGCAACACATTGGCGGAGATTCAAATTTTTCAAATAACTTAGACCCTGTTTACATGGAGTGAGTGATCCCGGTCAATTGGGGTAGGTTTCTTTTGTTTTGCGTCCGCCAAAGCGTGAAAACAAAAGAAACCAACCCCTCTAGACCGGGGTCCCCCACTCCATGTAAACAGGCCCTTACATGAATTATTTAGTCTACAAATGAATCAATTTTCATTTGTGTTCTTGAAAAAGACGAATTGCAGTGGTCAAAAGGCTACATTAGATCAGTGTTTATATATTCCAGCCCAAACGCCGATAGGAGAACACGCAGGGAAAGTTTTTTTCACCCTCTCGTTTTTGTATGGACAGCTTTAGGGAAAGGGAGAAGGCCACACGGAACAACTGTATTTTGAGGCAGACCAAATAACTCGGCGAACAACATAGCCAGTCGGAGAACAACAAGCTTTATTTCCATGACTATAACCAAGAGAGCAATACACTCTGTAAAGCTACTTGTTGATTGGTTTAATTAATTCAAATAACTCTTAAAAAAAATTGAAATAAATCATTTTTTTCTTTTCAAGTATCTATATAGTAGGAGTAAATCTTAAGCCCTTTCTTTTTTAAAAATTCGTCGATTTTTTCTTCACTAAGATCCAAGTCAAAATTTGATTTATAAAGCAAACCTAGGCAACCCGAGTTGCGGCTTCGTTTTCCCGTTTTCACGGCACATTTAGTCGGGAAAGACGTAGGAAATCAAAAATTTAACTCAATCACAGACAATCAGTATTTAATTCGTACATGTATCAATTAATTTCGTAGAGACCAATGATCATAGACAACTGATTTGATTTACTTGAACTTAACATATCGGTATAAAAACAAACAAAAAAAATCACAGGATATCCTAGTGAATAGGTCAACTGAGACTCTATGACAACAGGAAAATCTATATCAGTGCATAAGACATTAACCTAGTTGCTCGCACATCGTAAGAACGATACCAATTCTATCGTTAGGTATTTTCCACTTCACAAAGCTTTCTGTTACCAGAGTGATCGTTATATGAGGAGAGTGAGATTCTTAGCTGGCCTAAAATTAAGCGCGCTTCGGGACACGCAAGATATGAGGACTATTCCACGTCTTTAACGGCGTGTTGGTGCAGTCTCTAAGAAAGCAACGCCGTCCACTTCCAGTGTGAGCTCGTGGACATGCCTTCTAACCAAGTTTTAAACGCACTGAGGACGTTCTAATGATAGAACGACGTATCCCCAGGTATCTAAATTTCGTGATCACGATCCCTGATGGTATGATCGATCTCATCAGACGCTTTAATGACGCGAGTCCAGGAAACAGACCTTCAAAAAGCATTTCCATGCAATTTTCAATCTCAGAGAGCCAATTAAAAAGACCCATCGGAGCAAGGACGAAAACCAACAAAAACTACAACCCACATAATGGCTTCCCGTTCGGTATCTAAATCAGGACCAGCATTAGTAGGGGAGGAGTACGTTCACATGTGCAGGTCACCAAACGTTGAACCACCCCACCCTTATGTTATGAAACCCCTTGAGCGTTAACGCAGCGCGGGAAGAATGAATACTTACGACATTTTTGATCTATAATACAACGCAAAAATTATAATTAAGTTAAAACTCGAATGCGATTAATTACCAAAAGAGCATGAAAAGAGGTTGAATTAACGATATGAAACACTGAAGTTGCTGCAATCTTTACCCTCATAAAAAGACCGTTTCTCTCTATTGTTGTATTGCCAAAGAACTTTCATGATATTCAAACCTTTGTCTGGTTTGTAAAACGCCGGGGACTTCACTGATAAGCCAGGTTTTCTAATAATCGTCTATTGAATACTATATCTGTAACTCAAACATCCGGGCAACACTACGTATGCTGGTCTGTTTAGTGTGCGAGACATAAGCGAAACGATTTATAGCGCGTAAATCAATTCTTAAAAAAACATTGCAGTTCTTTACGTTCATATGTTTATGGCAGAGGCTTCTTAGTTCTTCTCATCATTTATATCCTCCCGTTGACCCATTTGAAAAGTTTCCGAGTTGCTGTCTCCCTTAACAGAATCCATCACTTCCAGAGTTGGAGCGTCTTTCGTCTCTGGAAGAAGACAACACAATACGGAAGCCGCGAGGCAAAGTGCAGCTATGATGGAGTAAGGTACAAGAACATGGAAGCGAACCTACAATGTACGAGGCAACAACAACGAAATAGTTGTTAGTTATATTGATGACAACAAAATGAGCATTAGCTGTAAGAGGAAAACTCAACTTGTTGGTTAAATAGTCTACCTAGGTAGTAGCCTCCAACGCAGACGTTTTTAGGGGAGCTCGTCTTTCATCCGTCCCCACAAACGCCTGCTCAACCGGAAACAACATTCCTTTCCCATTGTTTTATTCGTGTGTTAAGTGACCAATCAACAGCCTTGAAATAAAGTGCTGACAGGCTAAACACGACTCATAAGCTCCTGGTAGTGCAGAAACGGGACCCTAGAGTTACCGTTTTCTTTCTTTCCTCTCCCTCGCTAAGGTTATGCAGTGAATGGAATATTCTAAGGTTTGACTAAATCTTATTTTTGCCGCTCTGAATCTCACATTTATTAGTGGTCATAAAGCTTTTCCAGTGTTTAATGCAGATCGAGCAATTATCGGATTACCCTTCGGTCAAGGTCAACTGTCCAGAATTTGGAAAGTACAATGCGATTGGCTAAGCTTGGGAAAGGAAAGTTGTTCTCGGTTGAGCAGGCGTTTGTGGGTAGAGATAAAAGACGAGCTCCCCTAAAAACGTCTGCGTGGGAGGCTACCTAGGTAGAAGATTCTTCTCAAATAAAACTTTTTTGGAGTTTAAGGCGGGAAGCCCGCTTTACACGCGCACGGACTTTCGCATAATACGACGGTACTTTGGCATGTCCTCTTAGTATCTATATAAACCTGATATCACAGGAATAGTCTTACCAGCCAAATAAGATAGGGGGCAGCCATGGATCCAACACGTCCTACTGCTGAGGATGAACCCACGCCCAGGTTCCTGTAAAATAAATATTTCATAACCATTTTTTAGTATGCGAATAGAGCCGTCTCCTCTTGGTCTTTCCGCTAGGGACGTTTAGCAGGAGAAACCCTCCTAACGGTGAAGTTTTTTATTTTATTATTATGAGATCTTATGACACCCGTAAAATACCAAGTTAGGTTTCGCTTGAAACTGACATGATATATCTTCACACGGGAACTGGTGATGACTGTTGCTATAACTACTAAATAAATCGGGCCTTTCGAAGCAAAAAAATGTTTTAAAAACTGAAATGGTTTTGCATTTCATTGGTATTTATATAACAAGTCAGAAAATTACATGGCTGCTTGGAGATACAAAATTTCTCTTCTCGTATTGAAAAATATTTCACAAGTGAGCGCAGCGAATGGGTGAACTATTTTTCTTCTCGACTTGAAGTATATGAACAGATCCACAGCTCTATTATGACCACGAAGCCTTACAGATAGAAAAAATCCAATACAACAATACCTGACAACTGTTGGAAACAATTCAGTGGAAAATACGTAGATGGTGGCGAAGGCCATATTTATAAAAAACTTGGCGATCACTGACGCAAAAATTATTCTTGCAACGAGAAAACCTAAAAATGAATGACAAACAAACATTGAGAGCTTGACGAGTGTTAGATTCTCTAATCAAGAAAGTTTTATTCACCAATGAAAAAACACAGTCAATGAAATTCTTTGTCGATTAAAGCTTGTCCAGACAGACTTCGAAGGATATTCTTTCATGTTTGTCCTGGTCATCGATTACCATCGATTCTCGTAAAAATGTATTTCCACAGGAGGACATAGTCATAACCTCTTGATTTCCATAGTTACTGAAACAAGTGGGAGAATACTGAGATGTTACCTGTATTTGACAGATCTCTCTGAAATAGAACAGCGACTGCAGAGGCGATTGAGGAAATGATCAGCCCAATAATAGTGGTTTTCTTTCGACCGATCCTGGAAAGAAAAAGATGCCTTGGTTTGATCGTATTTCAAACAGCCTAAATAGGTGTCGATGGGGTGGAGGGTGCACGGGAAGGGGGGGGGGGGGAGTAATTTACTATTTCGCGGTAACTCACAACCAAAATATGTTTTCCACAATTCTCTTCATTTTCTTGCAAAAGCTCTTTAAAAAAGCACAAAGTGATACAATCATGGACAAAAGTTCTTGAGACAGTAAAGCAGTATTTATATTTTTCTGTAATTTTTTGGGTTCCCTCATAAAATAGTGCTTCCTTTTCGAAATTTTCTTGCAGTTGTCCCTCCTTCCCCACCCTCCCCCACCTTATACAAAGTTGAAACTCGCAAAAACGTCTGAATACACGCATCCAACGTTGTTTGTGGGGTCAGTGGAGGGTTGGGCATGTTTGAATTGGAAAACGCCCCAGAAACGCAAAAGTGCCCCTGCCAAGTCTTTCATCCATGATTGTAGCTTTACTACTACATGTATAGGAACTCACTTTTTACACGCCACAATCGCAGTGTAGTTGGAAGGAATCTCTATGAGGCTGGTCAAAAAGAACACCAAGTAACGATTCCCGCCAAAAGCTCCAGCACTGAATGAAACACCATAATACACCATTGTGACCACAAACCTATCGGGCAAAGAAATATCGAGTCTTTCACGCGAGATTTGAGAATCCCTACCCAAGTTACTGTACTTCCTAGGACACTAATTGGCGAAGTTAAGCCAACTGTTATCTGCGGCTTTCTTCATCTCTATATCCTTGCATGGCTTATATCTGTTCTGAACATTGTTGTGTCATGCAGAAGTCTTACTGACTTTAATACGAAACTTTCAAACGTTTGAAAGATACATACCTTACATAAATACGTAAATAAATGAAATTAATAAATAGGGTAAATAACGATTTAGAGGAAGCACATCCACATAGTGCTTCTTCGTCTACCAATCCTGATCGAACGGAAATTTGGAAATGTTGGTTGTTAAGGAGATGAGAAAACTGGAGCACCCGAAGAAAAACCTCTCGGAGCAAGGGAGAGAACCAACAACAAACTTTACCCATTTATGGCGTCGACGTAGGGATTTGAACCCGTTCCTCATAGAGGAGTTCACGCTCATAGCTGCATCATGGGTAATCATGGCAAGATGGTGGGAAATTCAAAGATTTGTATTGGAATTCAAAGTCAGCTAATTCTTCCTGAATTCATATATTTGATGCTTTCTCTTTGAAAAGAGTAACTTAAGAGTTCAAAGAAACAATACACTAAATCTGAAGTGCAAAGAAGTCCGTGATCAGTTTTTAGAAAACCTCAATTTATCCATACATTTTTCTTTAATTTTGATACTGTCGAATTGCAGAAAATGTATGGGAAAATCAAGGTTTTCTAAAAACTGATCACGGACTTCTTTGCACTCCAGATTTAGTGTATTGTTTCTTTGAAATCGTAAGTTGCTCTTTTCAAAGACAAAGCATCAAATATAAGAATTCACGAAGAATTAGCTGACTTTGAATTCTAATACAAATCTTTGAATTTCCCGCCATCTTGCCCTAAATACCCATGATGCCACCGTGAACGTGAACTCTTCTATTGGTGGGAGGTAAGTGCTCTCACGTACAACTTCGTAATCTCTTGCTCCAAATATTCCGTATTATGTTAATTGCAAACTTTACAGATGATCGAAGTCGTTCTAAGGAGGACACGTCCGGTACACTGGGAAGGATAAACGAAGTAGGCAAAGAAACAAATTATCTATTATAAGATGCTCATACCAAATAAACCAGCTTATTAAGGTCCTGGTCACCATGGTTGAGGTACTGAACAGGTCCCGGATGTCACCAAGTCTTTGTTGTGTTGGGTTTTCGTCTACAAGAGTTAGCTTGTCTAAGGGGATTTCCTTCTTGTTAACCTTGGCGACCTTTAGGAGTTGCTCCGATGCCTCCTTTGCTCTTCCCTTCACTAAAAGCCATCGACTGGATTCCGGTATATACCTTAAAATGAGGAAAATACAGTCAAAACACCCTCAGGTCACAGGGTACCCATGTGGCCTACTGTAGCGTAAATACCCTGTCACTTGAGAAATAGTTAGCGCAGCAATGGCCCATTTAACTTAGCTGCCCACTTTTCGGATCCTAATAAAGATATGTTTCTAAAATAAAAGGGAAAGAAGAAAACCTCCACTTGAAAAAGATTCCTGTGCATATAGGATGTAGATTATGGACCACGAAGTCAGTCAAATCCATCGCGTTATCCAAATGTCTCACGACCAGGGCTCGCTACAACCAGATGTCTTACGACGAGGAGCCAAACATTCATGGGTCTCAAAACAAGAGATTTTACAACCACGGGAATTTACAACCAGGTGTCTCACATCCAGGAGACTTACAACCAGGGGTATTACATCCAGGGGTCTCACAACCAGGTGTCACTAGGGGTCATACAACCAGGGGCATTCAAACAGGAGTCTTACAACCAGGGGTTTTACAACCAGGGGTCTTACAACAAGGGATATTACAACCAGAGGTCTTACAACCAAGAGTCTTAACGGGAGATGTCTTACATTCAGGGGAAATACATTCAGGGGTCTTACAACCCGGGGTCTTACATCAAGGACTCTTACATCCAGGGTCCTTACAACTAGGGGTTTTACAATCAGAAGTCTTACAACCAGAGGTCTTACATCTAGGGGTCTTACAACAAATGATATTACAACCAGGGGTCTTAAAACCAGGGAATTTACAAGGGGTTTTACAATCGGAGGTCTTACAACCAGGGAAGGGTCTTACAACAAGGGGTTTTACAAACCAGTGGTCTTACAACCAGGGATTTAACAGCCTGCGATCATAAAACTAGGGTCTCACAGCAAGGGGTCCTACAACCAGGGGTCTTAAAGCCAGGGGTTTTAAAACCAGGGGTCTTACAACCAGGGGTTTTAAAACCAAGGGTCTTCGACCAGGGGTCTTAAAACCAGGGGTATTACAACCAGGGGTCCTACAACCTGGAGTCTTACAACCTGGGGTCTAATACAGCCTGGGGTCTTACAACCAGGGGTCTTAAAACCAGCGGTCTTAATACCTTGGTTCTTACAACCAGGGGTCTTACAACCAGAGGTCTTACAACCTTGGGTCTTACAACCGGGTCTTAGAACCAGGGGTCTACATCCAGGGGTCTTACAATCAGAGGTCATATAAACAGTGGTCAGTTTCAGCCTGTGGTCTTACAACCAGAAGTTTTACAACCAGGGTTCTTGCAACTAGGGGCCTGGCAACCATCGGTCCTACAACCAACGGTCTTACAACCAGGGATCTTATAATCAGGGGGTCTTACATCCATGGGTCTTACAACCAGGGGTCTTGGTACTTGCGATCTTACAACGAGGGGTCTTACAACCAGTTGTCTTACAACCAGGGATCTTACAATCAGTGGTCTTACAACCAGTCGTCTTTTTTAGCCTGGGTTTTTGCATCTGGTGGTCTTAAAACCAGGTGTCTTACAACCAGGGATCTTGGTACTTGCGGTCTTTCAACTAGTTGTTTTACAACCAGGGGTCTTACATCCAGGGGTCTTATAACCATCGGTCCTACAACCAGCGGTCTTACAATCAGGGGTCTTACAAACAGGGGCCTTATATCCATGGGTCTTACAACCAGGGGTCTTACAACAAGGCGTCTTTTAACCTGGGTTCTTGCAACCAGTGGTCTTACATCCAGGGGTCTTACATCCAGTGGTCTTATATCAAGGGGTCTTATATCCAGGCGTCTTACCACCAGGGGTCTCTCAGCCATCACTTTTTAGCCGAATATCCGTCGGCTTCAGGTTGACACTGAATCATCCCGTCACTAACGTGAGAAAAATACCCTTGCGCCTAGGGTAAATGCACCCAATAATACAATTTATTTCATGGTCTACTACTTGCTTGTGGCCGTTGCGTCTCTGTTCGCCTGTTTTCTTGTCTTAAAAAGCTGGACTACCCTTTCTTTTTGACACGGTAAATTTTGTAAAAAACGTTTACTTACCACCAAAGGAAGATTTGTAGAAGGCCTGGGGCCGCTCCGACTATATTAAGAGTGCGCCAGTCCCTTATGAGATAAGCCAGCAAGGCCATCATCATCAGTGAAGTAGGCCAGAAAAACCACAACGCTGTTCCCGCCGCATGGCGATGACGCTTGCCGACGAACTCCACCGTCAAAACGTAGGCACATAATGTACCACATCCTAGCGAAAATAAGCAATTACTGGAGAGATTTAAGAATTTGCCAATTGCGAGCTGATCATCTATGGGTCGATGCCAAAGGCAGAGACGATTTTCATCAAATAAAATATTGAATTCAATGAATCACAATCATGAGTGGGTGGGTTGAATCATTCAATCAACGTGCTTATTTGGTTTGGTAGGCTGAGCCACCATTGTCTCCCGAAGACATAAACCAGACTGCGAAAATGCAGGAAGAGAATTCTTTCTCTTCTGTACGTAAGAAGACCATGTGTGAGCAGACTACATGTGAACGTATGTGAAAGTGGAGTATATATAACGATTGATAGACCGGCAATCAAAGCTTCGAAAAAGCCTTTGAATGATAAATAGCGAGTAGGAATTATCACGATAACGTCTTTGGTGTCGTCTTCAACCTAAGTTAAACTCTTTAGGAATTACACAGATTTTCTCAATACGCCTTCCATCTCTCAAAAGAGGCGATGCTTTTCTCCGAAGAGATCGATTCATTATTATAACAATGGAACGTACAACAAAGTACATGAACCTGGTCTGGAGGCTATTCCCTGGATCCGAGATATGACCAAAATTCGGTGCGTGATTCGGAAAACGTTAAATGGAATACGGAATTTGACTACTACTCGGGAAGTGGGAAGCCAAAATGAGGGCGCGTGATGCAGAGCTCTTGGGGAAAATAGTAGCAGCCTGCATAACAGGCGCTTTATGAGCCAAGCGAAGAGTGAAACGGGTGGGAAGTTCGGGAAGCGGGATTCTCGTAAAAAAAAAAGGAGCGGAGGGAAAATGCGGGAATGCGGGATCAGGACCTCCCTTTCCAGACCCTATTTGAAACAAGTCCTTCTTACCTACAAAGACACCAACCAAAACCCTGAGAAGAACGTACAGCCAGTAAACGTGGACAAACGACGCAAGTAAGGCCAAAACGTTACACATGGAGCACGGTATGTATACCAGAAGTCTGCGGCCGAATTTGTCAGAAAGGAATCCTCCAAGAAGAACGCCAATCAAAAACCCCAGGAACAAAACAGATCGGGTGAGACTTGATAGAGCTGATACGTCGCAAACTAAGTCCCACTAATGAGAAAGGAAAAAGGAAAATATGAACTTAAATATAGTCTTGAAATAATTCGTCTCCGTATCACTACAGTTGTCTCAGGCAAAACAAAAACCAGGGCCCAGTTCCTGAAAGGCCGATTAGCGCTAGCTAATCCAGGATTAAGATTTTGATCCACTTTTTGTATTTACCTTCCTATGCATTGCTTAGAGAAACATTTTATGTAAATCATTACTGTGTCTCAGAGTAAAGGCTGAACAGCATTTTGTAAGCTTCAGTTACAGGTTCTTAGCAAGAAAACCGTGCTTAAAATTTCACTAAATCCTGGGTTAAACTTAACCATCTTTCTAGGAACTCGGCCCGGATAAATACTGCTTTGGAAGGAGAAGAATAAAACAAAAATGGCACCAGCAAACAACGACTTTTATCAATGCTACGAGTAGTGCTGATATTATCCGTATGTACTAGCGTACCACCCAAGTGATTACTTCTGGATTCCTCTCCTTCGTAACTGCAACTTGTGCCATAATTTTGACTTTAAAAGTTAGGTTAATTTGGATGAAAGAGAACTAATGCACTTTATTTGAGTGTCAACGTATTTAGCGCGAAAGTACTAATTGGGGACAGTATCATCTTTACGTCTCCTACTGGAAACGGGACTGCCATTTCACGTGGTCATCCCAGCCACGCGAAGGTCTAACCATTTGCAGGGCAAAGGCAGTACCTACCCTGAGTTCTGGTCCGGTCCCGGGAATCGAACCCGCGACCTCCCGCTCTGCACTCAAGCGCTCTACCGACTTAGCTGATCCTGCTGCGGTTAACTAAACAACCGGGTTAACTTACGATAATTGTCCAGCAAGAAATAAAAGTCCTTGTGATTATAACCAGTGAACGTTACTACAGCGATGTCAATAAACTAAAAGAGACTTTTTTACTACCTCAGAGACGACTGAGTTGAATTTACTGGTGTCAAACTCCCAATCATGGCGAGAAATAGAGCACCGAAAGTCGTAATTATCGTCCCCTGGTTTGAAGATTCCCGTGAGATTGCAGACAGTGCTGTTGTCTTTGCATCGCCAAGGAGGTTCGGCACTCAGAAATGTCGAGATCATGGCCTGGAAAGCGTACCCGAACATCTTCATTAAACCCATGACCATCACAAGAGTGTACTGGTATCTGCCCATGCTGCCGATCTCTTCAAACACATCGTCAATAGTAAGGCCCATGCCTGCAAATTACTGCAATAGACACACGGAGAGCAATGAATAAGGAGAAAAGCCGTTGGAAGCTTAACATATATCATTTGTTGAAAAAGCGCAGGTCTGGATAAAAAAAAATTGTCCTCACAGTCACAGATATATTCCGTAGGCATAGAAGTGAGGAAAATAAATTGGGATGCAACACTACTCTTTTTTGTTTAATTTCCAGAGCTGACGTCTTGTCTTGGTTATTAAGAAGAACTAGAATTACAATAAGGATTTCAATCCTATATGTAAGTCTAAAAGATGTTGCACTTTTTCATACCCGGTATTAAATGATAGCGACTTTATTTATTTGTCCCGGGAAGGCAAGCTTATTTTCAACACGATACTAAATTATAAGTTTTACTCTTCCTGATAATTAAGAGCGGCTTTCCGTAAATATCGACCCACGGTCGGCACAAGTTCAAAATTTGATTTCGCTCATTTTTGGCTCATCGATAACCCTTAATGCGTAATGAAACATGCTATAGTTAGTTTTCCCAAATAACGAGTTCTTTTGTTAAAATTCGAGAAAATGCATTTTGCCCGTTCAGAGCTCCAAATCCACTTCCGGTAAAGCGAAGTTTTACACAAATTCCATTGACTCGTATGTCAAACCACAACTATTTGGCAGCCTTTGAAAAACACGAACAGTTTTTATGACCCTTTCTTTCTTATAAGACGATAAATTTGTGAGAGCTATAATAATTTTGTGGCCAAAAACGTATTGTTAAAAATAGGCCCTATTGACAATTTCTACCTTTCAAAACTATAGGGATAAAATAATGCAAATTTTTACAATGCGCTATAACTTAAAATTTCGCAAGCTGACTTTATACGGCTTAAATAGGCCCCAATCTATAAGAAAATTGAAACAAATCTCTGGGCAAGTGATTTTAAGTAGCCCGCAAGACCTCGAGTTCAACCTTAATTTTGCGAAAAATCGCGACATTCAAGTGGTTAAATTAAAATAGCGTTACACTGCCCGTCACGCCAGTGATACCGATAGATACGCTTTAAACAATTTACTTAAAGGCAGATTAAAAGCCAATTCGAAATTAAATCTTTCAGTAAAACTATTATTCTCATTAATTGTAGTATTTTCTTCAGATACAACATATAGCTTCCCTGGGATAGCGTCACACACTTTCATGTTCAGTTTCAGACTGGCGATTTCCCTCACAAAATGGTATATAAACAGAACAAAATCTAAAGCCTAAAACTGTTTACTGAATGAATTTTTGCATTGCGAGATATTTGCGAATTAAATCACCGCCAATCAAGGCCGTTTGGTTTATAAAAACTAATTTCTTTGAAGGAGTTTTAAAATATTTTCGACAAAGTATTGGTGCAATAGTTGTTTTCGAAGATTTTACCCTTGCGCATGCGGGCTCTCAAAACTGAAAAAACGCTACGTGGGGCTTGCCATTAACTCAGTTTCGGGTTGCGTTCGACGTTTCAGTGGAAAATTCCTGTAAGAAACGGAACTTCTGAAAAGGCATTCGGCTATTTTCCTGGTTGGAAACTTCCAGGCGGAAATTCGGATTTTATGTCTTCAAACCTTTTTTGAATATTAGTTTCAGGCTTTCGCGGCCGTTTTTCATTAAACGAAATTGACTTAGGCAATCGTAAACGCGATTACCGAACGGAATCAAAATTCGTCAGTCCTGAATTCTGCTCACCATTAGCCCAAATCGTGAAGCGACCGGTTTACCCATGTAAATAGTAGAAAAGCCTTGTGTCCAAAAGCCTGCGATACAGCTTCCTCTCATTGCTATCTGTCAATGGGAACATTTCGTCAAAGAGCGGTGAGAGGCGGGTCTATCGCAGACTATGCGTCACATATCTTAGGTACCTTGAGGGATCTTGTTAAGTGCATAGTAGATCGTAGCAATGGCACATCGTTGCAATATCTCTAATAACTAATTAAGAGACACAGAAACCTCGCTATTCCTCTACCCCAGACAAATGTTAAGAAAAATAGTTTTTCTGGTGCAGTTCTTTGGAATAGCCTTCCTATATATTGTCCAGCAGCAGGCGACGTGTCTTGAGGTTTTTGAGGGCTGGCTGCAAACAATTCTTCTGGAGATCTACACGGTACTTACGGAAAGCAGACTAAGGCTCTTAGTCTAATTCGGTTTTGGGACAACACAAAGGTAAGCCGGTTTTGGAGGCCTTCTTGGGCGTCTAAGTTTCATGAACTAAGGCTACGGAGGATGAGGAAAGTCCACAAGTCTGTCTTTCCTTTTTAGGTGTTCCCATTCGTTCGTTACAAGATTCTTCTTAGGTTTAGTATTATACTCTATTTTGTTTCCGTATTTTTATTGTTATTTTTCTTTTTTGCGGAAAAGACGATGTTCTCTTTCCAAACGTTGTTGAAAGCAACTTTCAGTCTTTTAACCTGTTATCTGCGGCTCAGGAATTACGGCTAGAGTTTCCATGACACTAAAACGTCAATCAGTGCAAAGTCTTTCAGACCCAGACTCGTACCCAGTCGCTATTTATGTGTTTTGGGGGTGAGAGAAGAGTGGGGATTAGGTTGAGGCGCGCGAGCTATTTTTCCTTCGTCCCTTCCCATGAGACCCCGCGCGCGCCTCAACCTACTCCTCTCTCACCTCCAAAACACATAAATAACGACTGGGTACGAGTCTGTTTCAGACCACAAAGCAGCCCGTACTTTTTGCGTAAGCCAAGAACGCGGAATAGTCAAACGAATGGTCTGGAGCAAAACAAAATGGCCGTCCCCTTTTGTGTGGAGCATATGGGGTGGGGGAGGGAGGGGGGAGAGTGAGTGAGACTAAGGAGAGAAGCGAAAAATACGTCTAAAAAATACGATAGAACTGAAAAAGAAAAAATAAAAGAAAGAAAACAAAAAAGAAAAAAAATGACAGTTTCGCAGTCTAAAAGCAGTTGAAAAGTTAGTACTACCAAATCCGTTCTCGTGCTAGCCTCCCACGCAGACGTTCTTAGGGCTTCGTCCCTAAGAACGTTTGCGTGGGAGGCTTTTCCCGTGCTGATCAATAACAAAGGGTCAAAAGTGCTCGACGCTCAAGTTGAATACATGCCATAAAAATCTGGAAATGAAGGACGTAGATAACCTGTAACAGGTAGTTGGGAAAACACAAAGAAAAGTGGGCTAGAAAAAATGGCGAAGGGCGGGGTTTGGGAGAGAGGGCGAAAGGTCCTCCTACTCTCGTGCACGTTTGTTTTCCTCCGTTCCCCATTTCGCGCTACTGTCCACTATCCTCTATCCACTATCCATTACGCCTGGAACAGGCTAGTTCATAGTGAGCCAGAGAGTTTTTTTCAATGCCGATGCAAGGGATCTATAGATGTCCATTTAGGAGGATTTGACATTTTTAAAAGCTCATACTCAAGCTACAACTATTCCTGCTTTAGCATTAGTAAAACGCCACTTTTTTTTTCTATTTTCCGTTTTGTTCTTTATGATGGTATTTCATCGTCGATCGAAACGAGTTAAAATGTTTTCTGAAACGTTCGTTACAATGTACCTTCATAAGCGTGATAGTAATACATCGGAACGTACATGTGTACTTATACATAATTACTTGAAAGAGAAACTCGCAAGAAAAAAAGTGTTCTAATTAGTTACTATTGGTTGTCCCCTTCTTAAATTTAACGTATTTATGCCTTTTGACGGATGCTTAAATTAATAAAACATACCACTGTACTTGTTTAAAGTCTGTTTTCGTTGGGCTCGGTCGTGACGTCCTGCCGACGTCGCTCAAAAAAGCCGACTTTTTGGCAATTCTATACTATATATTGTATCCAAACAAACTGAATCTTCTAAATAAGACAAGTGTGTTGAAAGATGTAATATAGATTGTATGCTGGAATTTGGCATGTGATCAGCGTTGAATAGAAATAGAACCGTCGTTAACACCGCTGGCGTGACGGGCCGGCCGTGTAACGCTATTTTTAACCACTGGAATGTCTCGATTTTTCGCAAAATTAGGGTTGAACTCGAGGTCTTGCGGGCTACTTAAAATCACTTGCCCAGAGATTTGTTTCGATTTTCTAATAGATTGGGGCCGAGTTAAGCCGTAGAAAGTCAATTTGCGAAATTCTAAGTTACAGCGCATTGAAAAATTTGCATTACTTTAACCCTATAATTTTGAACAGTAGAAATTGTCAATAGGGCCTATTTTTAACAATACCTTTTTGGCCACAAAATTATTACAACTCTCACAAATTTATCGTCTTATAAGAAAGAAAGGGTCATAAAAACTATTCGTGTTTTTCAAAGGCTGCCAAATAGTTGTGGTTTGACATACGAGTCAATAGAATTTGTGTAAAACTTCGCTTTACCGGAAGTGGATTTAAAGCTCTGAACGGGCAAAATGCGTTTTCTCGAATTTTAACAAAAGAACTCGTTATTTGGGAAAACTAACTACAGCATGTTTCATTACTCATTAAGGGTTATCGATGAGCCCAAAATGAGCGAAATTTGAATTTTGAACTTGTGCCACAAAAAGTCGATTTTGGTCGATATTTGCAGACAGTCGCTCTTAAAAACTGTCGCAGCTGACTTTTGTTTTAGTTTCTCAGGGTATCTTGGAAAATATTAATTCCTAGTTGTACTGCCAGACGAGACTTGCGTAGGTTTTTGGTCTGATAATTTTTTTACGATGACCTAAACATTGAGAAAGCTGCAAAAGTTGTTTTACATACCGAAAAAGGAAAAAATTTCAGATTCTCCACAAGTCAAACTAGCTAGCTGAGGTATTCAGTCTGAAAGTGGTCAATTTATACATTTTATTATCAGTAACTCTACTTGATTCCGAAGCGTTATTCTCGGTCTCTCTCACTCTCTTCTATAAGTCTTCCTCCCTCCCTATATACTAAGCATCAGGTCGCGTGACAACTGCGCGCAAACCGACTCGATTTCAGTTTAAATATACAAATATGACTCCATGTGGCCCAGACTGTCGAGGAGGTTTTGCTAGATCACGCCGGCTTCAGTTGCAACAGAAAATAATGTCTGAGTTCCCAGACAAAAAAAATCGCTGGGAGCAAACCGCGGAAGCATTCGGTGGCGAGCGGAACCCACCAGGAAATTGAGTAATTTTAATATTCAGTGGGCAAAAACATTGTACCAGAATAATTTAAAGCACATTGCATTCTTTTTTGCATTTTTCAAGGGCTAAAGATGTAATTAGTCATCTGTAATAACACCAAAGAAAATTTCTCATGGGAGTCCGAGGAAGTGTATGTCAAATTTCGCAAGAATTGTGAAAATACAAGTAATTCTGAAAATTTCATGTGTATCATGTGATTTTGTGGCAGAAGACTTGGGGGAAAATGGGGTAATTGGATACAATCTCTGAGAAAAATAAGCGACTACTTGTCCCAGAAAGGGATGGTCAGATGGCAAATATTATTCCGTAAAAGAAAATAGTACATGGTAAGGCTGGTGTCTTTATAGTGCAAGTGCACTCAGCAGAAACCAACAAAACATGTAGCCTAGACTGCGAGCAGTCTCTTATTTTGTTCAAAGTCACTGGTGCCTGTTCCAGGCGTTCAGATAGTTCAGTGACGGATCCAGGGGAGGGGCCTGGGAGGCCCGGTCCCCCTTTATTTTTAGACCAAACTGAGGCCCGAAGGGACGAAAACATTTTTTTGGGAGACCGCCCCCTCCTTGTCTAAGGGTTTTTTCGGAGACCGCCCCCCCCCCTTATCTAAGGGTCTGGATCCGGCATTGTAGTTGGCTGTCTTAATTAACAGGATACTGTAAATATTTGTCAAGCAGTAAAGATTAGCAATGATGAATCGGATAAATAACGATATAAGGTCACGCTAGGCTTTGGAGGAGAAGAATGCATATGTTGCAGTTAATTTTTATTTGCTGTTAAATTTTATTTTTCCTTTGTTTCAAACTCATTATCATACCCAAGAAAAATTAACTGAAACACAACCAATGAACGTTTTGTAATGAGTGTGATGAAGTCGTGAAATGATGTATATTGCATTAAATGTCAACTAGATTTAATATTTTGTGCCAAATGCCCTTGTAAACAGCGTAAATAAAATTCCGAAACACTTGACAAAGAGGACAGTTGCTGCACGGCTTATCCAGAACCTGAGCCAAAAGAAGAATGAAGGACAGAAATGTCTGAAATACTTCGTTTAGCTCGACTTGGCCTCTTTCACCAGTCCTGGTAATGTAGAAAGGTGATGAAAATGTTTCAAATTTAGCCAAGACAAGGTAAGGGCAATGAACAAAACAAAATAGGCTTGAGGTATTACATGAATAAGATAAGACAGAGGTCACTGATTCGCCAGTTGGGACTAAATAACCGGATTATTTGTCTGAATCATGAATCGCTAAGTAAACGTCAGGAAGGGTTGCAAGTATTAGTTAGCAAAAGAATGCAATGTTTTTTCTTGTTTTGCCCTGGTGCTAATTGTTTCGTTAAGCGAGAGAGAAAAGTTTAGATTTCTAAGATGCCGTAATTAATGTTGATCACAGATAATCGATCATGATATTCATCAAAGGCGTCAGACACTTCACCTTAGTACAAATAACCGTTGGCAAAAAACTACTCCTATAAAACTTTTTAAAACAACAATCGTCAGTTCGAGTCAGCGTCCCTCAATTTAAATTAACAGCTAACTTGCAACTTACTTACCACAAGAAATACACAGCAGTGCGTGATTCACCGTATTGGCTCAATCATCAAACGACGGAATCTGTCAAACAACAGCGCCCGTATATTTTAAGAGTAGTCGCACTAAGCTTCACGGGAACGAGATTATTTTAGGTCTAATAGTGTGAATAATATTTGTTGAAGGCGATGAAAAGTTTATCTAGATTTATCCCATTGGCCTGACAAGCTATCTATCAGTAATATGCAATACCGTTTGCTTTAGTTGTTTATCCCCCAAATCTAAGAAATATTTTCGTGCGGTGGGTTCCGGGGGGCGGGGGGCGGTTTACTCCCGGGAATTCTTGGTGGGGGTGTGCCGCACGCTTCTCCAAATCCTGACCCTATTTCAGACCAAGAAATGTCATTTTCCACACCAGTTTTCAGACCAGACCTCTACAATCCATACCCTTTTTCAGATCTGTCCTTTAGGCAGAAATTATGTCATCATTACTTAGATTAACGCGCAAACAAAAGTATTCTTCAAATGCATATCGAATTCGCATGTTTCTATTTCGCTCTTATTCTTGGAATTAAAACGATAATTACCTTCATACACTCCCGTAGTTCCCTCGAAAAACATACCCGATTCCAGACCAAAATGGGCAAAGTGTATACCCGTTTTCAGCGAGACCAAAACGGCGCAAACAACCCTACCCGATGGGGCGGCACATACCTATATATCTTATATAAGAGAGTAACTCGGGGGTGGCCTGGCCTTTGATACTCGTACAACCGCATTTTTTGGACTCCTTAGAACCTCCGCCCCACAAATCTCAGAGATAATCTTTCTTCATCGCATTGATCTGATTGCCAAAAAGGCTCTTGAGTGACACTGCAAACCATTAGTTGACTTATCTGAAATCGGAACATCGCTTATTGGCTATTGTCAACAACCTCATCGCTGAAGTGTCAACGGTGACTCAGCATACAGCAATAAACACCAAGAATGTGACACATGTTTTGTTACAAGTAGTAACATCATGCTTTTACTATAAGAAGTAAGTCAAAGGAAAGTTTTCTCGTAAAATAATTAATTGTACTCATGACAGTCATTTTATCCTTTGGGACTGATTTCATTCGCGGTGTATTCGAATGTCTGCGACGAAGGCTACGAAAGAATTAGAGCAATTGGTTAAGGTCATAAAAAATGGTGTTTGCTTATGGTAGTTCACTTCAGTCATAATGAATTTATTTTGGTCATAATGATTTTCTCTACTCATAATGACTAGGTTGTTGAGAGCCAGTTCTTACGAACACATAGTCAGCTCTCCCTATATAACACAGACACCTTCTGGACCGGCCCTGATTGTCCGTGTTAGAGAGGTGTCCGGCTTATAGAGAGTCGAGGTGACGTGACGCCAGTAATTTAAGAGCTGAACTTATTCCCTATTAATAAACGTCTGTTTAACTTGTACAAAATAGCTAAAACTGGAACATTGTAACAGAATAATGAAACGTTTATTACAAGCAAACGTTCATGGCTTCGTGGTCTGAAAGCGTAACAGTATACACTCTGAGAACTGGAAAAAGACTACAAAATATCAAACATATGCATTTTGCAATTTACTATTATGTAAAGCAACTACATTTCCGTTTTGAGGTATTTTTCACTGCATAAAGCACTTCCCAATTGTCCGCCGTTGACGGTTTCAAAAGTGTCCGTTGTCCGTCTTGGAGAGTTATCCGTCTAATACGGAGTATAGTTACAGTAAAATGACTGAAAAACGGCAGCGACCAACATCAGATGTCCACCTTAGAGAGGTGTCCGTTTTATGGAGAGTATAGCTAAAGTAAAATAACTGAAAAACAGCAGGGACCAACACCGGGTGTCTGTCTTATAGAGAGTACAGTTACAGTAAAATGACTGAAAAACTACAGGGACCAACACAGGTGTCCGTCTTACGGAGGTGTCCATCTTAAAGACGTGTCTGTCTTATAGAGGTGTCCGTTAAGAGAGAGTTGACTTTACGGACATTTGTGAAACTGCATTTCCTTTATTCATGGAAGGGGCCTAAGCCACTCTCTCAGGAAAGCAGTTTTAAAGAGGGGGTGAGGTTTCAGTGAGCAGATTCACTTTGTTCGTGGAGACGAAAGACCAATTCGCTTAAAAAAAAATATGCACAGTTCCTAAGATATTTAACAATTAATAAATGAGGCTGAGTATCTTATGAAGAATTATAGAGATCGAGGAGGGTGTTTTCAGGCGGATAACACCCTCCGAGATCTCCATAATTCTTCATATGATACGAACCTGTCCCCAAGTCTTCTCTGTTAACGCTGCATTAACCTGCAACTGTGCTGCACTTTTGACGTCATCGGTTGATTAATCGCAAAATTCTTCCAAATTTGGTCAACAGGAGCTGGTTATGGTAAATTATACGTGTACTTAGACAATCAGAAACGGAGAAATATTTTGAATGAATAATAGTTACTGGATTTATTTGGGGGTGGCCTAATAATTAGCAATCGCTGGATTTGGCATTCGTATGATAATCACGTTAAATTATGCAGATAGAGGAAGGTGTTAAGAGAGGGAAGGTGCTATAAGGGCGAAATAGCCGTCCATAGCTGACACTGATTTTAAAAATCAACTCATGATCATAGTAATTCTACTTCAACGGGAATCTTATTATCTTCATCGAGACATCGACCCGTTACCTGCCCAAACTGGCCCCACCTCACCAACTTATATTGTCAAAATAAATCAAAACATGTCAATTAAAATTGGAGTTTTATTTAGCAAATTACAGGAATTCTATTTACAGGATTTATGCTCATGAATTTTCCCGCTTGTGCTTGTGCAGTAATATTTGTCCATCTAAATTCTAGGCAGTGGTTTTAGTTTTATTAGGTGCAATCGCCATGCCCATTTAATGAAATTTACCGCGATAATTGACAAAGAACTCATCAAGCTTATTAAGTTGCATTCAAAACACTTTCAGCTTCCTCGCATAAAGGATAGCCATTACAACCGTCCCCAGAGTAAAGATGTCCACGGAGTTATGACGACCTCCACTTGTTTCGGGTGCTGTAAAAAAGGATGAAAGTAAAAGTCAGTAACCGCATCAGGTCATCATTCATTAACCTGTAGTGGCTTTAATTCGGTCATCATTACTAGGAAACCCAGTTACTTCGGGCTGTCTTTAGGGACACCTCCCCAAACGGATACCTGCCCCGTGAACTTCCCTCCGAACTTCAGTCATTCCAGTGTCTTTCTATTCATAAGTGGCTTTGAAGGGGTCTTGTTACAAATAAAAGGATCGTTAATTTTGACTTGATAAAAAAAATTCATTGAACTCACCACAGTCGTCGCTCGGACGATACTTGTCGAAGGCGTCGGGGTTGGAATTTAAAACCTCCTTAAATTTTCTCTCAGGCTCGTGGAGTTGATTGCCTGTAATTTCCGTTGATATGCGGAGTTCAGTGGTTAGAGGTTTTAATACACCTATATCTACATATCGGAATTATTGGAATAGCAGATGACAAAGTGCTGGCTTTCACCGTCACGCCATCAAAAAATCAAAACCGTTCAATGGATTTGGTCCCGAATCTGGGATATGAAAGGAAGTGAATATGCAAAGATCCTCACAAAAATTCAGGCCACTGCAATTTTTCATATAAGAGATATTCGAGGAAATGATTTACCCAAATGTTTTGCGTTTTGTATGGAGACGTCATGTTGGTGTCCAGGCAGATACAAAAGCTTAGAAATTCAACCGCACTGTATTACAAAACCAAGAGCCCTTTTGAGGTGAGAATTTGTATGAATATTAGTTTTCAGCTGCTCTACTACTTCATGAACGTAAAACTCAGGAGGATAGATAATTCTTTATTTTAGAATTTTGATGTCGTCATGTGAACGCCAGCTATAGCTTCTGTAAATCCTGGGGAGCCTGCATTGCAAACGTAGTTTAACGTCACCGCAAATATCGGCTGGAACACAGGCTTATGCCCAACTGAAATATGTATATCAACGTTAGGTTGATCTTGTTCATATCGAGGAAAAAGGCAGACAATTGCAAAGAAGTCACAGACGCCGTTAGCAAGACTTTGGCCCGGGTTTTTTCTTCTTTCGGACCAAATATTTCTCACTATTTTTCACAAGGAATTAAAAAAAACAGTTTCATCTTTGCTAATTCATATACGCTTAGCTTGAAGGACTAGAGAGAGAGAGAGAGAGAGGGAAGGAGAGAGAGAGTTAGTGAATGGGATTGAACTTCAAGGGAAAGAAAGAAAAATGAAATAATTGAGGTCTCAGCTTTTTGCAACCACCTCGATGGAAGTCAGGCGTACCATTTTCATAATTGTTGATAAGAAATGGTCAGGTAGAAATGCTAAGGAGTACAGACTGCTGGAAGCTCTATAAAAGAGAGTTTTACATCATTACAATGGCATACGTACCTTTCCCAATGATCCCAAACTTGGCTATTTGGCACTTGTCATTCTCGGCTTTCTCTGTATGAATGTTGAACAATCGCCACTTTGGAATATTCAACGCTTTGGACACGACGTTTGCAAAATGAGCCCTGAAAAGAAAGGAAAAACTTCAGCTAAGCTTCTGGGTTAGCTTCCAAAGGCCTATTGGACAACAATAATTGGCGGAAACTAATGCGGTTCTGGGTCATTCACCTGGGTGAAGAAAGACAAGTGAAACAAAGTGTTTTTTCTAAGGAAACCCAGCCTGATAAGGCTCGGATCCAGAGATCCTAAGGTCGACGTGACATTCATAAGTTTTTTAAGAGTTGTGTTGAGTCAGAAGTTACGAACATCGAAAATCATAACCAAGCTGAGTTCTCTGTACTAGCAAATCAATGCCATAACGAACCTTGAGACGCCTTAATTCTCTAAAAATGATGCCCAGTTAAAAATAATTTCTTATACATGAGGTTATACTCACTTCGAAAAGGAGCTAGCTTTAACAAATTCCAGAGACTTTTCCACAAACAGCGATGAGTCAGCCTCAATGTTCGCACAACCAATGCTACCTTGTCGGTGCAATACTATACCATGGCCGACAACTGAGAAAACAAATGACAACAAGTGATCGATCTTTTTTTTAACAAGTAGCCTTGCAAGGGGATATGATTAGTAGAGGCACAAGTCTCCAATGGAGGACAAAAGAACTTGGGACTGTGCGAAAAAGCTCTTTCAAGTAATTGCTACGTAGCACTATGCTCCTAATGACAATTTTTGGGTTCAACCCGTCGTCCCCCCACTTCCCCCAGCAATCTTGTGGCCAAAAAAAAGCACTCCTTTCCGCCCAATTTTGCTCAAAATTCAACTTTGTTTTGGGTGGCAGGGGAGGGGTCGCTAGTTTTACTAATATCACTGGAAAGGTCCTAACACTTTTGACCTTCATTGTGGGTTAAATAGCAAACTGCCAGAAATGAATTGCAACTTCTAATCCCATCAAGGAAGAAGAAAACTGGAAACAAATCTTGACTGTTTTTGGATGAAAACCCTGACAAATCAAGGGGCATTCAATGAAAATTTTCTTCGATTTGACTACACAGTTGATCCTCTTCTTGTGGAAAAGCTTCTATTACAGACAGCTCAGTTTGTTAACAAGCGAATAGCATTAAAGTTAATAACACGTTAAAACCTCAGCTTTGCAAGAACTCAACAGACCAGGGCAGCACTGTAAGACAGATGTATGTCCTCATTTCGGTGGAACAGACTGACCCCAGATTTGAGTATTTTTTGGCTCACTCGATGTAACAGATCTTACGTACTCTAGCAATTTGTTGGTGGTCCCTCGCTTTGTTCAAGTTTACTGTATTGACAAGTGTGCTACCAGAGAGAAAGTGATTAATAATAACGGAGAGAGAAGCGGAAATATCATAAGACTCTCATAATGTCAATCACCACCATCGTCTTTTATATCATTTTTTGATATAATATTCACTATCATTTTTCTCATACAAATTTCAATAACAGCACCGTGTTGATATTTTGATATTCCGCAATCCTTCACCGTTGTGAATTAATCTCTATCCACTTATTTAAAAATTATTCCTCGAGCCCGAATGGGCTCTGAGTCAATAGCCTATGAGGCCGAAGGCCGAATGGGCTATCGAATCAGAGGCCATGAGGACGAGAGGAATAATTGTTTTAGTAAACTCCAACTAGTTGGTCAAAAAAAACCAAGACAAAACAACTTTAGCAAGTTAAAGCTAGACTTTAATCCTTTTTTGCCGCCAAAAAGTCGGCGCTTTTCGCTGCTAAAGGGCTTAACATATGGCCTAGCAGTAGCTCAACCAATAAGAACGCAGCATTGATAATAGACCACTAGTTGAATATACTAATTAGGTATAGCTTTTTAAGAGTGAATTTCTAAGAGAGCTCTTTTAGAGTGTGACTATTTTTTATTATTCTGTAAGAGGAGACTGGATCTTTTACGTTTCAACACTGAACACCTTTACTTTTTTTGGTTGAGCGGCATCAAATACGTTACGACAGACAGACTCGCACCTGAATTGTGGCCAAACAATGGCAGGCTAACATCATTGTACAGTTGTCGACCTTCGCCCACCATATATACTCCGTGTTTTTTGCTCATGTCTCCTGACTGACAGCGAAGCATGTTTGTTATGCCGCAAGCAGAGTTGTAGTTTCCCTGAATAATAAGCAACATATATTACAAAACAATTACCATTGACAAGAAGGAATGACGTACTTATTTTTCATTTCCTTTAATTGCTGAATTGTATCCCCTTTTCTGTTATGTTGTAATTATTTTGCTGAAAACACAGTTTTTTTTTGCAGTCCGTCGACTGCTTCGAGTTGCACTTGTCTTCATAACTTAAACAAAGTCTCATAACCTAAAAGAATATGCAGCGAATTATGCTGTGCATTAACCAAGTCATGAAAACAGTTTTGAGGCCCAGAGGAAACAAACAATAGAAGTGAAAAAACATGATACAGTCGAACCTCCATATGTGACCACCACCTCTCGTAAGCGACCACCCTCCAACACGACCACTCAGGATCCAAAACTGACACCAAATTTTTCCCAGTCAACGCCCTACAGTTAGAATTTCTCTAAAACGACCACCTCTCGTAAGCGGACCACGACCTCTTTTCGGGTCTGACGATTACGTAGTTTTCCATTGTTTTTGCTCTTCTGTGAGAGACCACTTGACACATAGTATGGTCTCTTTGTTCGCTATATGTACCACGATAGAAGATACAGTGGTGGATCTAGACCTTCAGATAAGGGGGTGGGGGGTGATCATCCATAAGGGTGGGGCCTGGGCCCGGTTGCATAAAACCTACACTTAAGTGCCCACTTAAGTAGGTCACTTACGAATCCGTTATGGGTACACTTACGGGTGTTGCATGGAACACACTTAGCACTCTCGTAAGTTACTGTTTTACGTGGTAACTTACAGGCTCACCTAAAGGCACACGTAACTTTGATATAGTAGTTTATTAATGACGCACTCTTTTTTTTAAGCAAACCATCGGTGAGTGTAAAGAAAGTTTTAAGTCGTTTCGAACACTCTTAAGCCTCTTAAAAAAAGAAATTTGCATGCAAACGTTATTTTCCTTCAATATCTACTGAAAATGATAGTTCTTCTTTTTTCACAAAAGTGTACACCAGAGGTTAACAAAGCGCATTAGAACGAATTACGTGAAGAAAAATAGTTTTTTTCACTTCTCAGTAAAAGATCTCGTTAAATTTAGTAAAAACAGTAACGATACGGGACCTACATAGGTCCCGTAAATTTACGTGCTATTTTTCCCGTAAAAAAAGTTTTATGCAACACCCGCAATTTCCTTTGCACAAACGACACTTAAGTGAACACTTACGAAAATCGTAAGCGCAACCACTTAGGTGAATTCCTTAAGTGGACCACTTAAGTGATTTCATGCAACTGACTTAAGTTACGGGTGCCCGTACGTGTACCCGTAGTTGTTACGGACGTTTTATGCAACCGGGCCCTGGTCTCCAAAAAAAATATGTTTGGTCTAAAAAGAAGTGGGGGCGGGTCTCCCGGGCCCCTCCCCTGGATCGGCCACTGAGATGCATAAGGTGTACGATGAACTTTCAATGCCAAAAACATGGAATTGAACTATATGTTTACATAACTTAGAAAGTGCATATTTAATTTCTCTTCCAAAAAGTAGATGTGTCGGGACCATTTCTCTGAATGTGATTCAATTATCGTACGCAATCACTAAATATAAGCATTTTGGGTGGTTGCTTACGGGAGGTTCGACTGTTCATTATCAGTTCCTGTGAAAGCCCTTTATGTTAAGAAAGGTTTGTTGTAAATTAATTTATTTTTACCGGCAGCTTCAGGAACCTAACCTCAGTAAAAACGTTATGGGGATTAAACTGTCCATCCAAACTCTTGCACCTCTTGCTGGAATCAGCAGCAGTCGCATCGTCACCAACAGGATTGCTACGTACGTTCCACGTATGGTCACCGATCTGATGACAAAGAAAATAACACTAGTTGACGGGCAATATAGGAGAGAAGGTTATGAATGAAGAAAATGCAGTTAGTATATCCCAGACTGGAAAACTTACGGATCCTTTCTCTTTATTATTTAGCACAGGCTGCCATACTAACATCAAAAACGCATAAATTTCGCGCGTTGTCGTTACCCGCTGGTTATTAAGTCTCGAATTCAGTTAAAGGGCCAGTTATGCTCTGGTCTATTCACTCCGTTTTTTAACTTGCTTCTAGAATCGAACTTCGAAAGTGAAGAAGATTATAGTGCAAACAACAAATTCGAATTCAAATTAAAAATTCAGTTCAGAGAAAATAAAATAATGGCTTTAGAACGTACATTTCTTGCATTTTCTCTGGTCACTCAGGAAGCCGGGTTATGCAAGTGTTGTTAGTATCTCCAAGCCTTTTTGAAAATTTTTACCGCCGACCGTCGATAAAAATCTTGCCCGGCGTTCTCGTAAACCCCCGTTGCCATAAACCTCCACTTTCGAAAACCTTCGTTTTTGACCGTTTCATTGTACGAACGAGGACAAAACGCATAGAGATATAGGCATAATTAACGACTATCTGCATAACAATGTAGAATAACTTACGGCCGGTGCTTGGGTTGCATTTATGATTTCAACGAAAATAGTGGACTCTACAGCAGCAGTATTCCCCTCGCTTGAAAAGTACTGATCCTAGTAAAAGAAAATTTTACACTTCACTTGAATAAATGATAAGCAATGTTCATTTCAGCCACATAAAACTCTTAGTCAGAACACTGATTCAGGCGTTTAATGTTCTCGTGTTAACCATTTATGCCGCAATATCCCCATACAAATTCTCCAGACTGGTCTCCATGCATTTTCTTAGAGAATTAGTTGGGAGAAATTGATAAAGATCAAAGCACTTTTTCTTTGATGCTCATTTATCCAGTTGTCATAACGTTTCCCTTCCGGTTTGGAGAAAATTGATGTTGATCACTCTTGGGAATTAAAGGGTTCAATGTTCTGGCCGATGTGGTACTCTTGGTGTGCACCCAAGTTACAAGGTAGCCATTTTAGTTGACAAAATAAAACATTTTTTGTCGCAGAATTTGCATGAAAATGAGTTTAGTTCCTAGCCGAAAAAGACGCTTTTATTCTTGTCAGCCGACATGGCCGCAATGAGGTCCGACGGTCCGCAAACAAGCGGTATATCCTCGGCAGTCTGTAAAATTTATCTGGAGTGAAAAGAGCGAGAAATAAGTAGTCAAATGAAATTATCTTTAAAAAAAAACTATCTTAAACGGACACCAAATGATCTCCATTTCCTCCAGAAACGCCTGAATGTACTCTGACTAGCGTAGCGGTCACCATTTTCTAATGTTAGGGAGGGTAACTTTTCCCTATATAAACAATTTGGCTCTCCCAGCCGGGTCGGCTCGGTCAAGGCGAGACAATCAGAGCATGCGCGAGTGCTCTTGTCTCGGGCAAAAGGATTGAATATTTTCTCATATGAACGCGCGCTAAAGTTTACTCGGCTGAGAGGGCCACCCCCTTTGCCATATAACAGGGGCTAAGGCACTTTAACATCGGTTTTCCGGAGTTACATGTAATGGGAGCAAAGAAAAGTACCAGAAAGTTTGCTACTAGTGACAAAAAAATGTTCTTTTGCCTATCAAAAGTATTTTATTTTTTCGTTGCTGTCGCCGTCTTCGTTACCATCGCTCCCTAGTAGTGCCAGAATGGAGTGTTTGAAATAATGGTTTACAATGCTACAGATACATGTGAAGTCATTGTTATGTCAACTCACCATTAGAATCATTCCTGACAGTGTCGGTCCAGTAAAATTTGCACTAGCTTTCATGAAATACAAAGTACCTGCATCATTTACTGGCATGAGATTGTTACAAACCCATCGCTTGTTTCCGTCTTTTTTCAGTTTATGGATAACAAGCGAACGGCCCTGGATGCTGTACCTTCCAAACAGTGGCAGGTTATAATCCTCGTGCCGTTCGCTGTAGTCTGTAAGGTTCAAAAAGGATCCGTATTTTCCACTCAAGTCGCCGATTTCATATTCATCGTCCGTTCCTAGAAAATAGACAAAATGGTGTAGTAGCCTATCTGTTGAGTTTTCACAAGGTGAAAAATCGCTGTTTGCACGTCTTAGAAGACGAAACATAATATGTGATCTTTACAGTTATTTCATTTCATTTCATAAGTTGAAATTCTCATTCGCAAGTAACAAGGATTTTGAACGTAAAGCAAGAGCAGCAACGCCCGCCCAGCAACGCCGGGCAGAACCAATCAAACAAACAGTTGGCTTTCGAAATGTTTCATCAGTATGGAATCTCGATCTGCAGTCGTTTCTCAGACGTAAGAGGGAGTTTAAGCAACAACGACGGTGACGGCTACGAAAACGTTATTTAAAAAGTGAATTCGCGCTGCTTCAAACTTTTTCGCGCTTATTCCAACTCGTTTAATTCGTCAAATGTTGGCAATTTTTTCTGGAGTTGAATTCTAAAGGACTGTATCAAAGTTCAGGAAAAGAAAAAGAAAGTTGTTGTATGTCTTGTGTTTCCGTCCTCGACAAAACGTGAAATTTAAGGCACTTTCACGTTGTAGTCGTGCAACGACGGTTAAGAAATGACAAAAAAGTGTGATGCACGTGCAAAGTTGTTATTTTGCCGATCCAAACCTATTGCTTTCTTGCCGTTCTTGTTGCCGTCGCCGCCGTCGTTACTTAAGCTCCCTTTTAATTCGCGAGGAAACCAGTGGTGGCGTCTTGAGATGTCGGTTCTAGTGTTTTCTCAGGCTACCATGCATGCAAAGCAATCCCTTACCAAACCATATGTATTTTGAAACTGATTTCAAAGTGTTTAAAATGTATTTTCAGTATTTGAATACTATTTTCCTGTATTTTAATCCTATTTGACAAAAAAATTTAAATTTTCGCCCCTGTTTGGAATATATCTTAAGTGTAGTTAAATTATATTTCATCAAAAGGAAAACCTCTCTCATCAATTTACAATGTATTTTGTTTAATAAATATGATTAAAATAGGGTATTTCAAATGTATTTTGGGCATAGAACCACTAACACTGTTACAAACAGAGTTCAAATAGACTATTTGAAATATGTTTTAAGGGCTTAAATGCGACTGTTTTTTAAATACTTTTAAATAGGGTGCTTTAACACTGTTTTGAGTTGTATCTACAATGTATTTTGAGGCGCATCCACTCACAAAGTTACAAACATAATTCAAATAGACTATTTAAAATATGTTTTGAGAGCCTAAATGCTGACCGTATCTTAAATACTTTTAAATAGGGTACTTTAACACTGTTTTGAGTTGTATCGAAAATGTATTTTGAGACGCATCCACTCACAAAGTTACAAACAGAGTTCAAATAGACTATTTGAAATATGTTTTAAGTCCTTAACTACTGACCGCATTTCAAATACTTTTAAATAGGGTACTTAAACACTGTTTTGAGGTCTATTTGAATTGTATTTTGGGCACACAACACTCTGACTATAAAAACAGATTGTACATAAAATATTTAAAGTGTGCTGAAAGACATCAAATGCTGACCTTATTTTAAATACTTTAAAATAGGGTACTTATTACTTATTATTATTGAGGTGCAATATTGTAATGTATTTTGGGATACTTATACTCAGACTATAAAAGTAACAATTGCACAAAGTTAATTTTTAAGCCTTCATCGTGTCACGAACTCATAAATGACTCAAAACAGGCTGTCATATTGTGGACCGGATTCTTCTCTCAATAAAGTTCGAGGCGGAGCCAAAAATTAAATCTCCCAGCAAATCAAAAAGAAATTGAAAAAAGAGAAGAAAATTAGGAATAGATTTTAGCTTTGACTGACAACACGTAACTGTGACAGTGTGCCGATAAAGGATCAATCCGTTCCTCAATGTTCATTACCTGCAAGCTCTCTGCGAAAATCTTCGCCTAGATTTTAGCCGTGATTCAATTAATGCAGCTACGGGACATTCCATAAGTTTTTTTAAAAGAAAATTCTTAAAATCACATTTTAATTTTCATGTAGAAATTTTTCGCAAACAGCCGAAGCCGCGGGCCGAGAACCGGATGCACGCGGTCAATTGAGATTTGTCTAAAATAAGTCCTTGAAATTTCATAATAATTAAAACAAACTATCCAAGCTAAGATCTCACCTCGTATATATTGCACTAAGAAACAACGCTCAGATCTGAATAAACTCCGACATATGGTTATCTTTCTCTCATAGACTATTCCGCACATGCATGGCATATTATTTTTGAGATGTCACGCGCGACTGAAATCACGACTTCGCGCCGCGGTGATGTGACAAATGCACGTGATAAGCAAACCGTCCTTTGTCCTTTGCTCATTTCAAATTATTGAACCGGCGGTAGGCTCGATTACCAGCCGCTGTTCGGGAAAATGAGCCCGCACTCATCCCCCGGGGAGGATCAAAGACCGGACCCGGGAGACGGCGGAAATCGAGCCTAAACCGGCGGTTGCTCCCGGACGGTTGCTGTGAGCTTAAATGTGCTTGATTTTACTGTTTGTTACGATCTTACAAAAGTACACTCCAACTCTTCGGATTGTCGGAACACGTAGATGTTGCTTTTATCACGAATCAAAAATGGTTATGACTCCTCAGCGACTGTTATGTACTTTGAAAGGTTCTGGTTCAGGAGAAGAGTCCAACAGTCTAATTGTAAGTATTAAATATACAATGTTACTAAGACGCTTAGATATACGCCATATGAGAAACAAATGAAGGGTAGTAAACGTTTATATAGTCGCGCCCGTACGGCAATTTTACTTTTTACAGGATTCCTTGCAGAGACTCGCTGTTTTGTATAAATGATCTCGGTCACTTGATGTCACGTCACCGGCCTCTTTCATTCTCGCGTAAATTTATTCGTATGCTGTTCTTTAATTATCAGCCACTAATTAATGTTCAGGCCTAGCCTGCATTAAGCTTCTGATGATATTTGAGTAAAGCCGTGAATATAATAAACAATGTAAGTTACATGCATGTAGATTAATATTTACTGATATTTACCGGTAACGTCAGTAACGACGTTATACCCTTTTGAAGCCAAAGGTTGATAGCCTGTGTACAGACCCCCCACCCCTCCCCTCCGAGTTTTATTGAGGGAAGGGGTCTGTACACAGGCTAAAGATTGATTTGAGCATTTCTGAAAAATTCCATAAGAATTTCCCGAGAATTCTTAGGGAAATCAACGTAAAGTAATCGGCTAAGAGATAATTCTCTTGAAGTCCTAGCCTAGGACTGTGTGGAGAGATTTCGCCGAGGTAAATCTTGCTTTTTCAGGGTAATTTTCGACGGTTTTGTATTCATTTTATTGCCAACGAGCCATCCGAGCGAAGACGCTCGGATGGCGAGGCGGCAGCAGAATAGAGCCGCGTAAGACTGGGCAATAGGCAGAAAAATTCTCGATCGAGCTGAAAAAAGTGTAACCCAATGTAATGTAGATTCCCCTGAGACCAAGTGGTCAGTTGTGAACCAATCAAAAGGCACTACCTGGCGCACGGGCTCAAATTGAATAACAAACAAAATTTCACACACTTCCAGCCGTCGTGACCTCCTGTGTTTACCTAAATTTTTTCGTCAAACCCGGCCACTGCAGTCAAGAGACATGAGCACTTGATATATTCTGTTAATTTTAGGGGCCATAATGTTAAGTTTTAACGAAGAGAAGTTTGTTAAACAGCAAAAGTGTTCTATGTGCAGCAAGCAACAGGAGCACCCAACGGCAATTTTCGGGAAAATATCTGTCCGGAAGACGATTTGAGATCTAGAATTTTCGGAGCATTTGTTGTAAAATTTCTTGCTTGCCTGCCTCTCCTAGGATTTTCGAACATCTACAAAATGGTATAATTACCCATTTATAAGGGATTTTGACCCTAAAAAAGGCCACCTAGAATTTTCGGGAGCCTTTTCCTGGCTGAAGTTTTCGGGAAGGTAAGTTTTTATCCCTATAATTTTCGGATCACTAGACTTTCAGCTAGGAAATCTGAACAGATGAAAAGCTTTTAGGGGATAAAAATATGCCTATATCTACTGTTTCAATACTAAACTACGTTCAACAATGCTATGTTAAGTGGTTTTGAACTATATCCTCGTTGGGTGCCCCTGAAGCAATATTCTCACCACTAAAAAGGATCGGATTACACGAGGAGATAAGGAAAGCTTGACACGAAGAATGCAGTCGCTTCTGTTGGAAAGTCTGGTGTTGGGGAAAAAATCTAACCAGCAAACAAAAACAATGAGAACAAAAACGAATTACAAGCCTAAAGCGAACGACAAAGGAAAAGAAAACAACGCCATTTTTTTTGGAAACCTGGCCGAGTTCAGTATAAAAATAATGAACTAAAATTAAATACCGACGTGCCGTACATCGCATGTCCTTGGAAACATTTCAGATGGCCCAGCGAATCATTCTAAGTTTCAATCCGATATCAAAAAGTCTCGGGAAATTTGAAAGGAGGTTTAAATGATTAAACTGTGCAAATATTTATCAACAATGTGAAACCGAACAGACAGTAGATTTGTAGCTGGACTTAATAATATTCCCGATCGCTTCCTCTGCAAAGCTGACTTTATTCTTTCAAGGCACTTCACACTTTTACATAGCAGGTTTGTAAAGCCACCAGACTGAATCTGAGAACTTTTCAAGAAAATAATCCTTGCAACAGGAAGGGACCAAGAAACGGTCAGATGGGAAAAAAAAGGAATTTTATTCCTAAGCAAAATACGCATGATTTGCTCGTTGGCACTCTATCGATAGGTATACCTAGTTTCATGAATTTAAATGGTATTTCCATCCTGTTTTTGTACTATTTTTATGCTCTTTCGACCGATTTTTATACTGTTTTCAGACAACTCTAAGGCTATGTTCTTACAATTTTATACTGTTTTTGCATTTTTGCATCCTATTTTTGATGTATTTAATTCATAATATATGTGTGCTATTGCTTTTCTTCTTCTGTGGTATTTTAATACTGTTTTCAAAGTATTTTTATTGTATTTGCAAATACGAGTATTTTACTAAATTTCGAAACCGATTAAACAGCTATTAAAATATATTTTGAAGCATAACATTTTAATAGCGTTTTAAACAGGTTAAAACACCTTTAAAATCAGTCGAAAAATATATCAAAAATATATTTTTGTACCTATTTTAAACCTGTTTTTTTCAAAATACGTTTAAAATTGCCATTAAAAATAGTTTTAAAATAGTATAGTAAATTAAAATATGTTTTTGAAACTGTTTTTATCCTGTTTTTATTCCGATTTATAAGGTATTTAAAAACTGTTTTTGACCTGTTTTGAGCCTTGCAAAAGCCCTGGAATTTTTTATATATTTTAAAAGCATTTTAAAATACTTTAAAAATTCTTTTTTAATAGCGTTTTAAACAGGTTAAAACACCTTTAAAAGCAGTCGAAAAATACATTAAAAATACACTTTTTACCCTATTTAAAACCTATTTCACAAAACAGGTTAAAAACAGTTTTCAAAAATAGCTTAAAAATACATTCAAAACAGTGTTGGATTTGGTAAGGGATGGCTGTGCCGTTCTCCGCAATGTCGTCTCAGCTATGGCTTCTCAACCCTTTTAACCCTCATACTAAAATTGTTATTGGCATTTGTTGTCCCTATACGTTTTCAATAGAAGTAGTGGGGAGAATTTGTTGAAGTATCAATTAGACTTCCCTGATCATGTACTCAATTCTCATCACCACTCTGTTTTCTAAAGCATTGATATTATAAGGAGAAATTTCATGCTGACCACTCTTAGGGCTTAAAGGGTTAAAAAATTCCGTTGACTTAGAGATCTTTGAGATACAAAATAAGATGTATGAGGCAATATTTATGTCAATAGGTAGCATGAAAACCAGGAGGGTTGGTAAACTAGACATGGTTGTTCAAGATACAGATTTTTATTGTACAATGCATACGGTATCAAATGAATGCCCAATCTCTGTTACACACGTTGTGGCCTTTTTGGAATCTTAAATTTCGAATTGAAGGATTCCTTAATTTTTCCGAATTGAAGTCCAAGGTTTTCAGGTTTGACGGTGCTGTTTGGGGAAATCGCTTAGTAAAAAGCGTTGATCATAATTTACCTAAACCTTGAGGAATGAACTTAGCGTTTCCCTTGCTATTCAGAGGCAATTTTTTGGCATGCATCAGTGAGCGTAACTTTAACATTCCCGCGAAAGCTGGCACGGACATTTGTGATAATTTCCGTGATACTTTGCAAAACGTGCATAGGATGTGTAGCACGAAACAGAAGTCGCAACAGTGTTAACCCTAGACTTGCCTACAAGTAGAGCTCAAATTTTGTCACGAGCGCGAAGCGCGAGCGGTAGATTTTTATGTTTTCTGCCGCAAAAGCGAGCAATGAACAAAAGTGCCGTCTTGGGATATTTGTGAGATCAGTTTCCAGACGTTTCGGGCTCGTTGCGAGGTTTGCATTCGCATGAAAGAAAGCATAAAAAATAAAACCTTTGTAGTGAGCGCCCTCAAAACGAAACAAGTCGGTAATGTTTTTTCGCTAAGTGGTTGCCAGGAAAATCCGACCTTGGTAAAGTACTCAATGGAGGAAGATAAAACGCCCACTAAAGCTTTGTATTTGAATACAGGCGATAAAACGAAATCGAAATACATCCCGAAAAACATACACAGTTCAATTTGAATTTGGATCAAAACAGTTCAAGACACGTTTCATGTGGCGTTATCGGGTTTGATTGACGACGCATTAGTAAAACCGTTCGTGATTGGATAAAACCTACAGGAGGAAAATTCCTCCTGTAAATTTGGCGCGCTAGCAGGGGACAAAAGTCCTTCGCGCGGGGGCCAATTACATGAAACCGGAAATGAGAAGCGAAGGACTTTGAGAAAGTCTACGTTAACCCTTGAAGTCTCAATATCCAGTTCTCCAAACCGATCTCCATACCAGGATACTTCCTTAAAGAACTTACGGAGAAAATTCGTAAAAAGATCAGAGCATTTTGAGTTCCATTTGGTCATCATTTTATATATTCTCGTTGATTTTTTTCTTGATTAAGTATTGACTTACAAAAGCTAGTTTAAAATAAAAAAGAAGCTACACTGTAATTACCTGTGCCTGCAGGAGGGCTGGTCTTGATATTGATGTTGAATGGATTCCAGTGATCTCCTGCAATAAGTCCAGAACACGAATCCTTTGCGGACAAATCCTTGTACTCGGGGCTTGGATAAGCGTGTATGTGATACCCTTCAGCTTTCTTGGCGAGACCACTTAGCCTGAATACACTTGTTGTGGGATCAAAGGGAGATGCCTGAGTAAACTTGATAGATCCACCTACACCATCATTGACGGAAACCTCAAAAGAAACTTCAAACTCCTTTCGTTTCAGAGTCATGATCTTTGCGCAGGCAACTGGCTTTCCTGGCTCGCTTACTGAAAACAAAACTATCGTTTCACCGATAACAGAGTTAGCGCCACTTAAGGGCAAGTTAGTGTCGGTGAAGGCCACTTTACTTTGTGATTGCGTTGGGGTTGCCAAGGAAACTGTGACATCTCCATGCTTGGAAGACAGGTCACCAATGGGACAATTGTCATGCATGGTCTGGTTACAGTTTTCACCATTGCTGTCTGTAGGGTTGAAACTCTCGCCCAGTGTCTTGCAGTAGGTTGTTTGGTCTGAGGAGTCAACGTCGACCACTCCTTGGTTTATTTGCCAAGTAAACTGGTTGGATGATTGTGCATCGTTGACAAAAAAGAGATCAACAAAAATAGAAGTATCCGAGTTCTGATTCGCTTGTCTCAAATAGACATATCCCGCAACTGGAGCCTTGAAAACGGCTACAGCAGTTGTTATCATGTGTTGATTAGGACGTATTAGTGCGCATGCTTTGGGAGTGTCGCCGCTGTAAAGGACAAGTGTCCTACCCATAATGCTGTGAGGTCCTCTAGTTGGAATGACCAAGTTCTGATCTGTGTGATTCATTTCTGCATTACTCGGTGTTATGTCTCCAAGCATTTTCCCCAAGTCTCCAACTGCGCAGGCCTCAAATCTTGAAATACTGCCAAACCTACACTGGGTGGCGTAGTCTGCAGCTTTCATGGCCATCTCAGGATCAAACACTGCTCCCACTGCGCTTGAGTTACAGCTGAGGGCCGCATTACCATCGTAGATCATTGGCAGCTCTTTAATGCTCCACATCAGAGTTTCGTTGACGCCAGTTAAGTTGACAATAACACTTGTGGGGCCGTTAACTTGAGGCTGAGAAAAAAAGACGTCACCCTTTATTCCGCCCATGCTGAAAACAGCTTTTAAACCATGGTCATTATGGGAGGACGAGGAGACAAGACCTGAAATTAAATTGAACGAGATTGTAACGTGGCAATGGACTTATTATAAATCTAAATTCTTGCAAGACAAGGGGACAGTAGGCCTTCAATCGATTATCCAATTCTGCTTTCGTTAAAATACCCCTTTCCCGCGTTTTCGCGTCTATGAGGTACCTAGCCTGGATTCGATTGAATACAGTAATTTTTGGTTTCCATGTTTGCCATAGCTGTGCAGCTATTCTCAGAATTTTTGCTACACTTTTGTCAGGTTAAAATGTTTAAATGAGCCAAAAACGTACACATTTGTACGCACTTTTTCACTTTAATAAATGATATGTGATACATTAATTGTTGAGTTTCATAATTCATTAATAGCGGAAGTTTAAACGACTACATCTCACTCTGATTCTTAGTAAATCATTTTAGAGGAACTAAATCGTTCAGCTAAATTTTTATAACCACCTGGCCCTATTCTTTCAAGCTCTTAGGTGGATAACGAGGAAGATAATATCCAGGACCCGGTTCCTCAAAGTTGTTTTAGTTTTAACCAAGACTAAGTCAAATCTTAAGCACGGTTTTCTTGTCTCAGAGCATGTAACTCAAGCTTACAAAAAACCGTTGAGCCTAGTTTTACTCTGAGATACAGTAATTTTACTCTAAGCAATGTATAGGAAAGTAAATACAAAAAGTGGAACAAAATTTTAATCCTGGATTATATATTAGCGCCAATCGGTCTTTCAGGAACCTGGCCCTGTGGATAGTGTAGTTCGGTATAACGATTAATAATCTCCTAGACTTTGCATGATTTCATATTATCGCGTTTCAGATGCAAAGAAAGCAACTATGACTCTAAGCTCGCCTCTCGTTAAGTAGATCATGGTTAGTAGAGGAGAACGGTTATGAAAGGTGCGGCAAACAACAGAGATAAAAACAATGGTTTAATGCAGTCCTTGCTGGAAGCTGCCGGACGGTGCACAATTCTTTGTTTTCTGTAAATAAAACACGACGTTTTTATTGGTCAATAAGAACTTCGTGCACCGTCAGGTTCACAAAAACATAAAACAAAGAAGTCTGACGTGCTTCATTACCATTGTACTTTACTAGCTAAGAGACGAGTTATGGAGCTGATCTTTTTCTTACAATTCACCATTTTCACATACACGATAATGCATCTTGCTTACCCCCCCCCCTACCCCCCCTTAAAGTTGCATAACCATTGTCTTTGATTTCTCTTGGGATGACTGTAATACCCAGGAGGAATTGGAAACAATGGTTATGCAAAATGTTGAGGGGTAAACAAGCTGCATTGTGGTCTATATGAAAATGGCGTATAATAAGTTACAAGAGTTACCATCTTTTTTAAATATTTAACGATTAAAATATTTTGTAGTGATATATAAGTACGCAATGTAATTTTTACCATAGTTCAAAGTCTTTTTCATGCAGACTCCTCAAAAAGAAGTTGACATTCATCGATATGTGCATTCTACCAATCATTTTTGGCAGTAATTTTGTTATTTCTTCTTCGCGAGCCAGTGAACTCTTTGGTCATATTCCTGAATCGCCAACAACCTAAGACAGCTACATTGTAAGCTCCGCGCCTCTGTCTTGTGTAACGTCCGTCGTTTATATATACAGTCATCGACAAATGACTTACTGACGTCAGAGATGGAATACACCAAAGCATATTCCAATTTTGGTCAGCGCCGGATGGTTGTGTGTTGTTTGTTATTTATTCCGCACAAATTAAGACGGTCTCCGTGCATTCTGTTTATAATTATGAGCCACATTCGACTGGTATCAAAATTGCAGATTCCTACCCGCTAAAAACTCGATTGATTCTCCTGGGAAACCACTAGTTGTGTTGGCAAAACAGAGGATTTTGCTGACAATAGATCAAGTTTTTGGAAAGCTGTGTGAATAAATTGGTTTTGACTTACAAAAGAATTTAATTGAATTAATTTAACAAGTAACGAAACAAAAAATAAATAAGGTAAATAGAAATAATTATGTCACGTCAATTAAGCAAGCAACTACTGGCCTACAGCTTCCAATGAAAAGTCTGAAAAAACTCAGTTTTTTAGTGCTTTTTCCTCATGTGGGAGTTGTTAACATTTGCATGAAAGAAAAATAGGATACAAAGGCGAAAACAAAACACAAATCCATTGTACTCTGAAGCACGGATTTTAGAAGAGGTGCTTTTGATGCTTGAATGAAATACACACTCAAGAAATAATAATTTGAACAACGTCTGCATGACTGGTCAACTCATTTGGTGCTTTTTCCCAATATAACCGTTCTAATGTTAACGTATTTGCATGAAAGAAAATAAGACGCACATCACACTGATGTCAGCTTAGCTTAATGAAGCCGGCTGACACCTGTTCCTTGGTAAAAGACTTAACTGGAATATCAACTAAGACAAGAGCTATAATCATGGTCTTTATCATAGCTCTTGACTAAGATAAATGAAAAATAATTGTTTATTTCATACTAATCCTCTAAGGTAACAAACCGAAAGTGAACATGCAGGGTCATTAACTTCGCACTTACCTGCAAATGTCAACAAGGCGGCCACTAGAATCATTAAAACGTTTCGTGTCTTCATATAAGGAGCAAATGGTTAAAATGTTCGGTTTTAGCCGATCTAAAGCGTAATAGCCAAGTTGTTTACTTGCTTTGTATTGGCGAACGTTAATGATGTTAATGAAGTGAATAGCGCGTAAAAGACGCCTTTTAAAATACCTACGGCTTTTGTTTTCTGACGTTTTTATTGTCGCTGTTCTTTTGCTTACGCCGAAAAATAATAGCAAATAATTTTATTTTAAAATCAAAAAAGCAGAAAATCTCGAAAAAAGCAAATAGAGCGACATCGTAAAATGTTTACAAATTTAAGTTGAAAAACAAGTGATGCAAGACAAAAAACATGTTTATGCAATTGCATAAATTGTGTTCACAACTGCGAGGATCATCCTACTTCATTTGACTTCATTTCCGCAGTTCTTATCTGATTCATTTCATATACATCTATCACATTTAGTCATCTCTTACACAGGAACATATGAACTCATAATTGTCCAGTTCCCAACATCAGTGGCGCCGGTATCGCGAGGTCGAGGGTTCAAATTCCTTCAAGTCCTGAATTTTTTTTAGTTTCTTCATATACGCAATTGCATAAATTACCTCCAGAACTGCGAGGATCATTCTACATTTGAAGCTTTCTAGGCGAAATGGTAAACCATTTTATCCGACCAGGATTTCCGGTATCCCCTGATATCAAACTCGTTTCCGGGGCTTTTCTCCTTAGAAAATACGGGGACGGCCCCTGGAACGAGATTGAACTGAAATGAACTACCACGATCTTCTGTTACTGGTAGAACAGATCATTTTTTCCCATTTAGCCTACAACAAAGGACGATTTACTTGGCTTGTCCACTATCGCTGCCTTTCCTCAGTTGAAACGACCATATAAGTTAATTAAGAGATTTTGCTGTTTTTTTTCCTGGAAAGTCTCGTCTCGAAGACACAAGTCCTTCAAAGACAGGGGCGATCGTCGAAAAAAAGAATAGAAAAAGAAATACGAAACTTACATATGTAAAGTTTGTAAGGGAAGTTCAATCCTGGTTCAGGTCTTCATTTAGGTATATGCCGTGGCCAATTATAGAACCCACCTTAGTCACTTTTTGGCAAATATGTAATTTTCGCGATCCCAACTTAGTCACTTTCTATTTTCAAGAATTGACCCATTTTTTAGATTGAATGAAGAAAACTTCACTTTTCATCTGTGCTACAAACATTGTGGTACGTTTGCTAACCGTAAATATGAAGAACTGTCTTACCCAAAAAAATCCGAAAATGTGCGACCCCATTCTAGTAACTCTATTGAAAATACAACCCCATTCTGGTCAATCCAGTCGTGAAAATGTGACCCCATCCAGCGGCACATCCTCATTAGCCTCTTATAAGGAAGTACACCCCCCGGGGGTATATCACCTTACCCTCGCGAAGTTTTGCGGTACAAGTATTTCTAGTTGTACACTGCATTTTTGCAGTGCCGGGGCTAAAGAACAGGTCACTGCTCAATCGATAAATTACCAAGCCACACAGATTTCCCTCCATCTAATAGAGCATCATCTGTTAAAAGATTATGCATCAGTCAATTCCACCTGCGCCCAGCTCCCCCCCGGGCAACTGCGGGGCATTTGCCCGCCTTGTCAGTCCCGGGGGTGGGGCATTTGCAAATTTTACACTGCCCGGGGGCCGGGCATTTGCCAACCCCCGGGCCATTTCCGAGCTTTTGACACGCACGCGGTTTTCCATCAGAATATAACTACACAGAAGGTTTTACTGGAAAAAAAGCAGATTGGCTCATCTGTCAAGGACAGGAATAAATTGCAGAGGGTTGTAAAGGCATGTTCTCGATTTTACATGTATGTATGCATTTCTTCATTGCTTATCAAGCCTGAGAATCACGTAGCGAAATTGGAGCTATCGATGTGACTCAACGTTTTTTGGTTATTGAATCAAATTTCTGTTGATATTATTTGAAGAACATCCTTTCATATTTATAAAACTATTCATAACATATAAATTTACAGCTGTCTATTAATTTTGATGTCAATAATTTCATATCAATACTAAAACCGTAAACTGGTGCATGTCGTCGCGGCGTGAAGTCTTTAGAATCCTCGCGCTATTACAAAGGAAGACGTCAATTGAAACAAAAAATCGCATATTAAAATGCTTAAAATGGCACTATTTGACTGTGCGAGCAATGAAAAATGTTGCAGTGTTGACGTAGGACGGGGCATTTGCCCTCTTTTTTCGTCCCCACCCCGGGGGGGTTTGACAGCTCAAGAGTCCCCACCCCCGCGAATTTGCCATCCAAGGCAAAAAAGATGCTAATGCCCGGGGGTCAGCCCGGGGGGGGCGCTGGGCGCAGGTGGAATTGACTGATGCATTAGGACTAGGAGACTGACTTTTAATGCTGTTCATTTGTCTGTATAATGGTAACCTGTACTCTGACCCGTGGTAAAGTGACCTGTATTTTAGATCTGCCGGTCTGCTTGTAGGCAAAGGTGACATTTACAAAATTTGCACTATAATTGTACCAAGACCATCCCTGTCATTTTTGTTACCCACACCCATCTCCCCACAGGGTTATTCAGGACCTATATCTTCTGGATTTAGGACAATCTTACACCGCTGTAACTCATGACGTGGTTAGGGCACCTACTGGCTTTATCGATATATATTTAGTATTTGAAGTAAAGGCCTTTAAATCGAATACAAAATGGAATAACGATCGGTGTAAATATTAACACTGGCATGCTTAAACTTTGAGTCTTTCAATACAGTCGGTATTGTGCATTCAAGGACAGGTAAAAAGATTTCACAATTCAACCATGTCGAAAAATAAACATTGGTATCTACTATTACAACCGCAACAATAATACTAGTAGTCTCTGGTTTGCTCGCACTGACATTTTCTAATTTAGCAACAATTCTTCCTCATTCTGTTTTTTTTGCGAAGAGCGGTGCATTAGCGTCCTCTGTCGGCATCAAGTTAGGCTTCTTCAGGGAGGCAAACTGTGATTCTAAACGCAGACTACTTCTGACACGATTAATACTATAATAGCACGGCAAAGCCTTCATTGACACGAAGCTGAGTGTTTAAAAAAGCGAAACGACAGCTTGGTCTAACTTGCTGACAAACTCGCTCGCTCAGCGGTAAACGGTGAGACAAAGATGTCAGAAGAGGAAAAAAGCACCGATTTCTTTAAGCATTCAGTTTGTAGTAACGAAAGTTGAGGTACACCACAACTACTATTTTGCCTCAAAAAAAATGTGAAACCTGCTTCCTCAAAGCAGTTATGTCATCTAGATAAAAGTCATGTAATAAACTAGTTCAGTCTGGTTTGCATGCCCTGAAGACATATGAATCTTTTCTAAGCTTCTCACCTGAACAGAGGAATAGGCAGCCTGCATAAACTGCACTGGCTATAGCCAGTTTTCTATCCGCCATAATGAGGGAGAAGTTCGGCCTGTAAGTTGATGCTGATCGATAAATGTTCAACTAATTTCCTCGAACAGAACGCTGCAAATGTCACGCCACAACGCCCAATTTGCATAAAAACACTGTTGACGGTCGCGGAAAATTGGGTTTACCCCGGTGTAAGAACCTGCGAACTTTTTCTTTGCTTTGCACCTTTTGTTTTTCTAGGTTCCATTATGTTTACTTGTTTGGTTTCTTTGTTTATGTCGCCCGTGAGTTTAAAAGGTTCTTACACCGAGGTTGAGAGGAAAAATTAGTCACGCAGATCGGAAAACACAACAGCCATCACAAAAGCTGTTAGTGAAAAGTTTTGCCGTGACTGCTCCAGACACCATGAATGGTTTACATAAAGATTTCCGGAATTCATGAAACAAATTTTTTAGACTGAAGAAAAACGGGGACATTTTTGGAATAGAGTTTCGAATAGGCCATTTTACAGTTATGGATGGAAGCGAGGCTGAGGGTGCTTGCTTTGATACAAACCTTCCTGCTTTATCATGTAACTCAATTTATTCTTATACTGTCTAGTATTTTTCAAGAACAATTTCCATAACAAAGCAAAGAAGGTTTGCATCAAAACAAGGTCACCCTCACCCTCGTTTCCATCCATAACTGTAAAATGGCCTATTGTCCACGTTCGATATTATTAACTGATTCTAACATGGCTCCGAGGCATTAGGCTAAAAATTACAAATATCTTACGAGTCCATTGTCTCGCAATTCCCAGAAGAGACTTGATGAGCACAAAGAAAACCAAACCAAGTATAATAATATTAATATATCGAACGTGGGCTATTCAACCCATTGCATTTTAAGTGTGCGTTAGGTGTAAATAACTATAGCCAACTGGGCACAGCAGGGTCTCTCTCAGTTCTGCGTGGGGTCTTTGTATTTTTATCATCTTTGATACGTGGGAATTCAAATGTCTTTGAGGGAAATTTACCCGCTTGGAAAACAAAGGTTAGCTCACAGCTGTTGAAGAGCATCTCGTATTTTACGGCGATAAAAATCATTGAATGTTTTTAATGTACAATTTTTTTACACAATATTATAGTACATGTATACCTTAACAGTGGGTTCAGACGTACGCACTCCCTGCCCCCATCCCTGTTCAAGGTACGGCAACTAGCAGAGGAGATAGGGCTTAACTCCCACTTCAAGGCCCCCACTATCTGAAGGCTACTCAACCATTTATGCAATTCATGGCACTGATGGCTCTTTTGAACAGGGCCTTTAAAAGTTGTCTTGTGAGAGCCCGGTGTGACAATTGTGTTCCATAGTGTAAGGAAGAATCGGGGCGCAACAAAATTGCGCGCCTAATTGATCACTGATTCCGACTTGATTGTCAGAGACTACCTAAAACTAATATGCTGTCTTATCTATACGCCTGCTTACATGACCTAGTGTAACTTTCATAATTACATTACTGTCAATGTTACAATGATGACGATAAATATTTTAAATAGGGGCTGATGTCATCGAAATATCGTATGGTGAGCCATACTCTACTGCTCATTTGATTGCCATCAGAGATAAGTTTTCTTCATTAGCGCATGCACAGTGCTATACTTAAAACAACGTTCGAAAGAATGATGAACTTGTTGATGAAATTAGCTCTTGTAGCACTGGTAGAAACAACAGTCGTAGTTTCTGAAAAAAAAAAAGAGAAAAAGAGAAGTGAAAAGGCGTCAGTATCGCGACATTGATGCAAGGGTTGTTGTTTAGCCTTCGTGCAATACTTTGAATTCTTACAATTTACGTCTCCTTAATATTTAACTAAATATTTTTGTAATATATTGAATGTCTGTTTGTATATCTAGCCGACTTTTTGAAAACCAACCTAACGAAATTTGCAGTCATTTGAGTGAAAAGGCGTCAAAAGGCATGTTTCCTAGGCCCGAGAAGCTCCAAAATCATAGTAACGAAGGAAAATTAAGGAAAGGAGAAAAAGAGAAAAAAAAAGCAATGGTTGCACTCTTAATTTTTATAATAGCTACTTGGAGATAAAGTTATCAAAAATCCGGCTAGATATGTAAAGATATTTTTTTCTGGCAAATAAATAAACTGAAACTAAAACTGAAAAAGGTGTTCATGCTCTCGACCTACACGTGGGCTTGCAATTATACTGGAATACGTCGGCTCTACTTTAGACGTCCTCCGAGGATTTACTTTGCTTATCACACAAGTCGGAGACGTCATGACACGACGTCTAGGACGGCCCGGCTTCAAAACTGCCCGGATGAGTGAGGGGATTCTTTTGAAACCCACGCCACGCTTGCTTGTTTTGAGTTTGTGGGTAACTGAATATAGACAAAACAAAGATTAATTGAGTTCCGGGTAACTGACCTCCTACCCTTCCCGTAAGTCAACATTAACACTTACTTCTCGCTTAGGGAAACATTGCGATTTAGGGGAGGGGTAGGAGGTCAGTTACACGGTACTCAGGTGATCATAGTTTTGTCTAGTCTTTTAGAGAGAATTCTTCTCTCAGGGTATTGATTAGTCTAATACGAAGCCGTTTTTTTGTGTCGTAAGGAAACGACCCAAAGAACGGCTGCCAACAGCGGCTAGAAAGAGCTAAAATATCATGTCAGGCATTCCCCAAAGATTTCCATCACGTACATATTGAAGCACTTCCCCCCTCAGGAGCAAGTCAGAAACAATGCTGTTGCGCTAACGTTTAAGAACGATCCTCAGATTTGCACATGATCCGTGCATGATGTAGTTCGGAATATTGGGAAATTCCATATATTGTTTCGCAATTTCGGCACACTGTAACCTTACAGGAAAACATGTCTCTTGTTTCTTACCTGGTTTGCGACATTTATCTTTAGGTTGAAACTCCATTAGTTTTCCTGAGGATCTTTGTAAAATTAGATCGAAGGCTTTGGATGGTTCATCGACTTGCTTTTCTGTCAGTGGTTAAAGAAAAAATATAAATCATTAAAACCTCTCTAATTATAAATAATCACATCCAGAGGCGAATCCTTGTTCAAAATTTCTGCCTCATTAGCGTGAATAACTCTTCATTTCTCATAAAGCTATAATCGTAGCAACTCTGAATAAAAAATAGAGTGAAAAGTCAGCGACCACCGGACGAACTTTCGAGATTTTAAATTGTAACAGATATGTCTTGAGCAGCTTTGTTTCTGAATCTCACTTTCATGAAGAATTGGCAATGCAGTTCACCAAGGAGGGCTGACATTATTTAATTTCTTTGCACAAAATTAAAGATTGAAGCTTTCATAACTTTGAAATCTAATGAACTGGATGAGTTTTCCCCCTTTATAGTGACTGATTGACTATAACAATTTTATTAAATGGGTCGATCGAGAGACTAACAAAGGTTTACACTTTATCACTAACCATTTCCCATGATTCCAAACTTGACAGTCATACAGCCTTGAACTTGACTGTTCTCCATTCTAATGTAAAATATCCGCCACTCTGGGATGTTAAGCAACGCTGAAACCCTTTTTGTAAAGTTCAATCTACAAGAGAACGAAAGGACATTTTAAATTCAGCTTTGTCTTGGATATTATGATCGAGCGAGGAGTGTGTATATCCTACCTCGTCCCCAGGGCGCTTTCCCCTGGCTTTGGCGCGTCCCTTGTAAACGTTCAAGGTGGGGTAACCCGCCTACCTCCACCCCCGGGTTTCGTTCTGATGCTATCGCCGTCTTCAAAATCGCAATATATATCGAACATTTTTTTTTAATGAGTACGGTAGTGATAGTTTACGACAGAGGAATTCGTAATCCCTTTAGCATCAGATTCTCTATTTAACTATAAGTGGAAATTTTTAATCTGGCGTACTTGACTATGAGTTTCAAAACGGTTTAAAGGAGAGAGAAAAACAGAAATTTTGGCGCCAATTTTAAATGATTTTATGACAAGTTATCTCGGCCACCCACTTAAGGTGGCAGCCTTCAGTGTTTTTCCTTAAACCTTACTCTTTGATGACAAGCGCGTCTGTATTTTTACCATTTGCTGACACCTTTTAAAAGTGGTTTGAAACAAATGGCAACTATTGGGGGCAAATGGAGATCATTTCCTTGACATTTAAAACATGTTACCATAGCAACATAACAATCTCTGTGTTAAAGCACCCCCCGCTCCACCCCCGCCCCTATGTTAGCCGAAAAAGCTGGGAATTGTTGTTGCCCTTTTTGCATCTATCTCATGCAAATTCAACTGGGCAAAACCTACCTGGAAAATGTCGTCCCTTGTACGTAGTGTAGTGTCTTCTCAACATACAGAGAATCTACTGGTTTGATGGAAGCACAAGCAAGGCGGGCTGCTCCAGCGTTTTCGGCGTGCACGACAACCCCACGACCAACAACTGGAAAAAAGTTAATATTGCACACATCAGTGAATCACTGTTCGAAATTGTGTATTGAAAAAAGGCTAGCAAATCCATTCCTGAGTGGTCAAAAACAATTTCACAAACTTCATTAGCTGCTGTAAGTGGTCATGACTACTGACTGATCATTAAGTAAAACCATTTTTCTTTTCTTTGACAGTCTGGGGCTGTTTCCTTTCTATTTTGGTGATGCACAATAAAACTCCCCGAGAAACTATTGAGATGTAAGTAGGGGTTTAGGTTTTTCCTTTACCTGACATTTCTCCAAATAATGGAAGGCTTGGATCCGTATAAAACTGATTCCCTGAACCAACATTCAACCGCGCATGCTTGCCAGAAAGATCACCAACTTCACAACGCAACATATTGCTAGAAAAACAGGATGACTTATACGATCCCTGTAAACACAAACGTACGGTATAGATCTGTAAGTAACACTGCACGAAAAATTGGATTTACTCACATTTACTCATCAGCAAATATGATGCAAACACAGTGCAAATGTGTGGCAAACATGGTAAATGCCGTATTTACTTCACTTTTACGTAGGGCTTGTAAATGTGTGAGTAAATACGGCGTTTATGATGTTTGTGCTCATGAGTAAATGTAAGTAAATCCAATTTTTCGTGCAGTGTAATGAATACAACAAAAAATCCTTAGAGCGTAGGAGCACTACAACCTAGTAACTGAAACACGACATCCTGTAGTCCATTTTTTTTTAACGTTTATCAAGCTTCACTGCCAATGATATTCTTCGTACTCACCTTCCGAATAGCATTTAACTTTTGCTAGCGGAAAGAACTAGCTTTTTTATTTGGTGCTTTTTGAAGTATATGTCAGGCTATGCCATTACGAGGTGTATCAAACAAACCAACGATGATTCTGGACATCGTAAGTCAGAACAGCTCTCTAACATCATAGTGCGAGTCTCACAATTGACAAATGGCTTGAATTTTAATTGATGACAACTGATAAATAGCCCAAAATTTAAATGACAAAATGATTTACGAATGTGGTTAACTCACAACTGACAATTTTTTTGCATGGCCTAAGTAACCGTTTAACCATCTTAAATTTCTCTTTTGGTTATTATCAGTTAAGTATATTTTCCCACGCCAAATTAGCAAACTAGAGCACGAGAACAGCAGAGTATATTTCTATTGCCATTCCTGGACTGCCTAAGGTCATTTAGAAATTAAAGTTAATCCTTGTAACTTAAACTGTAACAAGTATCATTTCATTTCAGAAACTTCATAGTCGCCACGTCCTGGCAAAAAACATGTCTTCTCAAGGAGTGATAAAACGAATCGTGATCGTAAGTTACCATTAAGAGCTTAAGGTTTATTATATTAGCGACAATACTTACAGCCAGGTCAACATTATAAGGATTATAATGTCCTCCCAGACTCTTGCATCTCTCGCCCATCGCAGAGTGCGTGTCCCCTCCTTCGGGATTCACGTGCACGTGCCACGAGTGATTCATACTCTGTTGAAAAAAAAAACATAAGTCAAGCTATAGGATACATCACTGTTTACTGAGATCGTTTTTGGTTATTCAAATTTGTAAGGAGTAAAAAAAAAGAATCTTTTGTTGCAAGAACCCAACCCGCTTGTGATTGACGTATTAACATCAACAGGTGACGTCAGCGTGACTTTCGCTGTACCACAAGCCCACAGTAACTGAACAAGAAAATGGCGTAAAAAAACGTTTGATATTTTCAGAGACTACATACCCTGTGTACCGAGCTGCCTATCGATCGGGGGCGTATGGCGCTAAAACGAAGCATCGAAGGTAAAGGGGAGGGGCCTCCCAACGACCCCCACCCACTTTCAATTTTCCCATCGGGCTAACTTATTCACTCTCGCGTTCTTTTTCCTTGTCTTATTTGCAACCGGTTGGTGTGTGCTCAAGCTAAGTTATGCTAACCATGCAGCTAGTTTCAGATAAAACAAAGAAGTAGTTGTGCTAACTATTATTTTACCTGTTTGCCTGCCTCGTTCCCATACGACAGATGAACATAAATCGATGTCTCCTCGGGCGACATAGAGCTATCGGACGTCTTGTACTGTATCTATAAAGTGGAGTTGATACAGTTGTCAAGACTATGCATAAGTGTATTTATGAATAACAAATTAGATGAGGTTGATGTGTAAGTGAAAGATTTTGGCATGCTTGTCTTTTATGTTTTGTCTTCTCTTTTTTTCGCATGACTGGAAATGCATAAATGCTCTGGAAAATCTTATCTCGATATTTACATATGCACATATGTCCCACGGTATATGAACTAAATCAGTGAATTGGACATGGTTCATTGTCCGCTTGACTACCTTACAGGGGGAGCTGTGTCACAGCAGTCCAGTTCATTTTGTTTCATTTTGCCAATTACTAGCCCTCAATCGCTATGGAACTTAAAAGAAGCAAAGAAATTACATGTAAATGACAAAATCATAGATCCGAGACCAACAAATAAGTCTCCTGAGCATTATTTTTGAAGTTGCAAGCAGCAGAGATCAACTTTGGAACACTGTTAGGCTGAACAGTTTTCCAAAACCCTAATTTCAATCCGTTTCAGTCTTCTTCAGTTTTGCCCATCCGTGCCATCTGTTGCTTCTATTATGTTATTTTAACCTTCCTTTAAAGTTAAAAGTGGTTATTTTTATGTTTCTCTTAATTTAACGGGCATTTTGTAATTTCCTAATTTGGCTGAATTTCGTGACACAGCTCCCTTAAGAAGTAAAAACAAAACAAATCTTTTAAATATGCTGGACATAAAAATGCTACGCCATGTTTTCAAGCGCAGAGAAATATCGCGCACAACTGTTTCAATTGAGCATGATCGGTCTACCAAAATAATAATAATAATAAACTCTATTTACTTGTCAAGATATTTAGTTTACAAGCTAATTGATGACGCAACAAAAACAGATACAGATCGAAATAAAATGCTTAAGATTATAAATATAGTGATGAAATTATATCTATAAAATGTATGATAAGAATGTATCGCTATATATATAGAAGAATACAATAATAATAATAATAATAATAATAATAATAATAATAAAGTAAATTAAGAGTGTCATAAATAGCAATTTTGACAGTTAGAATTATCAACTAGTTCTGCTGTTTTTTTTTTTTCTGCGAAAGTTTTTTTGTTCGTTTGTTTTTGTTTTTGTTTTTTTCCTCGATCGCGTTTTTAGACAGAATAATGGCAATAAAACTTACTTACCAAAAGTATGTACCCCATAACATCTGGACCCGTAAAAGTTATTTTGGTTTTCATGACAAACATTTTGTCCACTTCAGCCATTTTCTGATGGACATCTGCACAGACCCATCTCATGCTGTTCATTACTTTCATTTTATGGATGACAACAGAACGACCCTGGATGCTGTTTTTACCAAACAATGGAAGATTGTAGTCCAAATGTGTTCCGGTGTAGCTTGTTAGGTTAAGAAAAGTTCCATATTTCCCACTTAGGTCACCGATTTCGTACTGATCATTTGTTCCTATTAGAAAAGGAGTGTCAACGTTAAAAACAACCTCGTGAGAAATTCGAAGATCCGGGCTAAAGTCAGGCTGCAGAGTAGCTTTCTTGGACAAGTACTTTGCTCCACTTTGGTGGTGAACCCAGGGGTATAAATGGGTACCGGCGACCGGCTGGATAACCCTGTAATGGATGTTTGGTGTAACGTACTAGATAACTTTTCAAAAATCATCAAAAATATGGAAGATGAAGTGATCGTTAAATAAATTGAATGGGCTTGTGGTCCATGAAAACGTAAGGAAAAATATATGAACTGTTTATCATGCGTGTGTGATGTTTCAGCTCTTAGAATTGTATGAGGAGGAAATTGTAAAATTGACGCTAACATTGTACTTAGCTACATACCAGTTCCAGGCGAAGGACTGGACTTGACATCGACGCCAAAGGGGTTCCAGTGTCCTCCTAAGTGACTCCCTGCACAGGATTCCATTCCGGTGTACTTCATTTGCCATGGCATGGGATAGTTGTGAATGTGATATCCCTGAGACTCCTTTCTTAATCCAGTGAGCCTTATTTCCGTCATCGTGGGATCAAAGGGAGAGAGTTGTGTAAACTTGAAATAGCCGTCTACACCATCATGAACACTGGCTTTGAAAGTAGATATGAGAACTCTCGGTTTTACTTGCATTATCTTTGCGCAAGCAAAAGGGGTCATTGAATCGTCACTTGAGAACAATGTAATTGTCTTGCCAATAACGCTTTTGACACCAGTAAGTGGAAGGTTGGTGTCTGTAAAGGCCACTTTGGTTTTGGACTGTCCTCTTGTTGCCATGGAGACAGTGATGTTTCCATGCTTGGAAGTCAAATCACCAATCATACATTTTTCGTGTTCTAACTGGCTACAATTTTGCTTGTCTCTGTTTTCAGGATTGAAAACGTCACCGGGCATTCCGCAAGAAGCTGATGCTTGGTTTATCTGCCATGTGACCTGTCTACCAGATTGAGCATCGTTGGAATGAAAAAGGTTAACGAATATAGTTGTATCTGCGCTCTCATCAGCTTGCCTCAGATACACAAAACCAGCGACCGGCATCGTGAAGACAGCTACTGCTGTAAGCATAACTTTATCCGGACTAATCAGTGAGCAAGCCCTCGGTGTGCCATCCTTGTAAAGAACAAGTGTTCTACCCATGATGCTGTTAGCCCCTCTGATAGGAACAGTCAAATTCTGGTCTGTAAAATTTTTCTGTGCGTTGCTGGCATTTATAGCTCCCAGCATTCCTGTCAAGTCACCAGTGGCACATACTTGAAATCTTGAAGAACTTGATTGACTGCACGAGCTATTGTAGTCTGCAGATTTCATGGCCATCGCAGGGTCAAACAGATCTCCAACTGTGCTTGGACTGCAACTCATAGCTGCATTACCATCGTAGATCATTGGAAGTTGTCGAATATCCCAAGTCAGGGTTTCATTCTCGATACCTGTTAAGTTAAGTGAGATACTTGTGGGACTACCTTGTTGCGACTGGTAGAACATGACGTTACCTTTTATCCCACCCATGTTAAAAATGGCCTGGAGTTGGACACTTGTCGCCGATGAATACCAGATAAAACATCCTGTAGAAATAGATATTAAGTTGCACGTCGTTAAAGGTGAATTCGACAATATTTTCTTTATTTGTTAGGTGGTTTGTAGTGCCGGCAAATGGCAGAGTTATTGTAGTCAGAATTATGATTTTTGATCAAAAGTGCGCCTGACAAGAGGTTTTCCTGTTATTATTTTCGTATCTTTCGTCGTAACGGATGGAAAGAAACTGATATCCAGATTCTAATTTTTGAGTCTTCCAAAGAAGCGTGTATACTCTTCTTATTCATTGCGTGAGGTCACTATGCATGTACGCATTTACATAGTGTGCTGGAGCTCAGGTTAGCATGCGCAGAAGCTGCCGTTTCCCGCAAGGTTATAAATGAATATTCATATTCAAGTTATATTCAATTGGATTAAGTCAGACAAGCCGCAAAACAAAATTTAAAGTAAACATCTCATTTTGAGGTTATTCTGGCTGTAAATAGAAAAATCTCCTAAGCCGTTGCCTAGATAGTAATTAAGCAGATATTAGACGGGGTTAACAAATGCTTATGCATATACGTATGCATCCAACGACTTATGCGGACCAAACTGCTATTATGATTTGAGGCAGTTTGCGTTTAACGGCTGGCGACAGATATTTGCTAAAGAAGGGTTGCCTGTCAGTTAAAAAAAAAAAACAAGGTGAAGTAATGTTTACAATGAAATTGTCAACGAAATTGTCAACTGTTAGAGTTCTCAGCAGGAGAGGGTCTCTGGCCATGATAAAGTATTTGAACGGTCAACATTTCATCTGTTCTTCACCTTATTTTTTTCTGGGTTACTTGTCTTGTTGCGAATTAAAGATTGACCTTCCAGCAACATACAAAAATGGAATAAATTTTAAAAAAAATGCCGGCATGTATAAAAGTTTTTCTCAGTTGACGGAAAGAGTCAAACTATCTCTTTTTCTAGTCTTATAACAAGAACCTTTACAAAACGCAAAGATTCAGTCTTAAGTAACTCATGATATTTTACAACCAAGGCTTGATAAGCGGAAGATTAGGTGTAATCTTCGATTCGGCTGTTGATACGCCTTGGCTTGCGGCTTGCTCGATTCAGGGCCATTTTACATATTATAGCTACGACAGAGGACAATAGAAGTCGCTCACTGTGAGTTCAATTGCAATATCATATCACGTTTTTATTTGTTTCAACACACCATTAATCAGTTAACGACTGAATCGCTTCGATTGACCCACGGAGAGCATAATTGTAGTTAATTTCAGTTATAATTTGTCAGGCGGAATCGAAAACTTCCTATTACAGGTAAATTAAGGTAACTTAAGAGTTTGCCGGAGAGATGAGGTACCAGTTGCCAAGTTTTACTTCGTTGTTGGAAATTATGAAACGTGTTATAGAAGTGCCGAATTTAAGATAAATACCGAGAAGAGTTGTTTGGAGTGTTTAGAAAAATGATGAGACTTGCAAGCGACGCTTCGTCGACTCTTCTTTCAAAAACAACACCTGCAATCGCCCAAATATCTACACACTTAGTGAGTCCATTCAGAGGCAAACTCTGAGGTGGGAAGAAAGGAAGGAGATGAAATGAAAACTCCTTCCCCATCTGTCAGTCCTGGATAAACCAAGCGATGGCTCGAAGGGCAGCGTTTGAAACATTTTGCAACGGTTAATATCGCTCAGAAATACAACTGCAAGTGCCTAAATTGCCGGAGGACATTAGGGCTTTGAGCAATAAAAATAACAGAAAACACGTGCGCAATCAGTAACGAATGCAATAGCGACTGACCACCCACTTCTTTTAGTCAGTCACCATCAGTCAAAAGTAACTGCTACATCCAGCTTCAGTTCCACCGCGGTCAAACGTCTGGGGAGAATTTTTGCGTTATTTACTCGAGATATAATTTAAAACACTTGGGATTTGATTTTAAAGATATCTGGTCTGCGTAACTATCTTTCATTTTTATTGAAATAATGTGCTTTGCGTCCATTTTTGTAAATGGTACAGACAATTCCGCAAATTCAGTTTTCAAAGCTGTAAGACATTTTTATAGTAAATTTCTAAAACTTTAGAAAAGTAATACTGGGTCGTGATAGCATGATGCCGGGAAATACGTTAAACTTGAACAGTGAAATGAAAACGGCTTAACAATGAATTGCTTTGCTTCGCATTTGCACACTTCTTCCGTTTCAGCGCTAGCAGTCAACCCTTGAGTATATATCAAACCCTACGTCACGGATAGTGATATGTATCATTCTATAAAAGGCTTCATTTTGTTTGAAATGCATCACACGTTTCTAATTTTCCTGTTAGGATAATCAGCCATTTCTTTGTAAATGAAAATTTTTGCAGAGCCATAATGCCCTGTGGTTTTACTTTTTTAGTCTTAAACATTTATTCTCCTCTTCTTTTCCTATGAAATGTACTGAATCTATGGCTTCTAGATTTAGACTCGATCTCAAACACTTGTTTCAGTTCGTGAGGTTACTTATATTACAGATATTAGTAATCATTGCTCATATTATTCACTATGCCAGTTTTTTTGACACCAGCGTATAATTATTTTAGCTTTCGAATTGGGCACGGAAGTATTTAACATAACTAACCGAATATGACGTTCGTTTCTATAAATTTGATCATGACTGGGATCATGGTGTAGAGTTAGTGTGAATGCTGTATAGTTGCGTTTTTAAGATTTATTGGTTATTGGTGCTGGACTCTGGTCTGACAGACACTCTATTCTTGCGAAAGATTGACGAGGACAGAAGTTCTACAAGCTTCGCTACAGGGGAAGTCAAGTTGCTTCAGAGGCATATACAGCCAATATTAAGTAGAGCGAAGGTTAGGTCGCCGAATTTTCTGTTTTTATCCAACGACACTATTTCGTGTCAGACATACTGTCTTGCAATTGTGGCCCTGTGAATTCCAGCTTCTTGTAACAAGATGTACAAACAGTTTTCCGAGGAGACAGGAAACGAAACAGTCATGGATATAAGGATCGCTTGTTCTATATTAACGCGACATTTTCTGAAGGCGGAAATGAAAGCTTGTGAGTACTGAACAAAGTTGTTCTATGTTTTTCTGAATTTTCAGATGTATCCAGTATGCTTTTATCAGTCTGGCTGTAGGTTGGGTCATAACTAAGGGTAAGTTTCCTCATATCTTTTTTCTGACTACACCAGACTTTGTGAGGTAAATTTGTTGCTTTATCAATCAATCAAAAATAAAAAATTCAGCTCCAATGGAATATCGTTATCGTTATTATTCTAATATTGATAAAATCTAAAAGATCTAAGTGAATGACAATCAAACATTAAATGATTAACGACCGCACTGGTTTTTTAATCTAGCGGGCACGAAATAATTTTGACGGGCAAAGAGAGTTCCTGGAGATTGTTGGCTTCTTTGGTCTACACTAAAGTATGACTTAAAATTTCAAGGTCGAGTTTTTATTATTATATAGAAATGAAGAATAAACGAGTTATCTGTCTGTAAAGTTAAGAAAATACAGAATTGCTTTAACCGATCACAGATACAGTTGTACACCTTTCTGCTACTATTGACAGCGAATTATTACGGTGCCGACCTAATTCCCGTTTTTAATTCAGTGTAACTAAAACCAATTTGAATATCAGTTTTATATATCATTAATTCAAATTATTTACCTGAGTAAAAAAGAAATGTCAAATACAGCATTTGGAACGGTACAGGTGGAGACATGGCGAGCAGAGGTAGCAGGGCAAGTTCACCGGGCGTTCAGTGGCAGACCTAACTGGATCTGTCTCACTTCAGCAGGACACAGGATGATTTATACCCTTCAAGCCGGAACTGTTTTTTCAGGGTCATTTATTCTTAGAGTCATTTATACTATTCTAAGAGTCATTTTGGCAGCTCTTGAACAAACATCGAATAGGGAAATAACTTAAACAAAAGAAGACCGCTTATAACGTCATATTCAGTGGCTAGAAGGACTTTGATCACTTATGCATGTACTATTGTTTCTTCAAGGAAACAATTGACCCACGTGAAAGGTGGGACGCAATTGTGCATCCATAACGAAATCATTACATCTAAATTAACTATTGATGATTGAAATATCATAAATAAGTCTAAGAAAGCAACACGCACGACACTGGATTTGTTAAAACACATAACGAAATTTAATTTGCCTGATGAGTTCATCATTTTGTTGCTGGGGGCTAAAACTGAAGCCTCAGTCTGATTTACGTAGTTGTTTCTATTTATTTTTCAAGTGAATATCGCTTTTGCTGAATGGTTTCTTTCGATTTCATCATCAACCTTACACATTTTGTTCATTTTAATAAAACGTCATACAGAAATTGTCTCTTTTTTTTCTTTTCTGCATTTCGGGAACCCCAAACCATGTTTGAGTACCGTCTTACAGCCCAGAGCAAATTAACCGTAATTGTCCTTCTGTTTTTATAAATGCACGCGATCCAACTTCCTTAATAAAGCCTTAAATTATTTTTTTTAGAATTGTGAAGGTGAAAAGCGCCTATTAAGTGCAAAAAAGTATATAATAGCGACAAAGGTTTTCCAAGGACCACAATTGTTTCGTTTTCCTCGACCTGCCCTCGATAACCAAAATTAAGTGAGACTCACAGCAAGGGTTTTCTAGAAATGTAGATCACAAATAAATGACCTCGAGTTGCTGTCCTTAGCGAGCGAGCGAGAGTCTGTAATTGCCGGATGGGAGGGTAAATCTGCTTTGAGAAACATTTTGCTTCTTACAGACAACAAGTTTCTTCAAAGTTTACATTCAGGAAAGATAAACAATACATGATGTTTTAATACTTTTTCCGAATAAATTGTATTTGGGTAGGTTCCTGTTTAGTTGATGGCCAGGGAGTGAAGTTACTGAACTCAGTGCCGGAATGATATCGCCTAAACTTATATACACTTTGCGCTACGAACTTCAACTTACCAGTACATCTTCATGATACGATCACTCGATTCTATTTCTTTTAAGACATGAATTGTGAAAAAATAAACAGTATGACGGAAATTGCCTAGCAAAAGTTGTTACGTAATGACTTCCTTG